GCACCTGCTCGCCAAAAATATAAAGAAACGTGGAACTGTCAGCAAACTGCGGCCAGTCCAAATGGTGAGGCCCGCATATGAAAAACAGTTTCCCGAGCGAACGAATTTTCCACTCCTGAAGCACGTGAGCAGTGAGAACCTTCTGCTGTTCACCTTCAAAAAAAACGGAATCGGCAGCCTGCTTCCAGATTGCGTTGACAGTGTCGCGCAAAACTCCGCCGGCATCGTAAGCGCTGAAATATGTACTCTCTTATGCAACCGACGCTTTGAATTTGTTCAAAAATGCTTTTACTGTTGGTTTTTGACTTTGATTCTTGCCGTTAGCGGTAGCCGGTTGCTTTCGAGAAACACCAACATTTGGTCCAAAGCAGTGTCGACTGAATCCAGCGTGATTTCTGGATGTTGATCCGGTGATTCGTCTACGAATCTCTGGAAGAAGCCGTCCATAAGCTCGCACACAAAATCGGAAGTGGAAGCGTTGAAGCTGTCGTTTTCGGCGTACACGGCGGACTGCACAACGTTCGCTGTCCGAGCCGATCGTCGACGATTTCCAACTGCACTGGATTTGCAAAAAATTACAGTATTTAAGTTAAAAATGGTTTAATAGTAATATAAACACAGTACTAAAAAATAAACACAGTACTAAACACAGTACTATACTACGCAGTACTACACACAGTACAGTGCACAGTAATAGAAACACAGTACTAAAATACAATTAAAAAATAACAAAATATTAAATGCAGAATGCAGATAACAGAATCATAAAACTTTATAAACACATAAAATCATCTTATTAGGAGAATTTTATCTGTCTATAAAGTGCGTACCGCTAGCTTGGTAAAAAAATAACACCGTTATTAGAATTATGCTAAATTTGCTTTTCTATAATTTTGTTATGAGTGCGTTATTAAATTTAGAACACAGTAAGTATAACCTGTACGGTTGGCTGCCGACACTTCCACTGCGTTTCTATGAATCTCCGCCGTAATTGTAACATCACCATTGTCCTAAATAAAAATCCAGCAAAATATCGAAATAAACAAAATATCGAAAGTAATTATTTAGCTAATTTTCAAAAAGGTTTTAGGAAATCTAGTCGATTAATCAAACCTCCGCGGACTCCTCGTGATCAGTGGCCATAACATCCCCTAGTAAATCAGGATTACCGCGGCGAGTGCTCGTAAGTGGTGTACGCGGTTCACTACAATCCTAAAATTACCAACGTAATATTTCTATTATCTCGTGATTAATAACTTCTTCCGTTAAAACGTACTTCGGATGAGCTGTTTTCATCACTGAATTCCGCTACTGTTGTTTCTTCCGCATTCTGGCAGGCTGCCGTTCCTGCTGGCAAGTCAATGCCGGAAGTATCTTCGCTGTTTTCATCTCGTAAAACCGACACTGCACCTTCCTCTGTCGTGTACAAATAATCATTAACCAGACAAATCGGCACAGACAGAGAATCGTGTTTATGTACCTCCGATAAAAATTGAAGCAGTTTTTGGACCAACGTACAGCCGACGGGTTTGGGTGCTAACCCTATGAAAAAATCATTAAAAACTGTAACAGATTGTAGCAACAACGGCTAGTTTAGCTGGTTTACTTTTTTAACTCCTGCAAATTCCAGCCTCCGTTCGGCATTGTGAGTGGTTGCAGTCCCTGAGATTGCCCGGATTTGTAAACAACCATATCGGTTTCCGCTAAAACGCCCCAATGTTCATGAAATTTCCGTTTCATCGCTTCCGCCGTCCAGTCTGATGGATTCGAACCACCCCACTGGACATTCTCTCGTATCAAGCCAGCCTCATGCATTTCACTCCACCTTAAAATAGTACGATAATTTAATCTTAACAAGTATATCGATCAATCAAATAGTAATACATCTAACCAATTGAACAGTTAGCGGTATCTAAATGCTATATAAATATACAAATTAATATTGACTTTTTTACGTATATAAGATCTTGAAACACATAAAGAAATACATAAATATGTACGAAATTAGGAAATAGGAATAAATCTATAGACAAACAACAATTTAATACCTTCGTACAAATCCGTAATAAAATCAAAAATTGTTTAATTAATCATATTAAAAAGTTGATGTAAATTACTATTAATTTTGCCGGATACTGAAGGTTTACCTAGCTGATCCGTAGCGCACTAGTGTTGGTCGTGTATGCTGTGTGAGCACAATAACCGTCGCCTTTAGCCACATTTCAGCTGGACCGCGCTGTCCACGCTTTCGCTTACGGGCGTTCGCCAGCTGCGTGTAAGCCCGGCCCTCCCGTTTTCGGTGTGGGAGAAAAGGTGAGCTGTGAAGTGGAGTATGAGCATTCATGTTGGATGAGCCGGCGTGGGTGAGGGCAGCGCTGGAGATTCCTCTCCGAGCGGAGATGTCACGAATTGTTGCAAGGACGTCGACCGGATTCGTAGTGCGGCCAATTGTTCCGGAATTCCCGGGACCTTGCGTACTCCCAGTTGCAAACAACGGTCCTGCACTGGCGCTTGCCGGAGCTAGCGCGCCGTTGGATGATGATGATTGTAAATGATGGCAGGAACATAAATGTGCACATGCCGGATTTTTGCAGACAAGGTACCCGTCCGGGTTTTCAATAGTCTCAGTCCCCGGAATCCAAACTGTGCAGTTACAAAGACCACACGAACTAAGTGCTGCTTTACCATACACAGAACGTAGCAAATCTGCCATTTTATTTCGCAATATAAAGAGCAGTTATTATTTTTTTATTGAAAATACAACGGAAGAACTCTCTAATGAATTGGCGAATTTCGGTGAGCTTGCCAAGTGCGCAAAGTTACAAATTATGTCAGCATGTGCTGTATTTTGCGCAAGTGTTGTAATCGTGATTAATGAGTACTGGCATCCCGGATTCAAAAACAAAAGAAGGAGGTCACTCTTGAAAAAGTCTGTCTAGCAGTCGGATCTAATATTATCATCTTATGCTGACCTTTTACCATACAGTACTTACATGAACGCAAGCAAGCAAGTATTTACATGAACAGCGAGAGAGACTGCCAGGCAGAAGATTCTGTAACGTGTGACAGGAGCATCCGTTTTCTTGCAGGCACTGCATCGCTTAATCAGCAGTTTTCAAGTTTTAATTTTGAATTATTGAGCTCATCAATCTGCCTAAAACTGCAATGCAAGAAAATTAATAATCTCTTGTTGCGCATAATATATAAACGATTTATACATAACAACAGCAGTGCACACATAGTATTTCAAAAACAAAAGAACCCTAAATAATAGAAAGTAAAAACGCCTTGCGAGAAGCATTACGAAACGTCTATGAAAAAACAAGCAGTTAGATATTAACAAAAATACCAAAAATTTTATCAGTTAGATGACTGCAAAGGTCCAATCCCAACCAATCCTAACCAATCCTAACTAATCATTCCACCTAGTTTACTCCAAGTTTCCGTAAGTATGCAACATATAATTCATCATCTCTTCGTAGCGCGAAATGCCGGAAATCATATCTCCTTCTTCTTCCGGAAAGCGGCTGTACAAGTCGTTTAGATTTTCCTCCGTCAGTGGGAGTACAATGTTGGGAACAATAACACCAGACTCTTCTGCGACGTCTTCCGGCAGTGGTCCATCCACAACAATGCCATATATCCCGATTTCCGTTGGGTCAATGTCAGCTCCTCTTGGGCCGCTTGTAAACAGGCCGCTGGCATATAAAGCTCTTGGACTGTGTCCGCCCTCACTAGTTAGGCGATGAGAGTTGTAGCTAGCGACGAACTGCTGCAGAGAACTATTAATTTTTGGCAGAAATATCCTGTGCAAACAAAATAAATGCATCTCGTTGTCTGAATCAAGAATTCCGCTTTGCTCCAGTTGGATAATAATTGATTTGTAGTAACTTGTTACTTTGCTCGTCACATCCCTCCAAAGTCGCTCTATGCGCTGATTGTGCACGGAACGGCCACAAATAAAACTTCCTCGGCCCTCCCCGCGCTTTTCTTCCATGTAGCGTCTTACATCAACGTTTTCGACACCCCGATCTCCTCTTACTCGAGACGGCAGCGCACCTAGCGCTGCTGCCCCCTCAATAAAGCACCGCAGCACTGTTTCGGCTCTGTTGTTATCGTTACACCTGAGGAAAACAACGAGACGAAAAAATCCATCGATACAGCCGTGTGTTACAAGCTTCCAGTTGATCAGCTTACGATTGCCATCGAGATGCCATAGAGAGTTCGGCCCAGCAACTTTGTACTGACGGCGGGGGATTATTGCTGACCAACGCTCCAGTACTCCCCACGGATCTCCCCTTCGAATTGAATCGCGCACACGATGCCGAGATACACGTAAACCTTTGCTCCGAATTCCTCCGCAAACCATAATCGATCCTAAACAGGGCGCTTGCACGATTATCGAGCGAACGTGTTCATCCAGTTGCTCATCGGAAATAACGGTATGGGCCTGGTTATCTGCTAAATGTAATTCTTTTCTCCGCCGCTGCAATGTTTTCGTTGAAATTCGAAGAAGACCAGAAATTTCAGTCCAAGTTAAACCTTCACCGCGTAAAACTTCCAACACGTTTCTATCTAGGACAATCTTGGGCCGCCCGTTGGTTCGTTCCAGCTTGACGCGCAGTAGTTCCGGTTGCTCTTCTACAGGATCCTCAGTCTGCAGAAGTTGTAAATGAAGTTGTTCGTGTTCGGCAAGTAACGTTAGCTCACTACTTCTTAGAATAATAATCTTTATTGCTTGTTAGTTTTTTATTCAGAAATTGTGCCAATAAACATGACTTTAAGAAAACACAAATGAACGCATACTCAAGAAAATATTTAAATTTTATTAATTTTAGTATATCGAAATTAATTACCTTACCTGTCGATAGGCCAACCGCACGCGATTTAGCAGTGCTAGAAGTGTTCTGCGATGAAATTCCAAATCAGTTTCATTTGCCATACCGTCTAAGGGATCGTCTCATATCTATAGCGAAACTAGCTTCCGTGCAGTACCCCACCGTCCCAAAACAGCAGATACGGGATACGGTATGCCGGTTTTCGATTCGCGCATCTGGTTACCCATGAAAAGATTCGGGACGGAGGTACGCAGCGTATCCCAGAGCGTCCCGTATTCGCAACGGGTAGATACGATGCTTCGCGCAACGTATCTCGTAACCTGTACTAACCCTGCGTCTCATATCAAGCGGAAATGGTGAGCGCCTTTTTTTCGCATACCGTCGAAAACAAAGAAAAACGATACGGTACGCGAAGCCACCTCCAGAGGTGGCTTTCCCTGGTATCTCTGTTATAAAAATTTCATAAGAACTTTTTCGTGTAACCACTGGAATGAGATTTCATTTTCTTTCGTGTTTATGGAAAATTTTTCAAAATGGAGTATGATTCCATTTCTTCGGATGACGAAGCCGAAAGCACTACAAACACTGTGGGCGCTGTATGCATGTCCGTTTGTAGTGTGATTCAGAACTTATTTGGGGGCTTAAAACACTTGAGTGCGAAGGGACTTCTGTCTCGCGGGGATAACGAAAACGTTAATCGGCGAGAAATTCGTTCTGCTGCACAGAATCTCTACAACCGTTATCCTGGGCGATTGTTTTTGGAGACGTACCACATTAATCCGGATGTGTTTCGTGAAATTGTGGAAAAATTACGGCCTTATTTTGAACGAAGTACGACGAAAAAACCTTATGCAATAGAGTGCAAAATAGCTGCCTGCATTCATATGCTAGCACATGGATCGTCGGTACGGTCTCAGTGTGAACTCCATGGTTTATCCCGTTCAACTGCAAGTCGTGCTTTTCGGATATTTTTGAATGCAGTGAAAAACGAGTACTGGTCACTGATTAAGTTTCCCGAAGAAGGAGGCATGATACGTTCGGCTCGTGAGTTTGAAGAGAAGGGACTGCTTTATGGTGCTCAGTGGATGCCAAAAATACTGGGAGCAGTGGATGGAACACACATTAATATTAAGGCGCCGCGCTTTCGCCCAGAAAGTTATGTCAACAGGAAAGGAGAACTGTCCTTAAATGTACAAGCTTGCGTGAATTCTTCATTGGAATTTATCCATCTGTATGTGGGAGCTCCAGGAAGAGTGCATGATCAGAATGTTTTTGATAATTCGGGACTGGAAGCCTTAATTCCAGAGAACTGGATGATTCTGGGTAAGCGTAGGCGCTAACAAATACGTACAGTTACTTATTATTTTGTATGTAATAAGCAGCTGTTTATATGTGCGTACTGTAACTGCTTAATTCTGCACTGTTGTTAATTTAAGCAATTGTTTAATTAAGTACTTTATTAATAAAGCCGTCATTCTTCTATTAGTACTGTCAATCATGTTATACGAGGTGTTTTTTTATTATACTTGTAATTTGTAGGTGATGGTGGTTATCGTGCGACGCGAAAAGTATTAACGCCGTTCCGAGAGAACGGCCGCCTATCTGCTAAACAAGAAGAATTCAACGAAATTCAGTCAAGTCTGCGAAAAGTTGTAGACAGAGCGTTCGGGGTTTTGAAACGGCGATTTAAAATTTTGAAGTATTTGGATTATGATGACATGTGCACCATGAAACACATTATTATAGTTTGCTGTCTGCTTCATAATTTGGACATCCAGTCTGCGGATGAATTTACGTCGGATATGGATAACGATCTTGAAGACTTTTATCTGGACGACGACGATGGTGTTGACGAAGGATCGTTTGGCGACTTCAAAAACGCACTCGTAACGCGCATGCTGCCAGATTCGCTGGGATAAGTAATCGGTGAGCGAAGTATTAGTTTATGAATTTTAGTGACAGTAAGGCTTACGTTGTTAACGGGCTGCTGACCATGATCAGCTACGTTTTTTGTTGCATTGCGATCTTTTCCATGATGTTTTATTGCTTGACGGTCGGGATAGAAGTTTTCTCTGGGAAGTCTTTAAAGTGTACCTTTCATGTTGACTTTGTTGTGCAAAATGTTGATTATGCCAGATGGTTATTTTTTTTGCAGTTGCGTGCTGGTGCTTTTCAATGCTTTTTTGACAAAATTGTTGCAGCAGCAGTTTGTGTGAATTTATTACAACGTTCAGTGTTATTAAGTAAATTATACAAAATTATACATCAAAGAAGTCGTTAAGCGCTATCTTTATTCATAATGCAGGTTTTCGGTGACTTCCAGAGTACAACAAAAATAACTACACCAGAATTTCTCCAGATTTACCACAATAATCTCACAACGTGGGACTCCCGTTTCACAAGATTTCACTTTAAAGAAATTTCACCCTTCCTCTAAAACCGCCACAACTTCCTCTACTCCCAGCTCAACCTCGACATTATATTGACGCTCAAACTTCAACTTTGCTAGCTCAACCTTCATTCTCTCAAGTTTGACCATCTCAGTCAAGGAGGTTCGCATATCATCCATGATGGCCACGGATCGCGTCATGAGTTTCACAGTCTCACCAGCGGCGCTTCGCTTTTCACTTTTTTTAGCCTTTTTTGCTTTTTCCGCGCTTCCAGCTGGAGATCCAACAGGAGTATCCTGTGGTGTATCGTCGTCACTAAATTAACATTTCAACATTTTTGTTTTAACCATGTCGACTTTACAGATTACAAAGGCAGTATCGGAGTACATGAAAATATCGAACATGTTTACCTGAGGTTCATTTCACCGTCCTCGCAACCGATATCTTCCAAAGCACTACTCGCAGAACCGCTTCCTAAAGCTACCGAATTATTGGCAAAAGCAATATCGTCTCGGTCTCCGTACGTCTTGTCAAATAGTTCGAATAAATAGTATTTTACTTCGCCGCTCTCTCCGGTGACATTTTTTCGTTTTTTCTCTGCCTGCAAGTAACCACAAAAAATCCACAATGTATTTATCAGTTTGTAAAATCTACTGTTAATGCGTAATTACTGGTGGCATGTGTGAACTGATACAGACAAACAAGTTCGACATAATTAATTAGGCTTACAAGCCGAGAAAAAACTTTCATAAAATTTATTCACCTTATATTTCTTCCACGCATTTTCGTACGAGATCTTCAGGTTTTCGCTGGTTCGGTTACCCAGGGCATCTTTAAAAACGCTCTGCATTTCTTGGAAAACTTTTGACCAGAACTTCGCCTTACTGGTACAGCGTCGGAATTCATCTTCGCGGTCGATGCGAGTAGCTACAAGCCACCTGAAAAAAACGATTTTACGTAGCTGTTGACCTGAAAGCACATCTGCAGCCATCGGTTAGAGAAAAAAGCACACAACATAGGCATCAGATATTACTCACTTCATCTTTTTGGGAGACAGGGGAGCAGATTTGGGAGGACGAGGCATCGTTCCGACAACTGGTCAGGTAAAACATGACAGTAAAACACGAGAATCACAAAATACTGTATTGCTGTGACATGTAAGTGCCGTTAACCGTAATTACTGAACCATTTTACGATGTTACAATACTGCTTATCATGACCAGTGGCACTTACTTTTGCTCACGAAGGCTTTGAAAGCTGGGGAAATTTGACGAAGAACTTCAGCTGCCCGTCCACAGATAACTGCGGTCTGCGAAGAAAAACCGATAGGCAGGTACCACATACGTTAGCTACAGCGCGATAATCAGGCCACTTTCAACCAAAAAACATAACTTTGAAAGATTTTGCCCGAACTTCGACGTTAAAAAGCGAGAACGTACGGACTGATAGGTTCTTGTACAGAAAACGTTATGCGCGGCAAGATGCGATCGAAGCGGTGAGACGCAAGTACAGCGATACGGCAATAAAGCTACAGATTCGATACAGGAAACCGATAGCGAGCACAGTTTCGATGCGCGTAGCCTGTACTGTACCTTGCTGACGCGCACCAAAGACTGTCCCATTTCTGTACCATAACGAAACTAGCTACGGTACTGTATCGTAGCGCGATACGCTATAGATATGAGACGATCCCTTATTCTGCGAGTTACGCTACCATAGACAATACATACAATTTTTGAGCGAGTTACGCTAGAGTTAAGTTTTCGAGGAGGCGAGTTACGCTTCAAAGTTACGTTATAACTCGATAACTCGAAAATAACTCGCGTTACGTTAAATAGTTAAAAATAACTGCACAGGTCTGTATCGAACTTTAAAGATTTGTTCACCATCACGTGTGTGGCTTGGTCTTGCGCGAATTGTTACAGTTTTGTCCAACCTGGCGCGGCATATTCGTAACCGAAACAGCTATATAGACACCGCATACATTGGTTTTGTAGATTTATATATGCTTCCGGTTGTACGTGACGTTCTTATTTAAAGTATCTTCTGATCATGGATGCAGGATTCAAAATACCTTAATCTGTATCAAGATTGACTAACCATAAGTGAAATTAACGGAGGCATACAATAAAAGTTTTGTCTAAGCATTGTGTCCGTACCTCCCACCTGTTTTGTTATTTCCTTTTACCGGGCCGTTATGGTCTTCATTAAGCATTCAGTTAAACGTGGGTTCCGGCTCAAAGCCCAAAGACCACAGGAAACCGCATTCCCTCAACCTTCAAAGTGGCCTCGAGCTCGTGTAATTTCTAGTTATTTAACCGCCAAAACTTTTCACATTCCACGTAAATAGCCGCATCCGTCTGGAAAGCACGTTTACAAGTACGGCTGTACGGGAATACTTCTTAAGCCTTAAGGCTCTTTTACGTTGACGCTTACACTCCTCTGACACCATGCATTTTTCGGCATATAACAACTTCGTACTACAGCATAGCATAAACTGCTTTAGATGTGCAGAGCTCTTTGAACATAAGCGATGTTATTATGTCAATACAGTATATTATTATTTAATAACACAGTATGTTATTAAATACAGTATGGTAAATTTTACCATTCTGTAATCGCTGCATTATATTTGTACTATACTGAGTATACTTATCGTCTTATAGACAGTTGCAGTACACATCTTTACATACTGATAAAACATCCAATAGACTTTGGTCTTCTGGTAAAAGTGTTACAGAATATATAATTCCGGTACGTAGGTATAAAAATGGACACATAGACACATATACAGATATGTATATACATGGTACACAAACAAATACCGACAATGACATGCACTTGTACAACATTCGCGGCATGAATGACAGTCATCATTTCTCAAAGCCACAAAATAATGTGCCAACAATTTTGTTATTGTGCCGAAGAAGTCCACGGCTTAAAAATTTAAAGATTTAAAGGTTAACCACCGGTATTATGTTCAACATAACCTTTGCTTACCAAAACGCATAATAGTTAATTGCTTTACGTTTTGTTCTTTCGCAGTTAAGTAGCTGATTCGTGCCATGCATTGGAACCTAAGTCTAACCGCTGTTGACCGGATAGTCCTTCTTCGTAATATTATTGCTTCACACAATGTTTACCACTTTAAAATCCGATATGTTTTGTAACTGTACTTTAGTCACCAATCCTGCTATGCTAGGCCGAATACGGTTGCACTGTGAACTTGCAGCTGGGCCAATACATACATTTGACAGCTGTATTATGCGATATTCTGGTTTCCCGCTTCTGGTTCGTGATACGGTATATGCTTAGTTGAGTCGTAGTTTTTGCAGTTTGACTCGGTATAACACTGCAATATTTTATTACCTTGGAACAGTGCGTAAATAAAAATGAATAGCAAATCAGAAGTGTTTGTGATCGGTTGTCTGAAACTGCATAATTATTTCTGGTTTTGCATTAGCCATTATGCACATTAGCGGCTACTTCACTTTAATACCGGTACGGAAACTAATCAGCTCGCGTCTGCTGCGCATCCTTGCGTATTGTGTAATGGAAGCTTACATTATTCTGCAGTTTGTCACGAAGGTCGTCAGGGCTGTCAGATTAATGCAAGGAACATCTGTAATTACTAATATGCCAAGAAAGATAATGTTGGCTCCAATACAAGCCACCTTTCCACTGACAAGACTAGCTTATTCCGCTCCGATTTGGCGACTGGAGGGCTTGTTATCGGTTTATTCTGCATCAGTCGTGACAACCTTTAAGCCATTCATACAACCGAATCACAAGATCAAAAAAGCAATTATTTCAGTACTTCTTTTTATCGTCTATCCTGCTTCGAATGTAGTGTCGAGTTTAATGGAATGGAGCACGGGAATATGGAACTTTGGAGATATGCTTTCCAATTACACCGTTTTGTTACACCGTTTTGGAGCTCAGTGCCAGACCGATTGCCATTTGCGCTGAATTTTTATATGCTGCCTGCTGGATGGGCTATCAATATCTCCAGTGTGCTCTGATTATGTTTCCGTACATCGAAGGACTACAAAAAGCGGCGTTTCGAGACACCATTGACGCTTATTCCAGGAACGTTGTTGATTCATTCAAACTGGAGAGTGTACTGGAAACACACTAATTAGTGGTCTGTCAACGGTTATACACGTATAATCAACACCTGTCTTGGCTGAATATGATAACCTTTAAGGAAAAGCTTTTGATTAACATGGGGCATATCAGTATGCAGTTTTTCTCGATGACCTTATGGACTAGCGTTATCGTTACATACTTACATTGTTGTATTTGACAATTAAATTGGCATCCAACACGTACAGAGCACGTTGTTGCACTGCAGCTGTTTTCATCGCTATAACGAAATGGTACGAATTGACAATTTCCACCGTACTTGTCGTTTTCAACAAGGCATTATTGATTTAGCTTAATTATAACGCCATAAAATTTCATGGGCTCATTTGTAGAATGAGAGCCTAATCAATTTACTGGAGCGAATGTTGGCCTTTGATAGACCGTCATCTGACAACCATATCATTGTGAGACACCATTTAGATCAAATATCCACCATGGAGCCTCGAGTAACCTTAGCTGACATACTTGTCAATCGAGACCGCGTGGTTGGGGTAAGTTCCAGCCTCAGCTGTTTAGTTTCATTATGTAATTGCAATCTGGCTGATTCACATAGCATAATTATAAAGATGCTTATTGCGTCGTATCTGTACAAATGTACGGCGCTTTAAATAATATAGCAATGTAACGGATTAACACTGGTTTAAAGCGTACAAGTACTGGATTAAAAATTATTTCTGCTTTGCAGATTATTTGTGGCGTGTTTGGCTATGTTTTGGTCGTAGCAGAACTGAGCGACAAGCATCGCTAAAAATCGAGTCGAGATGACCAAAATTCGAATGCAGTGAACCAAATGCCGCGGATGAAGACAACGCACAAACCAAGATATTAGTACTTAAAGTAATCATGTTTCTTTAGAAAATGACCGCAGGCTAGCTAAATGAACAGACTTACTTATATGCACCAAATTTTTTTAAGTGCTTATTCATACAATTTATGCAAGGCCACAATTAAACTATGCAGTCTACAAATGTTTTCAGTTATAATTAGTCGATTGGGATGCTAATTTATAAAGCTGTCATCCAAATAGTGGAACAGCCTAACTGATTCCATCTTCCCTTGGCTTACTTGTCAATCCTGTATTCCTAAGTGGTTACGAACCTATGCATAAGATCGACGTTAATTTGATGCGCTTCGCCATTGACATGCTCCCTCTTTACGTATATCATCTCGTAGTCTAAACTCTTTCTTAATTTTGGTGTCAAAAAAAGCTTTAATATATCTGTAGTATTTCTATTACTGCGCAAAGTGGCTGTATGGAAAAACTGTATATCTAGAGCAGATACTAGCAAATATAGATGCGGACTGGAAAGAATCTTATTAAACTGAAAACTACCTATTGAAAACAATTTGCGTTTATGATAATAATTATCATAGCGGAGCATCAATTAAATCTGTAGTCCAAAGGCAGTCCGCGTCTTGTCCTGCTGGTATCTTCGACCGTATCTTCAGACACAGATGTCCATTATTCCGAAACGTTAGCTCGGCACCTAATCGGGAGACAAGTACAGAGCATTTAGTTGGAATGTTTAAAAGTAGAAACATAGAGTAGTAGCTTATGTCTAGTTTATTTCGCGCAAAGGGCGAAGCCGACGCGCATTTTTACAGGAAAATCTCTAGAAATTATACAAAAAAATAGTTCGGGACAGCTTCGAAGCGCGAAGCCAACGCATTTTTCCAAACAAATCGCTAGAAATTCTATAAAAAATAGTACGGGACAGAAAGCAGTGCTCAGCTCGCTCTTGACCTCTGATTGCCGCTCGCTCCGCTCGCCCATCGATAAACGACCACTCGGCTCGACTCGGCTCGCGCCAGTAGCGGTAAAAGCCTGCTCATTCGGCTCGCGAGCCGCCAGCGCTCACGAGCCGAGCCAAGGCTCGGCGCTCGCGCAGAGCTCTAGTCTGAATGGCAGTTTCTACACGCAGCAGGGTTCATACGAGTAAAAATGAAGTCTTACCTTTGAATTGAGGTGTCACCCATTCAGCCAATCCATACGGGTAATGATACAGTCCAACGCGCCAGTCGTCTTGCATCTTCACAAATGACCGACAGTCACCGCCGCCGGAATTCGCTGTCCACATAACTTGCAGTGTATTGGTCTGATACAATACCAGATTTCCGTTGCTCTGTAAGTACAGGCAAGTTGTGTTGTCGGTAGAGCAGAACTGCTCTTCAGCGTAGAGGTAATCGCCTATTTTTAGAGTCCCCACTAAAATTGGAGAAACTTTATTACGCTCGTCGCTAAATAAAACTCAAGAACAGCTTTGCTAATTCACCTGGAAGTGGTCGATCGCGTTTCTTCAGAGAGCACTTCATGGAAGCATGTGCGGCGATATCCACGCCGAATGCCAGTGGAGTGAGGCGGCTAACTAACATCAGTCGCAGATTCTGTATGTCCTTAGAGAATTGCGCAATTGCAGTGGCAAACTCATTTTTCATGGACTGCTCTAAGGATTGCACGCGAGCCGATAACGCCAGGTTGGATTGTGCGGTCGTATTGGTCAACTCTTTCTTTATAGACTGTTCTAATGACTGAACGCGATCGGACAAAGCCTGGTTGAATTGTGCTGTTGTATTGAATAAATAGTTTTTGATGGACTGTTCTATGGATAGAACGCGTTGGGACAGTGCCAGATTTCCACTCGAACAGGTGGCCACGACTTTTTCAAGGTTCTGCACCAGGGCAGCAGTATCGCGACCTAGACGCATAGTCCGTGATGAAAAACCATCAATTAAACTGGTTTGTTGAATCGTGGCCAGGTAGTAATTGGTTTATCGCTATACGTAGTACCGGTAAAAGAGTCAACTGACCGCTTTCCGAAGAAACATTCGCCACGAATCCGCTGGACGCTTTAAATCGTTCTTGAGCATTTTTTAAGGCTTGAGATTTTGAGGGATCCTCGAATGGGTTCCACACGCCGGATGCCAATTCCGATACACAAGCCAGGACCATAACTTTCATAAGAACGATAACTTTCTTTGATGACATCTCTTCGACTCGATTAATTTTTACCGCTATTCTAGACAGTATATTAAGGGGCTGCGTAGCAGCAAACTGGGTTCTTTCACTTCTTTGTGACCGAAACAGACACTGCATACAATCTGACTAAATGAGGAGGCTACGGTCTATGTTAAAAAGCCAGCGAACAGCCTTTTTGCCCTCTGAGGCTGGTTGATCAATGCAGCCTCTCTGTTGTGACTATAAATAGACTGAAGACAGCGCATTCCGGTGCTGCCAAAAAGCGCAAGCGGAGTGCTGCCTTGCTGTATCGATCAATCGCGCACATGTGTGTGTGAGTGGGTAAATCCGCTCGCATTCACTTACACACGTATGAGTGTGGCTGTCTGTGCGCGTACTAGCTGTACAAACCGGTTTTCGCTGTCTTCGCTACAACGCATACCCTAAACCCGTAGCTTCCTTTCTTGCTCGCATTGTACACCGGTTTGTAAATTGTAGCGTTATATATAGAGCATACTACTATATATTACGAGTATTTGCATTGCTTGCGGTTGTACCCGACACTATTATTTAAAGCGTCTTCCGGTCATAAATGCAGGATGCAAAGTTTCTTAATTTTATCAAGGTAATTATTGGAGGCATGCAGTAAAAGTTTTGTGTAAGCATCGTATCCGTATCTCCAAACTGTAATGCTAGCTTTTTTAACATGGTCGTTATGCTCCCCAACAACGCGTCATTCCGTTAAAGTTTGGTTCCGGCTTAAAACCACAGATCAAAAGAAGCCGCATTCCATCACCCTTCAATGTAGCCGCGAGCTCGTGTAACTTCTAGTAAGTTTACCGCCAAAATTTCCTACATTCCACGTATATGTTCGCATCCGTCTGGAAAGCACGCTTACTACTACCGATAAATTCTTGACGCCCTAAAGCTTTTACCGTTAGCACACCTCTGACAACATTTATTTCAATGCATATAAAAGCTTATCATAACGGCGTAGCGTATTAGTTGTATTGTTCAATAAATGCGCAGTAAGCAGTGCTTATGCTTAATGCCGTATGCTTAATGCTTAAGCCGTATGCTTAATGCTTACTACTGTCTTGATGCACTCGTAACTGCTTCTGCTGCAGTTATGTTAGCCAGTCTTTCCGATCTTTGTATATGTATTTATGGGGTACGATACAACGATGACACGGTTACAATAGGTTCTAATCGTAAGCTAAAAACATTTGATACACAAGCGCATGTATAATGTACGCAAGACAAAACAGTACTTACTTGTTTGAATAAACTCCTGTAGATCTTTCTTGCAATGGACCTGTCATAAGAATGAGATCAGAAACTTTTAAAGAGCCCTAGAGTAGGTGTGCCATCATTTTCTTATACCGTGCACTGCCGGACCCACCAAAATACTGCAAAAATTTATAACTAGAAAAATGCACGTTGGCGTGCCTTAACAGACCGGAGCGAAGCGATTTCACAGCTTGGTCAAGAAGCTTTGTTGTATGGCCCGCCGACAAAAATTCATTGACATTTTTTGTAAATCATTCTCGGACAACATGTGGGAAAAACTGAAAACCAGACTAAACTTTTTTGCCACCGTTCTTCTTTCATTTCTGTTCTTTCTTTCTTCTTTCAGTTTTAGTTTTTTCACTTTGTAGTTAAGCAAGCTTAGAGCAGTTGTTCCCATAATTTGCCACATATCACCCGTCAACAAATACAAATTGATCATTTTTAAGTTATCATCGTATGTCCAGTATCTTTTGCGAGTAGTTTCAAGTTATTTCTGACACTAAACCGTGATTACAGCGAAATTAAAACTACGGCAAATCTGCTTAACCCGGCAATGCCCGAGGTATCAAGGAATTTTTTGTCGAAGTTGCAAATTCATACCATAGAATAACAATAAATTACCCTGAACTATTTTTTTCAAAATTTTTGCTGCAGTAAATTTTTGCTAGAATAGAATTTGTTTAGAAGTAGTAGTTTAGAATTTGAAGGGGAGGTGGGTAGGTGGCACCGCTTGGGCATTAACGATATACAATACGGGCGGTGTGGGCAGTGGGCACGGTGGTTGCCGGTGCGACAACACACAAATTCCGTTGTACACAACATTATGGCTACTTGATCTACTCGAATCAACCTGGCTGTGGTAGCTGCTTACACTTTTCAATAGTTAGCTTGTGCAATTTAATTCATCATGAAAAGGTTCATGGTTGAATTTATAATCAAAAAATGTTTGATTTCCGGTCAGTATGCAACAGGGTAATGGTGGGCAGCGCCAGTTTACATGAGCATAACACTGATCATAGCCAGCCATATTTATTGTTGGCTGCTTCGATCACAACGTCGTTCTATTGTTCTTTTTCCTATTGCAGTCGAAGAAAATATTGTGATATGATAAGAAAAATGTTTTATTAGCATTTATGCTATTATAAAAGCACTGAGATGTCCTTATTTGTTTGATATTTTCAGTTAGCTGACAGTGTTATGGTTTAGCTACTCTCTTAGTACGCAGCGGCTGAATCATATGATGTGTGCGGCTCTGGTTATTGTGCCTGTTCAGGCAGCCTGTTACTGTCCTACGCCAATGCCCAAGCGGTGGAATTTCCACCAGCTGTTTTTGAAAATTCACAGTTTTTTTTTTACATAGGTGCTGCAGACTTTTGTGGGATACTGAAATTGTGAGATGCTCATATGAAGTTATCACCAATTTAATCCCAAATTTTTACCATAACAGCCGATTTAGATACACTTCGTAGAACTTAACGTTATTTTTTGAGTTGTTTCTGTTTTTCAGTGTAAATTCACAGTTTTTTCAAAAGAGCTGCAGACTTTTGTATAATACTGAAATTGTGAGATACTCATATGGAGTGTATCACCAATTTAATCCCAAATTATTACCATAACAGCCGATTTAGATACACTTCGTAGTACTTTACGTTATTTTTTCAGTGGGTTTTAAGCCATGTAGGTTTTTTAGGGTACACTATGCAACTAAAACACACTATCTTTGCTCTATCTAATCTAACGCATATGTAACCCAGGCAATAACAATAGTCCTGGTGTTGTAAAAATTGGCGAACTATACTAGCAGACGTTGCCGGTTTGAAGCAGTTAAACCCAGGGTCCCTAAAGCACCTCCTCCCATTAAAAATTCGTTTTTAGTTGTTGCCAGAGTTGAAGGTAATTAGTTTAGAAACCGTTTAGGTATCACAAGCCCGCTTCTCTAAATAAATGTTGTAACAAACAACGGAATTTTACGCAAACAATGGAGTGTCTATTTGCCAGTCGATTTTACCCAGCTCTGGGTGACCTTTTTGAATTATTGCCGGCACTGTTAAAATGGGTGATCACCCCAGTTACTTCTTACAACTGCCTAAGCCAGGGTTGGCATGGGTCTTCATTATCTAAGCCAGGGTGCCCTTACTTGTCGAGCTTCTTCTAAAAGTAAGTCACGTTTTATTCGAATGCGACATTGGGAAAGGTTGCTATTTGAAGTGCCCTATGTTCTTCATTAGCGTTTTAAGCATACAGGAAACACCACGTTACCATCAACGGTGCTTCCCCAACAGACACAAGATAAGCAGTGCAAAACTGTTCTACAGTCTCATGGCGTTATCGGGCTAGTCCGCGGTAAAGTCATATTTGGGACTTTCGTAACGGACACAAGTGAAGCACTGCAAAACTACTGTATAGAGCCGTGACGTCATCTGACGTATCCAGGATGACGTCATAGCTGGACTTCCGTAACGGACACAAGTGAAGCTAAGCATTGGAGCTGAATTAGGAAGACCTTCGCTTCGCTCCGGTCAATTAATAAGTTAACCGCATTTGAAAATTATGTAACATTAACTTTAGCTGGACAATATTCCGCAACGTTTGATAAATCTCTCTTATACGTTGTGTATTATTGAAATACCGAGCCGGGTGTGTGACGTGTAATGGAAATGCAAGACCAACCGCTCGATCATGACAGGATAATTTCCAAGCAGTTTAAAGGAAGACTGGCCTTGCCAGTTAAAAAACCGTTTTTAAATCCACATTACCAAGTAAACGCATATTATAGTATTGGAAAATTACATATATCGGCAAGCAGTTAGTTCAGGTCGAGAAGACCGATCGCCATGATTTTTAAAAATTTACTACTTGCTAACAGCCGTTTATATGCCGTACATACATTTACACATTTTTGTCTTTAAACATTTTTCAAGCAACCTAAAGATAAATTGGAACATCGTTAGTTTTCAGAGCCAATATTGTTTCAAAACTAAGTGCTTAACACTCCAAAATCTGTATCTATCTTTACAATAATACACAGTCCCTGTTCTTCGGACAAACTGCTTTAACAGTAGAAAATTACAGTGGTGCTTCTGCGTAGATAAATTTGCCGAATTTGCGAATTCCTCTCGTGAATAAAAATCAGTCACGAACGATAGCCATTTTCAGTACTAGTATTACCAAACTGTACGAACAGGACTCGTATGACACGCGATAAGGGTAATCAAACTGCTCCGTTGCCCATGTGGCAACCGTCAATGGGTAATGGTAATTGGTAGAGCACGAGGCGTCCATCGTCCTGCCTTTTAAAAGTGACCGACAGTTACCCACCCCAGTGTATGATGTCCAGATAACCTCGTACGATTTTGTGCGGTAGAGCACCATATTTCCGTTGCTCTGCAGGTACAGGCAGGTCTGATTGTCGGTGGCACAGAATTGCTCTTCGGGATACAATTCATCTCCGGCTTTCATTATTCCAACTACAACAATTAATCACTTCTACTGTTGGTAAACTATTAGCATTCATGTAAAACAATTATAGGTTTACAAGGTATCATCTATACTTCCGTACACGATAATATGTACCGTCCTTGTGAGGACCGAACTTCAAATATAACATTATTTTGTCGGCTAATTTAATTGTCGCAGTGAACCAAAACTTTCCAGGAAAGGACCGTTTCTTTGTTTTAAAGAGCACTTCATAGCAGCCCGTGTGGCAATATCAGCGATGTTTTCTAAAGGAGCGATACGATTGACCAGTTCGGCTCGGAGACTCTTAATCTCCTCCTAAATATTGTTTGATTGCGTGCCCAAATAACCGAATGCTGCCTTCATAGCTTGCTCCAAAGATTGCAGACGGGCCGAGAGTGCTGTATAACCGTTCAGACATTGATACATGACCTTATCGAGCTTGTCCGGAATGGCGGTAACATCAGGCTTGATGGTACATCGACTAGTTCTCCGACTCTGAGTGGCGTGGAATTTTGAGCATTATCTTGGGCAGTAATTACATTTGGACTGTAACCAAAGGTTCCATAGCCGGTTCCGTCAGTGGATTGTCCAGAATCGTGCGCTTCGGCTTGGACAGGTCTTTCCATTCGGACTATGATAACTGCCTCCATAATCCGTGGGATAGAAATTATTACGCCAATCCGGAAGATTATTGAAATTCGGATCCAAATAACCAAATACCGTGAATGTAGAGAATATACAAACTAAGATAATAATACGTAGAGTAATCATGTTTGGATAGCAGAAAACGGCCAGAAGCTAACTGAAACAAGCAGCTCTTCTAATATAACACAAAATTTTCTTTGTTCGATCTTGGCTTATTCACATACTTTATACATTAGATACGATCCAATATTCAGCCAAGGTGGATCATATCCATAATCCACCTTGATTCAACTATGCATTATACAGTCTACTCTGTACAAGCGGTGCTGTGGTAGCACAACTGCTCTTATTTTGCGCATTAGGATAATTTGCAATAATGTCATCTGAACAGTCGGAATAGCGTAGCTGATTCTGTCGAGCACTCAGTCAGCTTCAAAGGACCTTTGTCTGCTCCGAGACGGCGCCGGTATTGTGTGCGTTGATAACTCGTCGACAGTGGCCGACTGTTGATCATCTCCAAATTACTTAAATGGAAGGTCGGGAATAGCGACCGCAACAATGAATGGCTTGCCTGAAATGAATGAATGGGATTTGGCCCGGTACATAGCACCAAATTTGTATACATCCACGGCAACTTTCGCTGTCGCGCACTCCCAAACACTTTTTTGCATTGCTTTATGACATTTTGTAGCCATAATGAGACTTTTGGTACACCTCCGGCGTTTAAACTTTTGGAATTTTATTTCACTAATATCTCCCGAACCGGATGTGGCGCGCACAAACGGTTTTTTCGCCTATGTATACAAATCCTTTGGCTACAAAAATTAATATCATAAAGCAATGCAAAAAAGTGTTTGGGAGTGCGCGACAGCGAAAGTTGCCGTGGATGTATATAAATTTGGTGCTATGTACCGGGCCAAATCCTTAAGTTGTTAACTCGTGTGTCCCTGAGTTGGTTATGCATAAAATAAGCGTTACTTCAATGTGTTTCGCCATTGTCCATCATGACGTACATCATCGGTACATGAAAATCGTCTGTCTAGATGCATTTTCCTGTTAATTCTGTGCTGTCAATAGTTTAAAGAAACTTTTACCGCGCAAAGCGAATGTATGAAAAGACTGTTTGTCTGCACTAGCAAACATAAAAGCGGTTTAGAAACCGAAACAAATTAAAACGTCCAAAAAAACTTTGCTGATCGGCTTATGCGTTGGTGATATCGGATGTCAGCCGCCTGGACGTTTTAATTTTACTGTACACATTAAATTTAGTCAGTTCTTCAGAGCTGATTTAAAACAGTGCAAATACAGAGATACTAATAAATAATTAATAAATAAATAAATTAACTATACTGGCGCAGCAATGAGATCCGTAGTCCAAAGGCAGTTCCCATCTTGCCCTTCTGCAATCTTCGACTGCATCTTCAGACAAAGATGTCCATTTTTCTGAAACGTTAGCTCGGCACCTAAATCGTGACAGAAAACATTTTGTTCGTAACTTGGTATATTTAAACGCTGAATCATGCAGTAGCTCAGGCCTTAATGGCGATTTCTAAACGAGTACTGCACATACAGCTATGTCCCTGCAAATGCGGTTGTTATTATGTTTTGCTAGATCACATGTTGTACCTCTGAATACAGGTGTCACCCATTCAGCCACCCCATACGGATAATGATACAGTCCAACACGTCCATCGCCTTGCATCTTGACGAAGGAGCGGCAGTCACCGCCGCCGGAATTCGTTGTCCAAATAACTTGCAGCGTACTGGTCTGATACAGAACAAGATTACCGTTGCTCTGTAAGTACAGGCATGTTGCGTTGTCGGTAGAGCAGAATTGCTCCTCAGCATACAGATAATCGTCTATTTTCATGGTCTCCACTAAAAATCACATGTGTTACGCACATCACTCTGAAAAGAATTAGGAATGACGTTGCTAACTCACCTGGAAGTGGTCGATCGCGTTTCTTCAGAGAGCACTTCATGGAAGCATGTGCGGCGATGTCCACGCCGAATGCCAATGGAGTGAGGCGGCTAACTAGCATCAGTCGCAGATTCTGTATGTCGTTAGAGAATTGAGCTGTTGCAGTGGTAAACTCATTTTTTATGGACTGCTCTAACGATTGCACGCGAGCCGACAATGCCAAGTTGGACTGGGTTGTTGTGTTGGTCAACTCGTTTTTTATAGACTGTTCTAAGGAATGAACACGATCGGACAAGGCTTGGTTGAATTGTGTTGTTGTATTGGCCAGCTGGTTTTTCATGGACTCTTCCAAGGATTGAACGCGTGTAGTCAGTGCCAGATATCCACTCGAACAGCTGGCTTGGACCTTTTCCAGTTTCTGCGCTAGGGCAGCAATATCGCGACCAAGCGTAAACGCATAGCCCGTGGTGACAAACCATCCGTTAAACTGGTTTGTTGAACCTTGGCCAATATTTGGTTTCTGTGTAGTGCCGGTAAACATGGACAACTGGCTATTCTCCACGGAAGGCGTATCAAGCAGTACACTGCTGCTGTTTGAAATGTTTTTAGCCACTAAGGAGTCGTTCGATCCGAATCCGCGATCCTCGAATAGGTTCCACTCACTGGACACCGCTTCCGATTCACAAGCTAGGGCCAGAAAGCTAAGAACGATAACTGTTATCAATGACATTTTCCTGACACGACAATCGTTTAACTGTAGTCTACACTGTAGCTAAAAGCTCTGTTCCGTATATATTGTATAAAACTGCGTTCTTCGTAACGAAATGGCTATATATCGGTTATACATCGGTTTCGTAGCGTTATATATATATATATATATATATATACGAGTATATATATACTCGCATCGCATTTTTCCATTGCTTCCGGTTGTACGTGACGTTCTTATTTAAGGTATCTTCCGGTCATAAATGCAGGATACAAAATGCCTTAATTTTAATCAAGGTCGACTACGTGAAGTTAACGGAGGCATGCAATAAACGTTTTGTCTAAACATTGCATCCGTACCTCCCACCTGTATAGTTATTTCCTTTTACCTGGTATAGGCTTCATTAAGCAATCCGTTAAACGTGGATTCCGGCTCAAAGCCTAAAGACCACAGGAAACCGCATTCCATCACCCTTCAAAGTGGCCTCGAGCACGTGTAATTTCTAGTTATTTAACCGCCAAAAATTTTCACATTCCACGTAAATAACCGCTTCCGTTCGGAAAGCACGTTTACAAGTACGGGTATATTTCTTACGCCTTAAGGCTTTCACCGTTAAGACGTTAAGATTAAGATTTGTTGACGTTAAGATTTCTCTGACACCATGCATTTTTCTGCATAACGTAACAACTTCGCACAACAGCATTTTGTAAACTGCTTTAGATGTGCAGTTATCCTTGAACATAAGCAGTATGTTCGTTACAGTACGTTAATTTACTATAAGCGCTGCAATATACTATACTATACTTTTAGTCTTACAGACATCTGTTATAGTACAGGTCCTTACGTATTAAAAATAAAAACATCCACACAGCACTTCGTATGTTAAAATTATTACAAAATATAGTCTTCTATATACATATAATTCCGGTACATAGGTGTAGATCTGGAAATAAGTACACTGTACACGGTACGCATACCGGCATGCACCTGTACAGCAGATGTGGCGTGAAATGAATGACAGCCACAATTTTTCAAAGCCACAGTGTGACAAGAGCTTTTTTATTGAGTGGACGAAGTCCTTGGCAGTAAAAATCTGAAGATTAAAAGTTAACCGCCCGGGTTCGGGTTAATATAACCGCTATACGTACACGGTTCCACAAAGCATAATTAATTGTTTTACGGTTTTTTCATTTGTAATTGACTAGCTGCGTTTGTACCGTGCATTGAAACTTAAGCCTAACCGTTGGTGACGGGGTAGCTATAGTCCTTCTTCATATTGCTACACAGTACACACAATGTTTACCCCTTTAGAATTCGATATGTTTGGTGTACAAGTACTCTAGTCAGCCACCCTATACTAAATACGGATGCACGGTGAAGTTGCAGCTGGACCAAGACATTTGACACTTGTTTTATGGCGTATATTTAGGATGCCCGGTTTGTGGTTCATGATACGGTGTATCTGTACTTTGGTTGAGTCGTCGTTTTTGCAGTTTGACTCGGTGTAATACTAATGGAGATATTTTATTACCTCGGAACAGTGTGCAGTTAAACATGAAACGAACATCAGGATTGTTTGTGATCCGCTGTTTGAAACTGCATAATTATTTCTGGTTTTGTATTATGCACATTTGCGGCTACTTCTGTTTACCGGTACGAAAACTAATCAGCTCGCGTTTGCTGCGTGTCTTTGTTTATTGTATAATGGGAGCGTACATTATTCTGCAGTTTACCGCAAATCTCGTCAGGGCCGTCAAAATAATGCAAGTAACTTCTTTAGTCACAAACATGTCAAGAAAGATAGTGTTAACTCCAATACAAGTAACCTTTCCCCTGACGAGACTAATTTATGCCGTCCAGATTTGGCGATTGGAAGGTTTTTTATCGGTTTATACTGCATCAGTACTAAACACCTTTAAGCCTTTTATAAAATCTAATCACATAATCAAAATAGCAGCTTTATCAATATTCCTTTTTATCGTGTATCCTGCTTCGAACGTAGTGTCGAGTTTAATGGAATGGAATACGGGAATATTGAACTTTGGTGATATGTTTACCAATTACACCGTTTTGGGGCGCAGTGCCGGACCGGTTGCTATTTGTGCTGAACTACTGTTCGCTGCATGCTGGACGGGCTATCAATCTCTTCAGTGCGCTTCGATTATGTTTTCGTTTATAGAAGGACTACAGATAGCCGCGTGTCGGGACGCCATTAACGCTTTTTCGAGGAACGTTGGTGATTCCGTCAAACTGAAGAGTGTACTGGACACACACTTAGTGGTTTGTCAACGATTGTGCACGTATGATCACCACCTGTCTTGGATAAATATGATGACCTTTACGGAAACGCTCTTGATTAACATGGGGCACCTGCAATTTGTTCTCGATGACTTTTTGGACCAGCGTGACCTCGATATACTTACATTGTTATATCTGGCATCCAGTGCGTTCATTGTAGCACTGCAGCTGTTTTCGTCCTTATACGTCAACGAGATGGTACGATTACAGCATTGGCTGTTGGTAATTCCCATCGTAATTCTCGTTTTGACCAAGACATTATCGATGTTTGTTTAATTATTACGTCATAAAAGTTCATCGGCTGACATTTTTGTAGAACGAGAGCCTAGTCAGTTTATTGGAACGCAGTTTAGCCTTTGATATGCCGTCATCTGACAACACTGGAATTGTAAGCCGCCATTTAGACCGAATATCAGCCATGGAGCCTCAACTAACCCTTGCTGGCCTACCTGTCAATCGGGATCGCGTAGTTGGAGTAAGTGCAAGCCCACGCTGTTATGTGTACGTACGGTAAATACAGTCTGACTGTTTCGCGTAGTATGCAAAGATGCTTACAACAAGTCCTTATTCCATGTTGACAAAACACTAAATTAATCAAAAATACAAATGTACACATGTGTGGACCTGTGGTACGAAGCTTTAAATAAAAATAATACAGCTATTTAAGGCACTGATGCAGTTTTTAAGCGTGCGATTATTGGATCATGATAAAAACTTCTTGCTGTTTTACAGATAATTTGTGGAGTATTTGGCTACGTTCTGGTCTTAGCGGAACTGAGCGACAAGCATCGTTAAAAACTGCCAACGAAAACTGAAATGACACCGGTAGATTACGCTATAAAACTGTACCAACGTGTTTGTTTATTTGTGTCAAATAGATCCGCAGAACGTAATTCCCTTCAGTTATTAGCTTAGTACTACAAAATAATCGGTGCTGGATTTTTCTCGGAATATGTTTCCGGTACATTGTTTTCATGTTCAATAGTTTCATTATCACTGCCAAAAATTTTATTGTTGGACCAAATGGTCACCAAAAAGGACCTATGGATATTGTGGATCAGCGGAAAGTGCATGCCAGACTGTCCTAACGTCGGCTGGACTGGTGTCTCATTGTCTAATAAACTGGTTCGTCGGCTGGACTGATGGTAAAATCAGTAAGCTTTGCGACCACACCGAAATTTGCAACAGAAAATGTGCAAACGGAGATTTCGGTGCCGGAGTGTTGATAATTAAACATCATTTACATAAATACTTAAACATCAGAACATTTTTGCGAGACTGACGAAAAAGCGGCACGTTTACGAGTAACGTTCTCTCAACACACATTATCATCTTGTAATTGCAGTTCATAAAATAATTCTTGCGAATTTCAGAGAACCACGATTGTTTTAAAGTTTAGTACACAGCACATGATTACGAAAATTTTTCGAAACTATTTAGCAAAAACAGAACCTTTGGGTAAATGGTACGCTGCTCTCATTTCTGATAATATATCTGAGAGTCCCACGCCGAATCAATGAAATCAGTTGACCAAAAACAGTCGGAATCGTCATATAGCTTCAGACACAGATTGGTTCGAAATACCAGCTTGGCACCTAAAAAGAGTATTCGCTGTACTTGCTTGCAGGATACCAAAGAAACTGGCATTAAGCGAAATAGATATACGGAAATTCACAAGTAAATAACCCAGTATGTTAATTTTTTCTTTTCGCATGCGCCTTGTGACGCACAGCTACTGTGATTATACCGGTTGTGCTCTACGGCTGAAACACTAATTACAGTGATTAACAAGTCACTGCAATTTATCAAATCCAATCGCCTAACCGTGAGCTAATGCTGTCGCCCCTTTGGCTTCCTTAGTTGGGAAATGATACAGCGCAAGGCGGCCATCGTATTGCATCCTGAGAAGCGACCGGCAGTCACCCACACCGGTGTATGATGTCCAAATAACCTGCAATGTCATCGTCCGGTAGAGCACCATATTCCCGTTGCTCTGCAGGTACAGGCATGTCTGGTTGTCGGTGGAGCAAAACTGTTCTTCGGCATACAGTTCATCTCCTGCTTTCATGGTTCCCACTAAAACACTAGTTTTGTGAAGAGGATACGAACGCATACAGAAACAAGTGCTTGCATAAGCACACACATGCTGTATAATAATGCTGGGACCTTAACTGGCATCACCTCGTGTTCAATGCAAAGATAAAAAGTAGTTCTATATTATGAGTAGTTCAAATTTCCAAGTATTACTGTACCTACTGCCTGTATTAAAATCAAACTTACCTGGAACAGGCTTGTCTCTTTTCTTCAACAAACACTTCATTGAAGTACGCGCGGCAATGTCTGCACCATTTTGCAGTAGAGCTAGGCGGTTGGTGACGGTAAGTCGGAGATTCCGTAGCTCTTCGGAGATATTTTCAGACTTTTTAACATAATCTCCTTTTAGCAAATTTTCCAGAGACTCAACGCGGGTTTTCAATGCTAAATAACCACCCATGGAGTTGGCCATGACCTTATCGAGCTTCTCCAGAATTGCCTTGATATCGCGGCCCAGACTGAAGGCAAAATTAACGCTATCGAATCCATAAGCCCTACCACCATCCTTTCCTCTCCCAAAGGAATACAGGTGGGTGTTCCCTCCCAAATTGGAATTTACCGAATCATTTCTACCTGATGGGGTTGAATTCGCTCTAAATGTATTGGAAATTTGGAATCCATCTCGAGCGGCTCTTTTAACGAAATCATGTGTTCCGTGTTCGATCGGGTTTGCAAAACTTGCATGAGCAGAATCAACAATCAGAATACCAACGTGTAAATGAAACGCTCGCAAAATGAAACTGGTAAAATACAACATTCTTTAAGGAAATTGTATCAATAATCACATTCCATCGTATCGCTGGTTTTCATAGACCTCATCGTTTGATACTTATATGCAAAAAATTAAAGCCTACGGGAAAAAAGTCTGCCAGTCACGTTAGTTCTGCAAGCGACTTATCTGTAAGTAGACAAACGGGAAAACTGAGAATAGTCATTTTTTGGTTAAATGAATTCCTGGAAAAATTATTGCAGTTCTTCCGTGATCGGTGATAAGTTTTTCTTCAAAAAAGATCCGACGACGTCGGCTTTAAGCAGGTCTAGGCGGCCGTTTAGGCCATTAGGCCCACTACTTATTAGCAGTCATTTAGTGGGCGGCAAGATTCTGGTTCACGTTTTCCCACCCACCTGGCCCGGATGGAGCATAAAGTACTTGTAAATCAGCGCGACTAAATAACGTGTGTCATCGTCTAAAATTTCGGTTCCGGCTCAAAACACAGGGGGAACAGGAAGCAGCATTCCGTTACTGTATAAAGCAGCCTCGAGCTCGAGAAATTTCTTGTTACGCTACCGCCAAAAATATTTACTACGTATATAGACGCATCCGTTTGGAGAGCACACTTTTTAGTACCGGTATATGTGTTAAGCCGTAAGGCGTTTACTGTTGGCGTTAACATTCCTCGGACAGCACTTCCTTTGGACTGTGTATAAAGCCTTCGCAAAACAACAAAGTCTTAAATACGGCCATCAGTTTTCAGTGCACCGATAACTTCATCACAAACTATTAAAACTAATTATAAATACTCCGTTAATCGCATTAAAACTTCACACTGCCGTATGTTTCCGCCGCGCATACGTATTCGCTCCACTTCTTGAATAATTCGATGGTAGAGCTACGTGCGAGCCGGGCAATAAAGTCCAAAACAGGAAGCTGATCACAAAACAGTTCCCAACTTTCGGCTTCGCCTTTCATTACACAATCCCGGAATCTGATAGTTTGCGATTTAGAATCCGATATGTTTGGTAACGGTACCGACCTTGGTAAATAACGCTGCGGTGTATGCCGAAGTACGCTTGCATCTGACCGCACACCTGTTTCATGGCGTATTTCGGCTGAGTGGCCAGTTGCCAATTCTTAGAACGATAAAGAGTTTTTGCTATCAAAGCTAGTAAGTGTTTTGTGCGCAACTTCCGAGTAGTGGATAATGTCATTCCCTTGGTATGTACTTACTAACAGCGTGAAGCTGGAATTTCAGACAGTGTTCTCCGCTTGTGTCATTCAGCAGCTCAAGCGGTGCATGATTCAAAATGAACAGCAAATCAAGATGGTGCTTACCAGGTTGTTTGAAACTGCATAATTACTTCTGGTTTGGCATCATGCACATTTGTGGCTACTTCTGCTTGCCGGTAAAAACCTTGATCAGCTCGCGTTTGTTGCGTAACTTTACGTACTGTATAATGGGAGCATACGTCATTCTGCAGTTCATTACCAACGTCGTTAGAGCTAATAACTTCCGCGCTCACAAACATGGCGAGAAAGATCATTCTAACCCCCATGCAAGTGACATTTCCTCTGACCAGGCTAATTTATGTCATTCAGATTTGGCGATTGGAGGGCTTCTTAACGGCCTATTCCACGTCACTGGTGACGACCTTTGTACCATTTCTACAACAAAATCACATAAACAAAATATTCCCTTTTTCAGCATTTCTGTTCGTCGTGTTTCCGGGTTCAAATTTAGTGATTAGAGTAATGGAGTGGAATACCGGGATATTTAACTTTGCGGATGTGTTGGCCAAGTACAGCGTTTTGGGGCGCAGCGCCGGACCGACTGCTGTTTTTGCTGAACTGGTGTTTGCTGCTTGCTGGATGGGCTACCAATGTCTACAGTGTGCTCTTGTTGTGTTTCCCTTTATCGAAGGGCTACAGATAGCGGCGCTGCGAGACAGCATTGACGCTTTTTCGGATAATGCTGCTGATTCAGCCAAGCTGGGAAGTGTACTGGAAACACACTTAGTGGTTTGTCAACGATTGTGCACGTATGATCAGCACCTATCGTGGCTAAGTTTAATGACCTTTATTGAAACGCTTTTGATTAACTTGGGGCACCTGCAGTATGTCCTCGATGACCTTATGGACCAGCGTTATATGGATATACCTACACTGTTATTTTTAGCTTCCAGTGCGTTTATTGTGGCGCTGCAGTTTTTTGCGTCGTTGTATGTCAACGAAATGGTACGTCGATAACGGTATTAGCAAGTTGCTAATAGCAACTAATCGTTAACACCAAACACCCACGAACCTTTCGTTTTTAACACGACGATAAACAGTAACGATTTTAGTGCCGTCATTAAAGTTTTTTCGTCATCTTAATCAGTGATTACATTATTAAAATTTTTCACTGGCATTTGTAGAATGAGAGCCTAGCCAATTCACTGGAGCGGATTCTAGCCTTTGGTAAGCCATCGTCCAGCAATCATGTCATAGTGAGCCACCACTTAAATCGTATTTCTGCCATGGAGCCTCAAGTAACTCTAGCTGGCCTGCCTGTCGATCGTGACCGCGTTGTCGGAGTAAGTGTCACCTTGTTGTCATTATATGTATATTGGGACTGATTCACGTAATCTATAAAGGTAAATACTGAAACACGCGTTAGTCAGTTGGACCAAACAGCAAACAAGTAAATGATGAATACAAATGCACGAAGCATCTAAACAATACCATATCGATCTATGGCATCAATGCAGACGTATGAGTATGCTAGCTTAAAAATTATTGCTGCTTTACAGATAATTTGTGGCGTGTTTGGCTATGTTTTGGTCTTAGCGGAACTGAGCGACAAGCATCGGTAGAACTCACCAATAGAGCATCGAAATGACAACGACAGATGTCATCATGAAAATGTGCATCAAGTGTTTGTATATCTGCGTCAAACAGAGCCGCATAAATTATTACCTCAGTTAATTTACAAAATGTTATGATGCTGTGTTTTAACGGTAACATATTATTCGTATGTGTTCCGCTACATTGTTTTAAATTTTCGATTGTCTGGTTATCGTTGCCAAAGACTTAAGTGTTTGACCAAATGGCCACCTAAAGGACCGCTCAATGTCAGCCCCGCCTATGCTGGCGAATAACGTCACTCTTCTGAGCTACGACTATGCCAAAACTCGAAACAGAATATCAGGGTAAATAAATGAAGTGTTCTGAATGCCGATTGCACATTATTTTGGAACCAATTTTAAGAACATTTTTTCCCCGCTGATAAAAAGACAGCATGCTTTACATGCTCGTACATTCTTTAAAAATTGCCATCATGTGAATACCGAAAATAGTTGTAGCGAATGTTTGGAGTAAAAGACAAGATGTCTGGTTTGGATTGTTTCAGAGTTAAATGCACAGCCCAGCCTAGCATGATTTCATTGATTTTACGATGCTACTTAGCAAATACACCAACTTCGATTAAATAATCGCAGGTTGTTTTCACTTCTGGTAGTATATCTGAGATTCCCAAGCCGGATCAATAAAATCCGTGGACCATAAACAGTCAGAATTGTCAGCGGCACCAGGAGACCTTAGGCACAAGTGGCCATTCGCTCGAAATCCCAGCTCGGCGCCTACGAAAATAATTGGCTATATTGTGTTGATACACAGAAAATCAGAACGATGAAAATGTACGGAGACTTACGTACGGATACGGAATAAACAGAAACGTAAAGTAATGGAAAACATTTCCACAATTACATCAATTCGTGATTTTTGCATGCGCCCTGTGATGTATGTACGCTCGTATTACTAGTTATGCTGCATTCTACGGCAGAAACACTACGAGTACATCATGATGTAGTCTTTGTCACAGTGATTAACAAATGCATGAAATTTATCCAGCTCAGTGCCTGACCTGCGGCTAAAGGTGTTGCCCATCTGGCGACCGTTGTTGGGAAATGATACACCGCAAGACGGCCGTCGTCTTGCATTTTGAGAAGCGACCGGCAGTCACCCACTCCAGTGTACGAGGTCCAAATAACCTGCAGTCACTCGTTGTGGCTAGATGGATAAACCTTCGGGTTTTGAAAGATAGTCTACATCGAGCGCGGTTTGGACTTAGATGGGTGACCACTCTGAGTTCAGGCTGCGAGTGCACGGCCCGCAAGGCCTGTGTGCGAAGTGCTTGGCTGAGGCAGCATTACCACCAAGGAGACGGGCACGGGAGATGGAGGATCACAATACCACCCTGGCTACTCAGTGACGGCTTGGACTGAAAGGCCTGTGATGTCCGCAGCACCAATCGTGCCAAATGGAAGGAGACAGGGAGATCAGTCGAAGCAGAGGATTGGCGCCTTCCCTAGAGATGTGCTTGCTGTCTACCTGTTTAGAATTCTCTTAGTCTGGTTCTGTTGAACGTCTTGCTCTGCCCGAGCCGGTTAGCGCCATTGCGCGTTAAAATAAAAGCTGGCGCTCGCGTTTGCGAGCTGCTGCATACGATCTGTCTGTTGCAGTGTTATAGCCTCCATTGTAACGCTGCGTGAATGAATTACCGTACTTTGCACAGAATGTTCTGTCTGTCACCTGATTAATGCATTGCTGAACATGTAAACCGAGCCGTTTTCGAAACAACTAGCCGCATAAAGCAATCGCAAAGTACCGGCTGTGTTTTTTTGTCATCGTCCGGTAGAGCACCATATTTCCGTTGCTCTGCAGGTACAGACATGTTTGAAGATCGGTGGCACAAAACTGTTCTTCGGTATATAATTCATCTCCGGCTTTCATGGTCCCGGCTGAAAAAATTAACTTCTTGTGGAATGCTCGATCCTAACTCAGGGCGTACTAAGTGTATTTACATTTATTATTATGCTACCGTGTACGGATACTGTCTTAAGATTAGGAAAAGTACTTGACGTTCAAGAATAATACGCTGCCTAAAAACTAAAATACAAAATATATATAGTGATATCAATTGATGATAAATTTATAAGATTAGACTTACCAGGAACCGGTTTACTTCTTTTCTTTAACGAACACTTCATGGAAGTGCGCGCGGTGATGGCCACACCATTTTCCAATAGAGCTAGTCGGTTGGTCAACGCCAACCGAAGATTTTGCAGCCCTTCGGAAATGTTTGCTGAATTGTTGGTAAAATCTGCTTTCACTGAATTTTCCAATGATGCCACGCGGGCTGTTAATGCTAAATAACCACTCAAGGAGCTGCTGGCGACTTTATCAAGTTTTTCCAGAATGGTTCTAATATCACGTCCCAGACTAAAGGCAAAATTGACACTATCCAATCCAGTAGCGCCGCCACTATCCATTCTTCTCCCAAAGAAATCTCGCTGGGTGTCTCCTTCGGAATTTAAATTTACTGAATAATTTCTACCTGAAACGCTGGAATTCGCTCTAAGCGTGCCGGAATTTTGGAATCCATTGCGGGCGGCTGTTTTAACGAAATCTTGTTTTCCCTGATCGATCGGGTTTGCAACGCTTGTATAACAAGAGACAACACTCAGAATAATGATATCTAAATGCAGCGCACGCAAGCTGGAACCAAGAAAAGATAACATTGTTCGATTAGAATGTTTTAATAATAATAAGATTTGAATAAAATGACTGCCTGAGTTGGTTTCACAAGTCTTCTCGTTAATATATAATATTTATAAGCGGAAGGAAAAGCCTACGTAGGTAGTCTGCCACTTGCCAGTGATATTGGTTCTGCGAGTGGCTTAAGCTGGCTTTCCGGGTAGAACTAGAATGATTATACAAGTATTCACTTTTTGGTAAATGACTTCTTGGGAAAATTATTTCGCACTTCTTCTGGGCCCATCAATCATAATTCTTCGAAAAGTTTCCGGTGGCGCGGACATTATGTGCGCCACAGCGGCAACTCACCGGGTCAGCACCCATTAGCCTTCATCAGCAAGCGGCAGGATTCGGGTCCATATTTTTTGCGCTTGTTTGTTCCGCATATCAGTGCTAAAGAAAATTAATCCAATTGAAAGTTTGACTGCGGAATGGCATGGATACTGACTTATTAATGATCCCAGAAGAATATTTCCAGGAAGTAATTTAGCCATAAAACGACAACCAATTAGAAGTTTGTTATTGATATCCATACACATACCTGCACCATGGAAAATTCATCTTCCGGCAACTCACTTACATACTGCATCTTACATACTGCATACGGCCTACCAATTAGCAGTACCTCAACTAATTCTACAATCATAAGTACACAACATGTACGTTCTACAGTCATACGTACATGGACACCAGTGTGTGTACGCACTTGCATTGGCAGTCCAATACAATGTAAAAATTCCATGCAGTGTACCAGACTCATAGACGTACAGAGCACATGCAAATCACCGCATAGTTGCGCAACTCGTAATTTATATAAACGAATAGATTTCTTACGCGGACCATCACATTGATCACTGCATTAACATTGATCACTGCGCAGTGTTGCATAATTTAGGTACGGCATGTTACATTGTCAATACCGGTTCTGAGTAGCTGGCCAGTAACGTCGATTTGGTCGCATACCTAAATATAATCACCACAATATGAGACTTATGTCACTGACCAGGGCCCGGTCACCGGCTCCCGGCTCCGAAAAATTTCGTTTTTTGCAGGAAGACAGAGTAACCCTTGGATATACTTGAAAAAATATTTTCATCGGCCATGGTTAAGTGGGCGTGGCTAATTCGCGTTACCACAACTCACTAGTTTCACAAGTCTTGTTAAATTCTTCTCGATTATTAACAGCAGAAATTTTTAGAAGAATTAGAAAGGATCGGACTACAGATAACACGTATCTGTTGCAAGCCTTTGACATTGTAAGCTACAACATTACGGTATGCCCAACACATAGTGCTGTATGTATTAATGCACTGGAATTAAGTTTAGCCACACCCAGGTAACCACGGCCGATGAAAATATTTTTTTAAGTATGCCTAAGGGTTACCCTGTCTTCCTGCAAAAAATGAAAATTTTCGGAGCCCGGAGCCGGTGACCGGGCCCTGGTGAGTAGGATACAATGTGCAGTATTTTGATGAAGTTTGTATTTTTCAATTTTTTTGCAGTAATCATGTAAAGTAAGTATAGGAGAACGTTTGGTGGCCACGTCGACGTTACGGGTTAGCAGCCACGACTCTGCACTCTGCAGTAGTTGATACGCGGTACAAGTACATGTACAAGCCCGTCCGGATGATGACCACGTAAAGATACAGCTAACGCATATTAAGCGCGATGTTAGCGCCTAGCACGATGGCCACTGCACTACGTTTGCCACAATGCGCAAATGCGCTCCGCAGTTAGATTGTGCCTTACTGCACCGACCGTTTTCTGACCACCTGCCGCCAGGCAACTACCATTATTCCCATTGAAATATATGGCGTGCACCAGGCCACAGCCAGCCAATCGCATGTGACGTGGTTGAACAGTGTGGCGTGGCGTTGCGTGGTATCTCGTTTGGCGTAACCCATGAAATTACATTTATCGCAGTTCTCTATCGTGCTCATCATCCGGACGGGCTTGTACAAAGTCATTGCCGATGATGGTACAGTGACTCAATACTTCAGTCTGCATAGTTTGCAGTTTTTATGTGATAACTGCAAATGATTTCCAAAACAGTGGCACAATGCGTTGAGTGTCTTTCCCGTAGACATTATTCTGATTACTGTCACTGTTGTTAGCTCACAGTATTCATATACTCGCAAGTCGCAACAGTACATCTTTTCGTAATTACCGTATACCACAGGCCTGCGCGTCTTTAATTTCCAATAAGAACTATTGTAAAAGGGAAACAAAGACGTAATAAAAACTGTATTCTTTTACATCTCGGCTGCCGCGAGACGACGATTTCGTTTTTCGGGTGACCCCTCAAAGTAGCGCAGCTCTTGCCGCACTAGAGGCCATCATTCACGAGCATCGAATGACAAGATCACCCTCTTCTTTTCGCAGTCTATTAAAACCTTGTTCTATTTCTTTTTCACCCAGTTCGACTGCTTCTTTTAATCGCTGAATATCAGTTAATTTATAATTCTTCATCAATGTCATTACAGTTTGTGCTGTGACCTTTAGCTACTGGTTGTGTTGAAATACTTCACACGCCGGTACAAGTATAATTAGGAGTAGGGTATGTACATGGAACATTTGCGAATCCAGCAGGGAATTAACTGTCACATATTGGTACACTGCTGTAATTATAAGTAAATGTAGAACAGCCACCAGTAAATACAGCTGGCAAAATACACACTGGTGTCACATTATAATGCGCAATTATGCATATGCATGCCAATTGAATGGCAAACTGAAGCGCTATTCAAGCGTTTCGTTTGCCATACTTGTACTTCAGTATCGAAGTATCGAAGGAGCGCAACTTTTGCTAGTTTAAGTCCACATATATGATCCAAGCGTAAATCATCTGTCCGAAATCGGGTTTCCATTGTTAACATTAAAAATATGTGCAGTCGTCAGATAGAAATCAACAGCATGCAACGGTACAGGCTGTGCTTTGGGTTTCTAAAAGTGCATAATTATTTTTGGTTTTGCATCATGCATGTGTGCGGGTTCTTCTGTTTTCCAGTACGAGCATTTACGAATTCACGATTGTTGATCTGCTCTGCGCATTGCATTATGGGCTTATACGTGGTCCTTCAGTTCATCGCCAATCTCATCAAAGCTTCAGAAGCCCTGCGGCTTACCTACCTGATCCCCAACATGGCGGAACGGCTGATTAAAATCCCGAATCGAGTGGCTTCACCATTGACGAGACTGATTTATGCGGTGCAGATCTGGCGAATGGGGGGCTTCTTAGCAGCATATTCCAAATCGATAATGACCACCTTTAAGGCTCTTATGCAACCTCGTCATGCGATCAAAATAGCTGTCTGTTCATTGCTACTTTTTCTGGTTTATCCCGGTACAAATTATGCATCTGTTGTGCTGGAACTATCCACGGATACCGTTAACCTAACACGATTATTCCAGCAGTACACGGTGTTAGGTCGCAGAGCCACACCGATTTCTGTGGTTATTGAATTGCTATATGAGCTCTGTTGGATGGGATATCTAGCGTTGCAGTGTGTTCTAATTACATTTCCGTCCATCGAGCACCTACAGCTAGCGGCTATTAGAGAGAAGATTTCTTCCAGCATTGTTGAACCTTCAAAACTGCAAAATGTTTTGCATTTACATTTACAAGTTTGTCAACGACTGCGCGCTTATGATCAACACCTGTCCTGGCTGAACCTGATGACCTTTACCGAGATATTGCTAATTAACATGGGAGTTCTCCAAGAGTTTCTTGATGATGTTAAGGCGCAGCGCCCCTTGGATAAGTCAACGTTATTGTACCTTGTATCCAGTGCCGTCGTTGTTCTGATCCAGCTCTTGTCCTTGTTGTATGTCAATGAAACGGTACAAATAATGCAAGATGTATTTTTTCCGGTTTCGCTTAATAACAATAAATTCTGTAAACCGTTAATGATGGGAGTGCAAAACCTTTTTTGTATAAATATAGTTGGAATATTTTTGCAGGAAGAAAGCGTAATCAACTCGTTGGAACGCATTTTGGCCTTTGATGCACCGTCGACCAGTGTTGCTAGCGTTATCCATCGCCATTTACATCATATTGCGGTCATGGAACCACAAGTAACTTTAGCTGGACTGCCTGTCAACCGCGATAGGTTCATCGCTGTGAGTTGCTGTCCGCTGATCAGATTGCCGACACTGTGCATGTCCAAATATGCAGAGAATAATGCTTATTAGGGCGTTTATACAGTATATAAGTGCGTCACAATGGACATACAGACTGTTTCGTTGCTGTTGGCTGACTACGATATTTAATCATCATTATCACGTCTTTCAGATTCTCTGTGGTGTGTCTGGATACGTGCTGGTCCTCGCGGAACTTAGTGACAAGCACCGCTAAAACTGTATTTCTGGAATTCCGTAATACCTTAATTCGAAGTATCTGGGCGAAAGGACTCGAAATTTTGCATGGTCTTGCAGACTATGATGTGCATTAGAAGACGCCCACGACCCGAAAAACGGTGCGTGGGAATGCTGCTCCCACTCGTAATTATTTGAATGGAGCTTTAGCTATAAATGAAGCGTGATACTTTGATTATGCTTTTGGCTTGAATTACCTAAGTCGTTTACAAATGCTTGATCGTACAAGGGGATTTTCAGCAGACTTATTTGCAGCATTAGTACTCGTACTATACAATGTGAATGTGAGTGAGTGAGTGAGCCGCGCTTTAAGCAGAACTTCATTAGCGAAGTACTTACTAGTAGTAATTAGCCGAGTAGTAATAATACGTAATTGGTGTTTATTAGTAATAACGGGTTTCCCATATCGTGCCGGTATAAAAGTGTGCACTTTATAGGGCAGTACTTACGCATAGCTGCAGTATAAATGTTTTCTTTACTTTAAAAACAACAGCTACAATATGTACGGTCGCGTCAGTTTTTGTAGCACGTAGCAGACTATCTTTTTAATTGAAGTTTGCGAGGTGGTAGCCCAAGTTCGTGTTCCTAAAATGTCCAAGTCCAAAGGGCGTTGTTTCATAACGTTATGCAGAAACCCTTAGATATAGCGTGCATTACCGTTCCGTTGTGATAAATCGGATTCGTGCACGCCAGGTCCTACAGTAAGTGCACAGTCGGTGACAAACTAGTAAATTTGCTTGCAACTTGCAAGACCATCAAGAACTCTGGTGCAAAGAATTTTAAGAAAGGCGGGCTTTTCCACAATTGCCGCTAACTACGCTGTCTATGCATACCTAAATTACTAATGAACAGTGCAAGTGCACTGCAGCACTGTTTATAGTTTGATCCGTTTCCGTAGATTTTGTATTTCAAGGCCACCTGGCGTGACCTGTTAATAATCTGTTCTAGCGAAACATTTCTGTATGCCGGTAAAATGGGCAATAAGAACAAGTTGCACACTCTAGAAAATTCCCGAATTATGGGCGCTGACGCGTTTTCTATAAAATTTATACAGCTAGAATATTCTATCACAAGTAAACACAACTGGAACAACACGTACTCTACATATATTCGGGATGCATTACGCAAGCCAAATGATTGATAGGCCGAAGCGTTCGATAGTTTTTGTTTACCACACCGAAGGAACGCATCGCTTGTCGTGCCAATTTTTTAAATACTAGCACCACGTTACTTCTCTGTCGAACATCAGTTGTTCGTTGTGAACATTAAACATACTCGCATGGTTAAAATGGGTACCACACAACGCCACCGAAATTCTTACGGCTATCTAAAAATCCACAACTACTTTTGGTTTTGCATCATGCATTTATGCGGGTACTTTTGTTTTCAAGCCCGAGCATTCACTAATTCGCGGTTGTCAATCTACTGTGCGCACTGCATCATGGCCGCATACGTTATGCTACAGCTCTTCGCCAACATCATCAAAGCTTCCGAAACTCTACGGCTTTCCTCTTTGATCACGAATATGTCGCGGCGGCTGATTAAAACCCCGATACAGGCGACCTATCCCCTGACCAGACTGATCTATGCCGTGCAGATTTGGCGATTGGAGGGCTTCTTAGCAGCGTACTCCGCATCGATGGTGATCACCTTCAAGGCTTTTCTGCAACCTCATCATACGGTCAAAATAGCCATCTGCTCGGTGACACTTTTCTTGGTTTATCCCGGGACAAATGTAGCTGGCCTTATACTCGAATTAAACAGGGATACCGCTAACCTAACGGGATTGCTCCAACAGTACATGGCTTTGGCTCGCAACGCCACACCGCTGGCGGTGTGCGTTGAACTGCTGCATGAGATTTGCTGGATGGGGTACCTAGCGTTGCAATGTACTCTTATTTTGTTTCCTTTCATCGAAGAGCTGCAGTTAGCGGCGATTAGGAAGAAAATTGAATCTTACTCTATTAGAGCTCTTGATGCCGGCAAGCTGAAGAGTCTTTTGAGTATACATTTGCTAATTTGCCAACGACTGTGCGCATACGATCAGCACTTCTCGTGGCTGAACCTAATGACCTTTACCGAGACGCTGCTGATTAATATGGGATATCTCCAGGAGTTTTTAGATAACGTTATGGAGCAAGTACCAAACCCGTTTGATGTGGCCGGAGTGCTGTACCTGCTATCCAGTGCCATCGTCGTGTTAATGCAGTTACTGTCCTCGTTATATGTCAATGAAACGGTATGCTGGTGGACAGTTGTTGTAACAATTTTAACCAATTCTGTATTAAGAGAAACAGCGTGAAACCTTTTCGTAAATTTAGCAAGTATTCGGGCGAGATGTGTCGAAATACTTTTGCAGGAAGAAAAGGTAATTAATTTACTGGAGCACATTCTAGCCTTTGACAAACCATCGTCTGATGTATCTGCCGTTATCACCCTTCATTTGGATCGTATTTCCGCTTTGGAACCACAAGTAACTTTAGCTGGACTACCTGTCAACCGTGACAGGTTTACTGGCGTGAGTTACAATCTGTCAAATCAATAACTAGCAATGCGGAATTATCATTAAATATTATTAAATATGCCAAACAATATTCTTGTTGTTCTTATATTGTATTCTGAGCCTTTAATATATTGGAAAGCAATAATATATCTCTAGCTGATCTATACGGTGCTAATATTCTGTAGATTGTCTGCGGCGTGTTTGGATATGTGCTCGTCCTCGCGGAACTGAGTGACAAGCACCGCTAAAACTGTGCTGCAAAAGAGAAGTACGGGATACCATGCTGCTCCGTAAAATCAAGTTTAATGCAATCAAAACTCTGATAACCATTTGAAATTTGTACTGAGCTGAAGGATGATTTTGTTTTTTGATTTGTGCAATCCTATGAAGTTAATTATCAGTTATAACCTTCACTAATGCCTCCATAGCAATATATTGGCTAAAACTTATACGCACATACTGGGTGGCTGAGCAGAATGTCAATCTCTCGGTCGATCTCAAAGTGCTAAAACGTGCATGAAAAATAACAATTTATAATAAGATTATGGTGCTAATTGCAATAATTACTCTTCCGAAAATTTTATGTCATTTCAACTGATTTAACTGTTTTCAAAATATTTTGGGATACATTATTATTGTCATAAGGTATATCGGTATTTTTTCAGATGTTCAGAACTTCGGCATTTAATTTTGCTTGATTTCTTCATCTGACATTATTATTTTCTAAAATAATTTAGGAAACAAATTTGGGTACCCTTATCGGCACCACCTAAAACCCCCGTATATTATAGGCACCCCTTTTCGCACCCCGTTTGTTATAGGCACCTTTTTTTGCTAAATATAATATATAATAGTTTCAGTGTTCTTAGGTAATAATACAGCTTTATTCAGATAATAATTCAATTTTTCAGTAAATTTTTACAATAATTTTTCTCTAGCGTCGAGCTAAGTACTGTACGGCTGTACGGTCGAGCCGCGGCTTTTGTGAATACGATGTTCGCGGGCGATACTGCAAAGATCATTTCAGCAATGTAAGAAAAAACCATCGGGCCGCACTGATTGGACCCTGGCAACAGAAGCTCGACAATTAGAATGCTACAGTGACCGGCTTCTGTTCGCCACCGTACAGCAAGGTAAGCTGCAGTTGGACATGCGGCGACGCCGGAGTACGTCAGTGTTCCCGCTTCCCGCGTTAGACAGCACCACATTGACGAATGCATTCGGATCTTTAACAAGTAAATTCGTTTAAAAGGTGATTAACGATTACCTCTTCCGTACGTTATCCACTATCCACTTTTTCCGCCTTATTGCGGGTTTTGTATACCTTGGGATGTGACACCCTTCCCGGTCTCTAGCAATCTGTCGCTCAAGTGCCCTGGCAGGGCGAAGATTCCCATTTTCCACCTTCTATCAGTGGATGGTTATGGTCAATTTGTTGTTCTACCTAATATTCGTATGATTTCGTAGGACGTGGCCGCGAATGCTGGCTGCAAGCCTGATGCGAGCTGGGCACTGGTGTCGTCGCGTATAAGTGAACATACGAGCCCCGGAGCCGTTCTTTCCGTTTTCTCTAGAGTGCAAGAGCGCACACATTCGTAAGACTTTTATACTAACGGAAGGCTCCAGAGCTTGAATATCTCGGGTCATATAGTACTATGTAGTATGTACGATATAAATTCAAAATGGGTGCCTATAATAAACGGGGGTTTTAGGGGTGCCTATAACGGTTTCCAACAAATTTTGCTACATATGTATTTCAAAATTCTGACCATTTTAACTGCGGGATCGAAGCCCGTTTTCATTTGAAATGAATTTCTGAAGTCGTCTGGTTCCAGTTCATCGATCATTTGTGCTGCGTTCGCATGTTTGCATTGCGTTGATCGCATTATTAGATATTATTTATTCCCTGGAATTACTGATTAATTTCTAGATAAAATTCTGAAAAATCTGCGTTAAACCACATCTCGGATATGTCATTATAATTTTTTTGTATGTCAAACAATTTTAGAAATAATTAGAAAATTTTAAAAATCACTGGGGTCAGTTTTGGTAGATGAGGTTAAATACAAAACTAAGCAATGATTCTTTTCGTATCATTGGCCAGTAACCGAATAAGTGTTGGTTGTTTGACCATATCTTAAACTGATTGACTGAGCCACTTAAAGAATTGACCTTTTCCAAAAAATGAGTTGCTTATATTATTTTAATGTTTCTCTTTTAGCTAAATCAAGATGCAAAGTTGCATTTTAATTAACGTTTTTGCATTTAATTTCCACCCGGAGGATTATTCTGCTCATCCCTTGTCGGCGCCGAAGACGACAAAAAATTAAAAATATAATGTAAAATGTAGTGTTGTGGCTTTCAGATACCATGGTCAGTACATAGTCTCTCTGACATCAGTGTCGACATCAATAGCAATTACCTACTTTCGTCAGTTTCTATAATTTTTATTTTTCGCTTTTCGAGAATAAAACGCTGATTTCGAAGCCGTTTATTTATGGTTTCTCTATTATTTTTTGGTGATTTTCTTAATTTGGGGTACAAATGAGTGTTTGATTTTAATTCTGACAAATCGAGACTGCAAACAGGATTTTAAAAGTCTTTTATAAATTGTTTCTAATTTACCGTATCAATTATTATCATGCAACGAATAAATTACTATTTGTACACCACAAAACTCTCCAATTGCACCACAAACCTAAACCACACTGTTGACATTAAAACAGTAAAATTTTCTGCAATTCAGAATACATAATTAAAAATTTATTGTCATATTTTTAATATTATTAATAATTATTTGATTAGTAATTCAGTAATTCAAAGTCAATCAGTATGACCGTAATTAACGGCGCCGCGTTAAAAAAGTTGGGATAAATCGCCAAGACACAAACGAGTGTTTAATACTGATGCCAGTGCATACTCCGAGCAACAAACAACGTTTTATTTAAGTTAAAAGATACAAAATCAAAAACCAGAAACCAAACACATCTCCATGGAATCGTGAACAGTCCGATCAAGAACCTCAAAACGACAGCGACGAACAAACAACGGTCGCAAATCCAACGCTGTGATCACAAAATGAGAAAGCGAATCAAAGAAAATGCCTGAAAAACACCGCGTCCGAATAACTGCAACAACCAATACAGATCCCTGTGCTCCCTGTGGCACATTCCAGTATTCATTGCGAAACACTGTCCGGGTCTCACGGCCGAATGACCATGGCCCATTCTTTGGATAAATTAACGGCCGGTTTGCGCACGGTCAAAATGTTGTGCTTCTCGTCAAAGAAGAACTCCAGCTGGCTCTTTTCGCCGCGCGGCAGCTCGTGGATTTCGATACTACTGGGACGGAATTTCCAGCCGGTTATGAAGACACGCTCCAGCCAGACACGTGTCTTGTACTTGTTCGCAGAGTGCAAAATCCTACAAAAATTAACAGAATAATACGATAACACGCCCAACAAACTTCCAACTTCGCATGCTACAGTTAACCAGTTATTTGATTTATTATGCCTATCAAATGCTACGCCTAAACCTGCTTTTACAATATTTTTTGAATTGCTGAATTAAAAAAAAAACAATCTCATCAAATGACCCTCATCTCTTTTTAATTTAACCTCATCAAGTTCTGAGTTATTTACAACCAGTTTATCTAACAAAGATCAAATTTAAACAAAAAACAAAAATTAATTTTTTATTATAATACGCTTTTTAAACAAAAACAAAATTTAAAAAAATGATAATCCAAATTCCAAAATTGTTGAAAGACAGCAGCTACTATTCGATTGGCGCACGTATACCTAGGTAGGCCAGACGAAGTAGAACCATCCCCAAATTAAGGCACAGTAAGATGCCACTGCTCTACAAACTCACTTGGATTTGAGAATGTTATTCTCCAGTGTGAATTCCATATACACGAATTCGCCTTGCAGATGGTCGCGTGTGGTCCCGTCATCCAAGTACAACAATCCTTTTCCAGTATTCTAATGTAAGGACAACATTCGTTAACTTTTTCCCAGTAAAGTAAACCAACGAGCGTCAAAAACACGCAATCAGAACGCACTTTATCATTCATCGCAATGGATAATGTGATGGGATCTTCGATGGCCAGAATGGCACTGCGACGGGTACGGAAACGCCGGGGAATTATTGTTCCACCGCGTTGAAACAGCGGCACCTGAAGATAAATAAACCAATATTACAGCAAGATCTAGATTATTTCCACTCCTTTTAATCACGGACAACGAATTTAAAACAGTTATTTCCGTTAATTTCTCTTCCACAAGCCAACATAACCGCCGAACTTCCTGCGAGACTTGGAAAATGTGTTAAACATTCATTTTCGCAACTAAAAACTTCAAAACAGGTCGTAAATTTACAACATGCAGTCAGCATATTAAAAAACTGAATACTGATTTCCAAAAAGAAATTACATCAAATATTAATCACAAAACATAAGCAGCCAAAATAAAAAAAATTAAATTACTGGTACAAAATTTCCCAGAACTCTAGATCAAATAATAACCACAACTTACACCACATAACGGATGTAACGAGAATAGTGAAAAATTTTATATCAATAATATCAGAATTATATTTATTGTGTGCTCGCAAAGATTCCCTAACTTTTTTGATGGTCTAAAGCAAAAATGAGCAACTAACTTTATGCATAGGGGTATCCAGATTGACTTTCATTCCGCCACGATACGTTTCCAGAGATGTGATATCGTACCATACCTGCAACGGCATCACAATTATTATCGAAAAGATTATTAAAAAGAAGCCCGACAAATTGTCATCCCCGGGCGTGAAAATAAAAACAAAATTCACACATACTTCAGTCTTATCGCCAGGGAAATACATTTCCACAGACTTGGCATTCTCTTCGGTTACCGGGTGGACAAGCAAAGCATCACCTAGAAAAAAAGATTGCAAGCGTTTAAAAACTAAAATAAACGAACAAAGAACAATCTGAAACATAAGAAAACATTTTGCATGTTTTTTTATCTTAAATGATACAAATCACCATCACGGCTTTAAGCAGAAGTATTTTACAGGACTTTCCAAAGTGACATGCCTGCGAAATTTCGAGTCATTACACTACAATCAACGGTCAATTGTTAATTTGTTACAATACCTCATCATTGTGTACGTACCGATTAAATATTCATTTTCCATGGCAAAAGTACTATGATCGGCAGGAAATTCATAGAAGAGCGGTCGCATCGGTGGTAACCCCGTCTGGTTGGCCTGATAGAAGAGAGTATACCAGTAGGGCAGAAAGGTGTAGCGCGCCCGGATGGCGTCGCGGATCATCAGCATGGACTGCTGTTCAAACAGCCACGGCTCGCGTCGGCGCGTGTCAATGTGGGCATGCGCGCGGAAAAACGGCTGGAATGCTGCCGCCTAAGCAACGAAAATCAAAAACAAAATCTTAGTCAGATATTCTTTATTAATATTCTAAATTTGTATAATGACTATTGCTTTAACACGGGACAAATAGGCCGAATAATCAACTGACGGTTAGCCAAAAGAAGCTACGCAATAAAATAGCCAAGAAATAATTTATTTGCATAAATTAAAAGGTATTCGATAGTAAAAATTCACTGTCACAATCTAGTAACTAAATCGGAAAATTATTTCTGCATAAAAATTTATCCTTACCTGATACCAGCGAACCAACAGATGCGCTTCCGGATTGCGGAAAAATCCTCCCACATCGGCACCGACAAACGTCATTCCGGACAAGGATAACGACAACAGCATCGGGTTGGTGACCTTCAAATGGCCCCAATCCGCCGTGTTGTCGCCCGTCCAAGCAGCGGCTGCAAGTAACAATTCCATGTCGACTTTGTAAAAAAACTCTATCGCTGCATATTACTATCCTCCCAAGATAATCATATTTTCCATGGCTATGTCCCATTACCACAAAAATCAAAAAAAGTATGCAACAAAATACTTTAGTAAGCTCCAGCAGCAAATTTCACAAAGCATTAATAAATTATGACCGCTGCGGCACTAGTTAACAGTTTCAAACCAACAGCCTCTGTACTACGTTTTTCCCCACAAAAACAGAGCTGTCACGCCTACTGTACGGCTTTGCAGAAACGTTTCACAAACGAAACAGTCAAAATTCTAAAAAATATTGCAGAGCTACTGCGTAATAAATACAGTATTACACAAATCAATACAAATGGAATAATCCTTCACATCTTAAAAATATAGTTTTTACCGCTAACAAAAAATTAAAGAAACCTGTTCGTTCCTTATAGTATTCTCTGGCTGCAGTTTTCAGTTAAATGATGGCACTTTACCTAGTCTCTGCGCTCCAGCAAAAAACGACCGCGTCAGAATGAAGGGCCGCAACTTAAAATCCGACCGCTTCAAATGCCCGTCAAATGTGGCCAGCAACTATATCCAAACAATCGCAACCGTCAATTTGTGGGGAATTATTTTCCAAAACACTGAAAACCTACATGCGACATGCCATAGATATTATGAATCTCCCGGTGCTCGCGATCTTCATAATGTAGATTATCCTTGAACATAGTCACTTCCGGTCCGTTGAACACCGACGGCTCATTCATATCGTTCCACGTCCAGGCGTCCTTGAACGTCTCCCGGCTGTACAGACCGGCGTAGTATTCGCGCACCTCCGGGTTCAAAAAGTCCGGGTAATAGGACGCCCCCGGCCAACACCATCCTTCGTATGGGCGTTTATCCTTGGTTTTCACGTAGAAGTCCTTATTCAACATCTCCTTGTAGGCGAAATAGTCGTCGTCCTTCTTGAAATGCGGATCGGAGATGAGGACCAAATGGCGGCCCTTAGCGGTCAAATTTTTGAACATTTCCGTGGGATTGGGAAATTTCGGGGAATCCCAGGTGAAGTAGCGTTTGCCGTCCGTGTACTCAATGTCCAGCCAGATCACGTCCATGGGGATGTCGTTCTCGTCAAAGTTCTCGTGGACCTATTCGACAAATTTCCCTTTTAAAACGATTTTCTTATATAAAGACGAATTTTTAAACGGATACGAATACTGTCAGTCACAAAATGACACTTCCTGTACCAATAACTTAACATTACCGAATTTAACACGGCTGACAAATTTCATCCAAATTACCCGCAATAGTGTCACAACTATCTCGTTTTCAATGTGCAGTAATTCAAGTGTCAACATCAAATGCCCACAGCACAGAACAAGATTGCGTAAATATTTCTAAATTATTACAAACAAGATTATGTAAATGTGAGTTAAAAGATCTAAAAAGATATTAAATTTGTGACTATGTTTCTAAAAATATTACCATATAAAAATAAAACCTGTTACTATAACCACAAATTAAGAAGTAATTATGGAGTAAATCATGACGTAAAATTACGAAGTAAATTATGAAGCCTTTATTGAATAAAGTACTGGTTCATCTAAAGAATAAAGCATTGCAGTTTTTAAGTTAACCTATGTCTTATCCAGAAAAAAGACCAACAATCATAGGAAAAAATTTATAAGCACACAGTTAATATATTATCAAACTGATAACGTGTGGTACGCGACACCCCTCGAGATGTTCGAAAGGAAAGGGTGGCATTGTTCTACGATGCAGTGCATTAATGCAGCCGACAAGTCGCAAGTGATAACGCAGTAACGCATCAAATTATTACTACTCAACGCTAAGAGCGGGACTTATTCCCCACCTGATGAACATCCTTTTGATCGTTATAATTCCAGCGACTCTGATGGTAGCCCAGCGTCGCAAAGGGCGGAAGGAAGGGATGACCGACAATCTGCGTGAACTGCCGCGACACATCCGCCGGCCGCGGACCCATAAACACAAACAAATCCACGATGCCCGCTTCCGAGATCCAGTGGGTGTCGGCCTTGGGCGTCGATGCGGCACCGAACAGTGTTGAGCCGCCATGCTGAAATTTCCAGAAAAAGCGAAACACAATTAATATACATACACCGCCAGTGTTAGATGAAAAACAGCTAGGTAACATTTACAATCCTTCGTAAGTTAATCAAATAATTCCCAATGTAAAACTTAAAGACGTTTCATAATTCAACTACACAAGTATAGTAACTAACGATAAAAAATCGATAATATGATTAACTGCGATACGGATTGTAAGCATAATAATTTGATTTATTAATCGTACAACGCAATAAATAAGATCAACTGAATATCTCACCTATCGATTTTCATTCTACAAAAAACAACGTAACAGAGCTACAGTGTTTAATAAATATTAACACTGCCAGTTAAAAATGTTAATGACTGGGAAAGAGTGAAGCTTTTGATGGTAACACTAGCGCTACAAGATCACAACTACAGACAACACTGCCATTACACTGCGAACAATTCTAAAAACTAACGATAAGTTCTGGCGTATCGGTACAGTCTGCATACACCGCCGCTTTTTTCCTGTGAAGTTACAAATCTTATACAGAGAAAAACAGTGCATTTATAATAACGCGCATCACATTGGCAATACACCGAATTATAATTATTTAAAAGCGGCTCGAAGTTTTTAAAAGGGAGATTATGAACTGGGACTAAAAGAGTCAATTAAAATAAATCAAAACGGATCAACCCGTTTTCAAACCAGAATCGTTTACACAAGAATAGATAGTGTGCTTAAGGTTTTCAACAATGTTCAGAACTTCAGACAGAAACACTGATAAAAAAACATACCGACGCAGTTGTATAATCCACATCTATCCACGTTTCCGCAGCGTTATTCCAGAATACGCCCACTGTGTTCTTCTCACTAAAACATTCCGCAATTAAACAATTCGGTACACAGACATACCGATAACATTCACCGTTTCACCGCTAAAAAATGCCTGCATTATTGCAATTTTAATTATTAGTTACGGGATTTAAAATTCCGAACATGCACTAATTTTAATGCCACCCAAATTTCTGAATTCCCATAAAATTAAAAAAAACGCTGTTAAAAATAAGGTCAGGTCTACGCGCGAGAGTACTCACGCGCGTAGCCATTTCGTAAAAATAACCGACATACTTGTGAGCCATAATAAACGGAATCGCTCCGTAGAGCGCCATGCCGTTCCACAGTTCATATTCAAAAACATCCAAATTGTATAGGCGATACGGATCGCCACTCTGTTTCGTCGATTTTAACCGCAACGTATCAGCATGTTCCGGAACACCATACAGGTTGTCAAAACCAATAAAAGAGATATCCATACCCAGGGACTGTCCGCCTGAATAAGTAAAAACAAAATTCGTATAATCTGTTTTCACAAATAATACAAAACATTTTATCTCGATACATGTCAAGTGTTTTCACTTTTCTCTGTACATTTAAATAATTTTATTATTCCAGGTACTTCCCTACAAATTAAACAGATATTTTTATTTCGGTTAAATCGAAATCAATGAAGCGTTTAAAAATCCCACAACTGAAATTAAAAATAAGTAGCAACGACGAGTACCGAACGGTCGAGTGTCGGTGTGGCCCTTGAAGCTTTCTTCCCAAGGTTCATCCTGTTTTTGTTCTTTTGGCTCTTCTTCCTTATGCTCATCAGCCTGCAGTTAAAAATACTTAAATTAATACTTACAATTAATACAAAAAATACTTGAAATTAATACAAAAAACAATTAAAAAAACTAATAATGAAAACGAAACACCCAACACGAAACAAAACAGTCAAACTGAAAATACCAAATAAAAACAATAATATCAAAAACTGACAACAAACAAAATAATACACCAGTACGCTAAAAAACAACGAATTTTCATTTCGACAAATCCACAAAGAGAAAAAACTATAAACGCGTTCAATTCAAACACATTATAATTATAAGCTTTAGTTCTGCAACTGGGATACTGAATCAATTGTTCTAAGACCAATAGTGTCACATACAGCCGCTTCACTAAATCTGGCATACGATACAATGGGTCGTTCGAACAAAAAACGCGACTTCTACGTTAAACTTAAAACAACAATCCTGCTAAAATTCCTAATTCAAAAAAACAGCCTCAGATTAAATTTCAACTAGGTTTACTTGTTGTGCCTGTTCATCAGGATTCTCATGCTCCTGATCCACTTCTTCGTGCTCCTCCACCGGCTTATCCGGCTCAGGCACTAAGCTAGAAATCCAAGAAACAAACCGGTGAAATTTACTGCAACAGAAAATAAGAAAAGACCCCACTAAGAGAGAGAAAGCACCAGCAGCCCGCACAATGTCACAAAACACGCATGAAAAATGTTACAAAGGCGCGCACAAATACGTAATAAAGCAGGACATCATAATTACCTCGGTCGCGGTTTCATCGCTTCCATTAGGAAGAGATTGGCGGAATTCAGTGTGACGAGAATCGTTCCTTCTTCATAAATATCAATTCGGAAGGGTTTCGGTGTGACAGTTATATGGAGGGAATCCGGCAGGGTGATCTGGACCTGTCCGTGTTTATGGGCCATGCTAAGCCTACACAAAAAAACTGATGTCATTATTTTTCAAATTAAAATTCGGATTAAAATTTGATCAGGCTAGCGAATAATGCGCTATGCCACGCAGAAAACTACACTTTCCTGGGTACACAAATTGAAACGTCGATGTCAAAATGCAAGCTTTAATTCAAAGAATTCTGAACACGATATTTTTGTGCCTCAAAATAATTCAACAATATTCGCCCACCAAATAATAACCAAATACCGGGTAATGCATTTTTTACAAATGTTTTTATGGAACAAAATCTTTGTGGTTATTTTTGCCCGGCTTGTATACCTCATAGCCATAATACTATTAAATGCAATAATAATATAGTTATAATAATAATCAAAAAGACGACGGCAGACCCCGAGAACATAATTGTACCCCTGTCCGAAGGCTGAAGAGCGTGTGTTTTTAAGGATAGTCGTAGTGCTGGGGCTTCTCGTATTGACAACTTCGTCTGCTGATGTTGATTCAGAAAAAATCTGGACACTCAAACATAATAAATCCAACAGAATATAATTTTTGGAAATTAATACAACTACATAACAGCCAAATTTACGATATCAGTGGAACTTTAGACATGAATTTATAAAGGTTTTACAGATCTCAAAATATATTTCTAGTACTGCAAAGCACAATTTCTAATTTCACACGCTGCATTTAATGCCACGTAAGGTTCCAAACAAGACAGCCTTGCGGCAACAGTACCCTGTTATCCAGCAGTATACACAAAGCGCAAGCGCACAGGGTTACGATGTGAACGACCGCGTATAGCTTACGTTGATAACGCAGGTGTTTGATCCAAACTCATATCCACTTCGTAACGTTTTCGGCTGGGAGTTTTCTCGTTGATCTTAAACCGCATACTCCTATCTTTCAAGGCAAATATTTCCAATAATAAATCCTCATTATTTTGAACATTCCTGACGGTGGCCGACACCGTGGAGCCGTCGGACGACAGCTGCAATGTGTCGATCAATAATTCATGAACAAATTCATCGGATTTCAAAGCTCGATGTTTCCTGCAAAGAAATCCGGCTATTCCAAGGAAAGTCAACTGCAAAATGCGTAAAAAAATACCTGCAAAACCGTGCATCATTGCAGGTTTTAAAATTCCCCCTATCCACGGCGGAGACAAAATAAAATAATGAAAATGAAATAAAGGCAAACGTGATCCTCCACGTTGGCAGCATGGTCGGGGGAGTTCTTTCTCGCAGTCACACGAGCATGCGCGAACTGGATGCTGGGCAAAATTAAAACGTTTTCAGCTTTCTATCACAGAATTAATGAAATTTACAAAAGAAAAGTGTTCAAACTCCCTGTGAAAAATTTAACAACCCTACGAGAGCTCGGCTTCGCAGAAATCAGAAATGCAAATAAATTCTGATTTTTGGCCAAGCCAACTCGTAGTGTGGCGTTTCGAAGAGTAGCGTGCCGATCATCGTATGCAGTGAGGCTCCAGCCTGTTATCGGCGGACTTATCGGCGGTCGCTCTTGCGTCAAGGCATTTCTGAAGCAGTACAGTACTGTACTAGTACGAGTAGGCAACAACTAGGCATCCAGCGATACCCCAGCCAGTCCCATTGTCCCGACTCCAAATTGACGATTCTCGCCAGGATGGCGCCCCGTGGCGGTTGGGAGCCGTACTCCCACGCTACGCCCAGAAGTCATCGTAGGCCCATATAGCAACACGTACTTTTCCAGGCATTGTTTAAACAGCGCGAGTTCGCACATCATTCTGCTAACTAATGCGGCAATCACATAAAAATTAATAAAACACTAAGCTCTACCAATTGGGCGACACATGCCTGATAAAAAAGTGTAATGTGCCCCGTAAATTGTGCGGCAATGCCGATGGCCGTGGTATTACAGAACGCCTCACGTGCAACCGCTTTCGCGTGTTACATGGCGCATGCGCATTTCCCCTTTTGGCGCTCTGCGAAATTCCTGTAGTTAGTGACGTCAAAATGACACACTGCCAGTCTTCAGTCCCGGCGAGAATCACGAATCGCTCAAGATTTTCGAGTTCTTACAATCTGACTGAGAAAATTCTTTGTTTTCTAACTGCAGTTATATTGGTATTCAGTTACCTTTCCATGTTCACTTACAATTTTTTTATGATATTCTAACTATTTATTGCTGCTGTTGGCCTAACGAAAAGCTACAATGAGCGGACATTACCCATCTGCTTATTCGGGTAAGAAGAGCCTTTGGAGAGATCTTGTCAAGTGCCAGTTTAGTCTGTTAAGCCTTTGGGATATGTTCAGGTCGGATGTTTTCTGCGTGTAGGTAGCAAACGGAAACGTACTGAAACCGGAGCATCTCTTCAGCCGGCAGCGGGCACCGTTTCTTTCGTGGAGAGGGTGGCTGCTGTTGAGGACCAGTTTGTGGAAATGTTGAAGAATTGTCAGAAGCACATTATCAACGCGGAGCGTAGTGTGGGGGCATGCATTTCGTTCCGCGCAGGATATTCCTTTCGCAAAAATATGCAGGACATCGGGAGCCCGGAGATGAACTGCTATGGAATAGGGAAGTTGGAGGGCGTGGATGTGAGCGTTACCGGCGAGACGGTCTTGCCTTTGCCGGCGTGGATGGACAGCGGTGTAACTCTTAAGGCATCCTGTAAGTGTACTCGTAGGCCATCTGTCTTCCCTCGTACGAGTATGCATGGCAGTATTATACCATTAATAGTATAGTACTGCCATGGTATATGCTATCAACTTCGTATTGTATAATCGGTAATAATCCAGTACCACAACCGTGGCCGGCATTGACTGTACTCGTTGGTTACGGTGAATGATTTTGTAGTTGACGGAAAGATGCAGTCGACTCGACCGCATTCGTCAGGGGATCCCGCTAAACATGGTGTTGAGATTCCGTGGCGCGCCCGACTGCAGCTGAAAAGCATTCCCAGTGGTTGCATGGTGGAATCGGTGCGGCTGGCCTTTATCCTACCGGGGTTGGAAGGTCTGCAGGATCATCCAACGGCGAAGTTAGAAGTATGGTCGGAGAACGCCGGCAATCTGTATTTCATCAACGACAACCTGATGCACATGCATGGACAGGCGTACTCCGAGTGTGATCCGGAGCTGGAGGTTTTCCGTTTGGCCGTCTGCTGTGTCAAACTACGTGTGCCTTTGCGGTTGCTGATCTGCCAGCAACTGAAGCCGTTATGGGACGATTTTCCAGTTAACGCCGTGCCCACCACCCCGACGGATTACTCTGGCCAAGATAACGTCACACTGAAGTGTCAGAAGGTCAGAATCAAAGTGGATCGGCAGCTCTTGCACAGTTTGTCCGCCGAGACAGAGGTGCTATTTGGCAGGAAAAAGCTGGGACGAGTGAGGGTGTTTGCTTTGGATGTGGGCGAAGAAGTCGTACAGACGCTGCTGCAGCAGGCGACAGCTAAAACGGACTATTTTCCACTGGATCCTTTTGAAACGGCACCGACCTTTCTGTATGAGTTATTCGCCTTGGCCATGGAATGGAATGTGCGACCATTGAAAGTCTGGACACAGATCGCGCTGCTGCAGCGCTTGTCTATGCCCGGCTTCGATCTGCAGTGCATCCCGATGGAGGACGTGGTGCAGTTTATTCAGCGCGATTTCAACTTTGACCACGCGCAGACCGGCGTTAGAATGGCGTTGTTGGGCTTCACCTTTGTGCTGAGGGACATGCTGGGCGTCAGGGTGCCGGATACGATCCGCTATCCACTGCGGTATGCCATCCGGGAGATCTCCAGCGATCCGGCGTTATTGGAGATCTTTCAGCCGGAGGAGTTTATGCAAGTGTTAAAGGACTGGCAGTGGGAGCGGCGGCAAGCAGATTCCAGCGCTAACGACTCCATAAGAGTGAGCATTCGTTTTATGAATGGAGCCATATCTCTCTTGACCATTTCCAAGCACGATAGCGTGCGAGACATGAAGGCGGAGATTGAAAGTCGGCATGCCATTCCTGTCCAGCAGCAGTGCTTATACTTTGCTGGTGTGCGGCTGGATGACGACCAAAGAACAATTGCCGACTGTAACGTTCCGGATGGGGGTGGGGTACGTCTTGTGGAGAAGCTGGTTTGTTGATGGTGGAATGAGACAGTAACTTATAGCGCGTAACAAACAGTTTTTGGAATTGTGAATGAAGGAATTACTTGCGTTTATGAAGTAATTGTTCATAATAATTGATGAGTCTGATTAATGATTATGTGGTTTGTTCTGCGGATCTGTAGGAAAAATTATTGATACGGTACCGATCATTTGGTTTGTTTTGGTTGGTTAAATTCGTGGGCTTAGAGTCTTACTCGAGTAGAGATAATACACGTAAAAGTCCTTGTCCGTTTTACTGCTCTTCTTTTCCAGTGGATGTTGAGCAGGTAATTATGATAATAGTCTGATTTGTTGTTGTTGATGATTGCGTGATAAATAAAGATTTCTTTGGTCCATTAAGCCATAAACTGGTACTTCAGTACGATTATCGTAATTAAATTTATGATGGTCAACTGGTTATTCAACGAAGCCCATAATAATTAATTACCAAAAAAGGTCATTCACAGTCCCGTTTCGTTCTAATTGAGACAAATTCTTCCTTTGATGCTGAGTGGATCTCGCATTGTAGATGTGGAAAACAAATATACTCTACATATTATGTACCCGGTATTGCTTGAAAATGAGCAGCGATCCGGGGATATAAAAAAAGTGCTACATAAGGTCTCGACTATTCGAGAAGAACAATTTTAATTTGAAGAGGTCGATGGACATTAACTACTTAAGAATCAAGAGTTTGAAAGAGAAACTGGGGGCACAAAATTGAAAAAATACAAAATTACGGCTAGGTAGTTACCTAATACTCATAATCGTCCTCATACTCATAATCCTACTCATATTCAATAAGATATACTCATAATGCATATCATAATTATACTTCGCTCCTACCGGTCATCATCTTTCTGCTCATAATCATAACTCATACCCGTACAGACCCTCATACTAGGGTTGAACTTTCAAACGTTTCAAAGTTCACTCTTCGAGGTAAATCATTTCACAATTACGTAAACTTGGGCTTCTAGCATCCAAATCCGTTCGACACGAAAAAAATCTCTTTATCATTTATATTCATATTCATTTATCATCATTTATATTCTATTATATCAAAACGTAAAATTTCGAAAGTCGCAACGTTTTATCCCACTTCTATTCATGAGAGAACATGGAAAGCAGGAAAACAAAAAGGTAGTGAACGGAGAGAATGGTGCGAAGTACATAGGTTATAGAAGTCACCTTCTAATTCTTTAATAAATATCTCACGCGGGTCGTGGTAAAACGATGATTTCCATGAGCTGACCGTTAAACAGCAGTTCGACAACAAGAAAAGCCAATGCTGAAAGCCTGAAACAAAATCTAAAAATGCTGTTATTATGAAGTAAATTGTAATATTCATTAAAGTGGGGCGGTTTTTTCCCCAATACAGGTATCTCCGAATTTCCGAAAGTAGTAATACTTTCCGTTCTGTGTCCGTCATGTATGGACTGCGGTCGCGGAGCATGACCATTCAGCATCCGCGCTGGACTACTGGGCATCACCGGCAACGGCGAAGAGATCGGCCGACATCCGTGCCGGCGATGACGGTTAGTTAAACACTGTATATCATGCACTTCCTGCACAACGGCCAAAACTTTTTTTTGTGAAAAGAGGAGACTGGGATTTGCTTTTCAATTCGTAAAGGAATGGTATATTATAGGACACCGGTAGATTGGCACTGGCCGCATTGGGACCGATACTGCGTCGCGATTCCAGAGCCGGCTTAATTCTTGCCATCCAGACTGGGTCTGCCCAATATTTATCCGCGCGCAGCTTGTAATATGTTATTTCGGCATGAATTTATGCCATCAAAAAGTCGCGCTGAAAACACTAAGCACTGGTATGAGTAGTGGTACGGATATGAGTTATGATTATGAGCAGAAATATGATGACCGGTAGGAGCGAAGTATGATTATGATTATGATGTACATTATGAGTATAACTTACTGATTATGAGTAGGATTAAGAGTATGATTATGAGGTAACTACCTAGCCCAAAATTACTCGTACAGCGTAGTACATGTTCTGTGTGCACGGTCAATACTAGGCAAGAAGAAAACATGTTTTCGGTCCAGACTTACAATCCGCTTACTCCAGTGAAACCAACTGAAACAAGTAAATAATAGCACTCACTATAGCACCTTCAACCAACCACGTAGCACCTTGAACCCGGCCACGTACAGTACGGGTTAACGCATCAGTCGTCGTAGTTGACCCCGTAGTGTTGTCAAGATGCTGGACCGGCAACTGCCAGTCAAAAAATTCTCGCGTCAAAGAATTCATAGCGCATCGCTGTTGGCCGGGAATAGTTGAAATATTAGCCGATATTGCTTTGCGCTTCTTGTAATCGGTTTCAGAGCGTGATTTGTTTGGTTTTCGGAATACACTGAGCTTTTGCCACCGGATGAGAATGATTGCGCCCTTATAATTATTGATAGTTCATTGCCTGGAGGAAGATGTGCGCTCGGCTGCTGTAACTCCAACACTTCAACAATAATACAACTTGCTGAACGCGAACAAAATCACTTTACGACGTTTACGTAAACACTGCCGGTTCTGTTCCTGCACCGGTTCTGTTCCTGTATGGTTTATTGAATACATGTGCCAGCGAGAAGTCTCGTACACTTTTGCAATCTGCGAAACAGTTTTGGTGTTCTATCAACGTTTTCGTAAATGGGTTGCAGATCCAGTTTGATCGACAACTGCAAGCGTTGTATACAAGAGACTTTATGGAGACGCTCCCTGTGGCGGTCCTGCAGTGCAGCGCTATAGCACTACAGATAGTGCGCAGTACAACGACTTCCGAGTACGTAAAAGTGATTGACAAAATCGGTGATACTCGTATAATAAGCGGATGTCAGTGTGTCCGTGACTGCATGTGTTACGCGCTAATAAAGAGAATCCAGTTTAACAAAGAACAGACAACAAAGTATACGGAATAAGTAATAACTAAACGGTATGTGCAATAGGTAGACCGATGTAAGTAGTATCCGCCTTTGCATGCTGATTATGAGATCATACAGTTTTAATGTCCTATCAACGTTTGCCTTTACAATTTTACAGTTTGCATTTGAGCTGTGAGCAAAATCTTTGGGGATTTTCTGTAAGCTGTCAAAGTGTCAGACGGAGATTACTGAATGCTTTTATAAGTGATAAAGCACCCGAAAAGTGCTTAGTCAAGTTAAGTCAACGTTTGTAATCAAAAACCAGAAAGGCTTTGGTTGATGTTTCCTTGGAGGACGTTCAGTAATGGATAATTCCCACTCATATTCACACGCCGTCCCGCAGAATTCTAGCCGCGCCTTTGCAGCGGGAGACGTCATACTGTCAGACGATCCGTGGATCTGGGCTTTCGAGCGGACCGAATACCGTAAACTGTGCGCCTTCTGCTTCCACGACAGGAAGGAATTTCAAACCTGTTCGGGCTGCAAATTGCATCGCTATTGCAGTGTACAGTGTCAGGTGGGTGTACAGCGTGAGAGCCTCGTTTATTACTCCCTAGTGCAAGTTTAGTACTCGCTAACTGACGCTAAGTTACTCACTTTAGTGCGGGTGGAGCCTACAATAAACCCGGTTGGGGATTACTGCCTAAATATATTAGTAAAATTAAAATAATATATATAGTAAGATATATCATATACCGTATATAAAGCTATTCTATAGTGGTTAGTGAGCTACTTAGTTTATTAAGAAACATAATTTACCCGCACTTTCTCACAGACTGCAGACTGGAAGAAGGAACACAAAAAGGAGTGTGCCATGCTGAAACCAGTCGCCGAAGCAGTCGAGGCAATTTCTCGCAATAATTCCTATTGCAACAAGACTGATCGCGTACTACCATGCTATCTTTTATTTCTGATGGCAAAGCTGGTGGAAAAGGTCAAGGTAGGTTCAGTAAAGCACTTTTTATCGTTGTAATCTTTTCGATCCGCAATGCCAGAACTCCAAAAGTACAGTAGCGTGACTACAATCATCTGTTATCCAATCATCAAAGAAACAATTGCATTTGCCTTTTTTAGCGGGGCGTACTGGACGACATCGGTGGGCTGGGGAAGAAATCAGCTAACGATATCTTAAAATTGCTCCCTGCCGATGAGCACCTTCAGCAAGTGGATCCGCTGTGCGTCAGTCACAAATTTGTTTTGTTACCACAGCAATAGTATGACTATTAAATCGTCTAGGCTCAAGAGGCCCGTCATCATGTGTCCGGTTTTATGCCAAATTGCTTCCGCGCTGGAAATATCTGCAGCGACCTTTGTGGACTATCTCAAAATCATACGTTATCACATGCTCCCCATACCGAACAACCGCACCAAGCAAATAATAATCGGATCGGCACTGATTCCCAGCATACCACATCGTGCCATGAAACCGGTCTGCTGGGACGTCAACGTCACGTTCGATTACACAGGACGACGAGTATCCGTGCGTGCAACTGAAGACATTGCAGGGTACTCTGGTCTGTCCGATGTAAGTTCACGATGCAATGGTAGAAAAGTGCAATACGAATAAAATCAGAGACGGGAAAATCAACTTAAACTTAATAAATTTTTAAAAAAATTTGGTTCAGAGTAGTTAGATGCTGTAACTGTTATCCGTTAAAAAAAACCGATTACGAGATGTTGGTACTTTTTAGCTACGATACTGTGAACTCATGCAGAATCAGTACCTTGTGATTGCCCCCGCCCGACGTCAAGCTTTTCGAAATATCTACGGATACTTGTGCAACTGCCGCAAATGCAGTCCTGAATATGTGAGTCAGTCTACAGAAAAATTATTTAACCCGTTCCAGCTTTAATGTTTAACGTCTGTAAATACAAAGGAATCGCTCTTTATCGATATTCACGTTAAAAACTGTTAAAAAATGCAAAACATCCGTGTTTGTTGAGCTGTTTTGTTGTTATCTTCTGGCAATCTTATATGTAGGAAGCCGAACTCAACCCATTAAAGTGTATAACAGCGGGCTACACGGAACGCATTCCCAGCGACGACCGGGCTTGTTCTCCGTGTCCGCAGTGTGGTGCTGTCAACTGTTCTCGCCGCAATAAGCTTATGGTCTTTATGGACAAGTGCGCGGTCCGGATTCCTAATCAGATACAAGGGTTCATCAATTCAGTGGCACTGTTTGACGAACTGGAAGCTGCCGATCTAGTACATCCTGACGCGCATGTTCGTTTGGTTTGTGGAATTGTTAAAATGGGGATCTACAATCAGCAACACCGATTTACGGATGCCTGGAAGTTGTCCCAAGAACTGATGGTTTGTGTGCGGTACGTACATAGTGTAACAGTTCTTTTACCGCCAAAAACTACGATTTCCTCCTCGCACGACCTTCCTCGATCTGGAGCAGACGTTCGATACTTTGTAATTGTATGGTATTTCCTTGTTGTTAAATTTAAGCAAGATATCGGCATTCTACAGTTTTCATGCATAACGAACTTCACTAAAGCAATCTGCAAGCATATTATCGCGTTTGGTCATAGACTGATATCTGTTGCCGACTATGCAACCGTAACTATATTGCTCTTCCAGCAAGATCTGCCCAAAGTACCACCTTAATCGCGCAGCAATGTTGGCTGATGCTGCGGGATGCCCATTAAGCTTTACAAGAAGTGTTATGGGAAAGCGAGTGGATGATTTGAGGCCCGCCGGAAGACGTCGTCTGGTTGTGTTGTTCGATGAGATGTTTCCCTCCACGCGTGCAGTGTGGCGCGGCTACTGCGAAGAGGCTATAGATATCTTTACTAAGCTGTCCGGGCCGAATTGTCCTCAAGCTGTGCGCTCACGTGCTCTTCTTGCGACCATGGACGTTGAACAGGAAGAATAGCAAGTTTCCAACACTTTCTCCAGTACGGGTGTGTTTCAAGTTTTTCACAATTTACGCTTTCTGTATTGAACTGCATATGGAAAAATGCAGTTTACCTCGTTATTTTACTCACCTGGAAAATTTCGATCTGTAACTGAAATTGTTATGATGCTGTTCTGTTGTTAGAGCACTCCAAGTGTTGGATTGGTGCTCTTGGAGTAATCTACATGGTTTCGAGGCACTGTGCGGCAAGGTGGGCCTGCACGAACCACCAGCTTTTTTAACAGTAATATGTAGTTGTTGTGTCGCTGGACTTATCATTGTTCTTGTTTCGCAGTGAGCGTCTACTAATTAACTAGTAATGCTTGCGTAATAATTAAGATTGACTTGGAGCATTCAGTGGCCATGGTAAACTACTTACAGTATCTGTAGTAAAAAACAGTCGTCGATTTATGATGGTCATAGACCTAGAATCATGGTACAATATTTATGAAACATAAAAGTGATCAGTGGATATCAAGAGTGCGCAGTTGTAATGCTATACCAAATTTTAATGCATGGTGTCATCTGAGAAGAGCATTTTAAATGCCTGAGTCGATCTAAATTACATGTACAATATAACTACAACCAGACTCTGCGAATGGCCAGGCAGTTCAAGCAACATTGTGGCGAGTTTAGGTGCACAAAATAAAAAATATAAAAATACAGGATATGACGGCATATTCTGTGTAAACGACCAGGCAAGAAGAAAACATGAACATGTCAATTGTGCTTCATTCAGACTGACAATCCAATTACTCTTGTGCAACTGAATGAAATCTGAAATTAGTAAATAAGATCTCGAAACGAGTACGGGTCAACTATCAGCCGTAGTTGAACCCGTATTGTTGGTAAGCGTAGCCGAGGCGTCAGCATCCGGTTTCGGATGGCAGACATGTTCCGGTGATACCTTTGTGATAAGTGGTAATATTGGACGGACGTTTCGCAATCCAAGATTTTCCTGGGAAAGGTTGCAGTCGACAGCGACGGTGTTGGGAGCGCGTGGTCCGGGGCGGGCGAAACGCGATGGTGCGATCTTCTTGCTACCGCTCTGGGAATGGTGCAGGCTGCTGTTGCGGCGGAATATGGAAATGGAATGCTCATCTAATGTAGCTGCTGCCGATCCTAATCGTAAATGCCAAACTGAGCTCGTACAAATGCTAAACTTTGTGGATTTAAAAGCGTCATAAACAAAACTAATAAACTAAAAAAAATTAAAATAAAAAACTGAAAAATAGGTAACAAAAATTGTTACCTAAAGCACAGCCCGTGCTACACTGTCACAACGGAATTGTCGCAAGCTAAAAAAGAAAACACAGAAACCAGACGCAATAACAGCGGAAGAAATGAATAACATACTACGCTATAAGAAAACAAACACCGGCAACAAAACCTAAGCGCAACTGCAACGTAAATGACTGAAAAAAACTCAAAGGTACTGTACATAATTTCATATAAACACAAAAGGAATAACGAATCACGAGTGGCAATAGAAAGCGGCAAAGGTAACAGCTCACAGACCTTTCAGGTAGGCAAATTAGCTAACAACAAAAACATGTATGCATGACGTCAACATTCTTGCTTATCGATAACAGCAAAATAAGGTTCTTTGCCTAATGATGACCTTTATTCAATTCACAGCAGCGTTGTTTTAACGAGCCGTGCCCTACCTGGACAGCACTTTCGTGCCACTCTGCGAATGGCCGCCACCGAGGTGTAAATATGATCCGTCATAAAGAAGTATACCATGGCATTGGTGGCACTGTTCCCGTGCGCCAGCATCAACGCGGCCAGATTGAGCCACTTGGGCGCCTGGTAGATGGAGCGGAAGCTGAAGAGTAATCCCAGCGGCGTCCACGATACCAGGAAAATAACAAAGATACGGAAGAGGGCCTTAATCAGCCGGATCTCTTCTGCTAGGCCACTGATCGATGCATGCCGGTTATTAGTTGCGCCGGTGTTGGTGGCTTTCCGCCGGCCGGCGATCAGATGCCGGCCAGATGTGCTATTGCGGATACGCAGGTAGATCTGCAGATAGGCGTAGAAACAGATACTGGTGGGGATGATGACACTGCAGACCGCCCAGAAGAGGGAGTAGGTCCAGCGGCGCAGATCCGCCGTGCAGATGTAGAAATCCGGCGTGTAGTTGACCACGCCCCACCCCATGAGTTGCGGTGACCAGATGAGGAAGGACACCACCCAGATGGTCAGCATCATCAGGATGGAGTTCATCGGGGTGTAGATGCGCTGGTACCAGGAGATGTGGCAAATGGAGAAATACCTGCAGTAAGGGTAATGCTTATTGCTCTGGATCAGATGCTTTAAACGCAAACAGTACATATCAACAGTTCCTAAACCACCTTCAGATTATAGTTAAAATGTGCTCAACTAATAAGCCCTAACAATATTTTCCAGATTACGGCTATAAGAGCTACGGTACTGCAGACTGCAGAGTATCAGAACTTCTAGTGAAGTTCACTAAGTGAACTGAGACGACGTACATTACACTGTTTATTATTACTGTATATCAAGCAAAAAGTTAATAATCAAACTTTCCTATGCCTATAACGATAAGCAAGACTTCTAATTTTCTCGTTCATTCTATATAATGCTGCGTTCCACTATCGTATTGTGGAGCGTGTTTGCAACAAGCTCGCACAGAGCTGTCGATTTTCTTGGGCGTTATAACCAAAAGCCATTTGACCCTCTAGTATGCAGGCATCGTTGTGGAAGGACATCGCTACTGTAGGTCCTTTAGAGCCTGTTTGATAATGTTTAATATTTTTAGTGATACCGAAAAATACTCCGCAAAATACGTATGGCTAATTTATATGCCATTGTATATGAAATAATTTTTACCTTTCCACCGCAATACCCATAATGCACCACACCGATGCCGTACAGGCGGTCGCGCACACAGCTCCTTCAAAATCACACAGCCAGCTTTTGCCGCGCCAGTAATAAGGCCCCTGCACCGCACCTGGAAATTAAAGCAAATAATCAAACATGCAATTTTTTGTGTCAAGGAATACATATTTTCAAATTTACAACGATTACCCTGTACAGGTGCGAAAGTGGTATACGTTGTAGTTACTAATCCGCTATATTTGCCTTGCTAATTGGCTGATTCCCGGTATTGACTTTATGATTAGTCGGAATACGATTACAGTCCTTTTTAATCAGGCACCGGCACGACGTAGCTAATTAGCAAGAATTCGTGAATATTCTTTCATCATTTCGCTTTTGTTTGCAGATGCCGGTGGGATTCTAAGTTCGGATGTATAATCATCTTGCAAACTCAGTTGTTAAGAAAGTCAGATAATTACTGCTTTGAATACAGTATCCAAAAACAAGCTTCTTCACGTCTTAAGTAATTTTACCTAGCTTGCTTTGTGCAGCGCCTAGATTTTTCAGTCTACAGATACTGTATTTTCACAATTTTAAAGAACACGAAAATGCCCTAGGTCTGCTCGCCGCCACCCGGGCCCTGCAGCTACGTTCAATGCTGCTCACTGAGTTCTGAAATAAAAAATTGCAGTTTTAATCATTTTTGAATTTACTGTTGCTCATTACGGGGCCCCATTTTATTGTTTCTTAACTCGGATATCCAGTCAGTAACAGGACAAAAAACGGAATGAAAATTTAAATCCTGGAGAACCTGGAGTAATACATCTGCACGGCCTCTGTTCAACCGCTTTGCACCTTGAAGTGACGGCCCTTGAAGTGACATTTAGAAAAAAATATTAAGTAATGTGATTCTGTGAGTTGTAAAATGGGGCCTCGTAATGAGCAGTAGTAATTTCAAAACTTATTAAACTGCATTTTTTTAATTTCAGAGCTCAGTGAACAGCATTGAACGTACCTGCAGGCCCCGGGTGGCTGCGAGCAGACCTAGGGCATTTTCGTGTTCCTTAAACTTGTGAAAATACAGTACTTTCCATAATTAAACAGAGATTTAAAAAAAAGGTTTACTCGTATTTAATTAAAATGTATTTGAAACACATAAGGCACGTGTCGGTGATACGATATACAAAATTAGTGTAACGTTTCAACGGAGAAATGTAGACGCCTGTAATTTGTATAAATCTGATGAAGTATTGACGCTATTATGGTTGTAATTGATTGAGTGAACATGTAATGACGACAACGCCCATGTTTTCACTCCAGATAAGCGGCTAGAAAATAAAACAAGCAACATCCAAAACGATCGAGTGACAGCAGTTCCTATGTATGACTTCCGATTTGCGCTGTGTTGATGGTCATTCTGTCAAAATTTGTGTAGTCGTTACTCGTTACTACGGGTCGGGATCAAGGTATATGCAGACACAAGCGCGGCCACTGATATGTTTTCTTAATCGGAAGCCATCGTGGCGCCGATTGCCGCGACGGAAGTTCGGCGTCAATGGCCCCGCCATTTCGGTAACCATTTTGTATTTGTTTTACCGGAACTGTCAGATTATGCAGCCGACGCGTTGCATTCCCCATTGCGATCGGAAGTCCATCCGACGCTGTGCAGATATTAATGAATTTAATATCGAAATTTAGCCGGTTAACGTTAAGCTAATTAAAATGCACGACGCGTATAAATACTGGCGTATAAAATCGATAGCAACCATTTGGAAAAAAAATAGATGCATCTCGATACTCTACGCCGAGTGGACGCGTGCGTCTCGACCGTTTCCGGGAAGATAATACGGATCAATGCCTAACATAATAAATTCATTAACGGTCGCCCACGGCCAGCACAAACCGTCCCATTGTGTTATGGAAATCACGGTACAATGTCGCCTTTTAGTCGCGGCTCATTCGGTTTATTGACGTTTTTTCATGCATTAGCAATGAATGTTATTCTATGAGCGGGTGGCCAATCCATTAATGTGCAGCTCTCCAACCGCGATCGATCCCGTTAAATAAAATGGATCCCGTAGCGAAAAAGGTGTCCCAGTTAATTACGTACGCAGCCGGCAAAAATTGCCTAACGGCCATGCTCATGTGCACTTGATCCTGTAACGCGATGCTGCCTATATTGGTTTAAAGATGTATTTTTGTAGCATTACTGTACAATAAAGTGTAAGCTAAAACTGTGTACTCAAGTTCTGCCTAGATTTTATTGTCACAAAACGCTATCAGGTATCAGTATTATTGATCACATGAATGCACATGATAAGTCGATGTCCGCTGAATCAAACGTGCGCATGGGTATTTTCCATATTTTATACACAATACAATTTAATATGTTTTTAAAAAGATCCGAAAATATTTTGCAAGATCATTGCACCTCTTTAAAAAACTTACAATATGAGAGTTATAGCAAGCAGATCGGCGCAGCCACATATGAATGACAGAACCAAATCTGCACACACAAGATTATTTATAAAATCATGTATTCACTAAAATTACAGTAGAGTGAGATTACCCAAAAAAGCGTTATAAGAAAGCAAATGAGAAACTATCTGTACTCGTAATATGTAGTACCGTAACAATAAAACTAATACTTCTTTAATTCGCAAAATTGAGTATGCACATATACAAAACAATTATGCCACATTTATGTGCACGAGTAAACTGCAAGTGCACGATTACATTACGTCAGTCACATGAATAATTGGTTGATCTAAATCCGCATTTACAAGCTAATTTTTTAAACTGCAAGTAAAGGGACGGGTTACTGGGCGTGTGTTACCGGTCAGCTGCACGACAGCCGGCCTAGAACGTTAACGTTTTTTTATTCTCTCGCGACTTGCCTGACACTGCATTAAGTCATTCACTAAGCTCTTGAGTGGGATGATCGATTATTTACGATAGGGGATTCTTGGGAAATACATGGACTTGCCAAAAAATCTTAATCAGGAGTAGAGGATTATGTGGTTCTACAAAACACTTTTACAGATGCCAGATGGGTTCAGTCAGAACTGGCAGGATATCATCCCGGAACCGGTAATGAACTGGTTCTGATGGAAGCATTTTACAGTTATCGTACAGTACGTGAGCGCAGCTGAAAAGTGGCAGCTGCGCATTAATAGGTGCGGACATTTTATGCCTCTATATTATCACTTAATAAATAATTACATAATTTTTTATAAAGTACATAAAATTAACATATTCTACATAAGTTTTTTTTCAGTAATTTGTTTAAAAATACAGCACCTGTCATAATGCGGATGTCTGGATAAGTAAATAATCGATGTTAAGAATGTGAGCTGTTGTACTCGTTGTACGTACTCTCCACTCGTATTAATTATGCGCAAATAACACTTCCGCAAGTGCGTCAACTGGCCGTCAAGCACGTGTACCATTCTTCAAATACTGTACAAGCTGGTTAGGTGAATGTACTCTGCCTTTAAAAATTGCGAAACTATTTACTTATTAATTTTATATTACCTATAATTTATAGACACACAATGTATATTTGAGTGTACCTAAAATATTAATGGGCATGACGAAAGCGGTGATGACCAAGTCTGTCAACGACAAATTCACAATAAATATCGGCTGGATTTTTTTCAGAGCATCCATGAGCAGCAGCGAAAGGACAATCTGCAACAGCAAATAAAATTCCTATTTATTTACATAACAGGAAAGATTATCGGTAATGGTTTAGAGTTACATTACTGTGCTCACATGAGCGGCAATCATTGATCGGAAATTGTTGTAAAACTTGTAATCATGTGTGGTCAAATGGCATACATTTACGTAGTTAGACTAATTACCAGTATATTCCCGATGGTTCCCACTACACTGAGCAGGGAGACGAAAATGCAGTAGACATAGTGGGCAAAGGGATCGGCCAGCCATTCGTTGCGGTGATGGTTGACCGCAATGTCCCATAGACTGTCATTGCGGCTGTAGATACGCGGCTCCCCAGGGGCGTACACCGTCTCGTCCGTCACATTGGGAATGCGATAGTACACGTACATGATTAGCGATGAAGTTCGGCATTAAGCGTAAATCAGACAGGCATAAAAAACCATAATCGTGTAACCGAGGGAATTACGCCCGAGATGAACTTTACCAATGAAATGCGCTCACCCGCGTCCGAGATTTATTTATACAGCGAAAGATACAAAACAGTCGTGTGGAATAACAGATCCCTGATCAGCCGACACCGGAGTGAGCCGTGTGATGTGAAACTTCCCGTTGATACACTGCATGCCGGCGTTTCAGATATCCGGTGAAATGTGTTGGTGATCTGGCTGCACTGCGATACTGACTTCCGCTGCGGGCGGTCCGGGATTGCTTTGATAGAAGGCTGGAAATTCCGGCCCGGGGAGAAGACATGTGTTCTCGTCAGTGATTAGCGGCGGATGGGGCGGTGGAAAGCGCTAAGACTAATCGTGTGCGATTGCTTAAGTGCTCTCTGGCGCAACCGGCATAATTAGGCGCAGCCAACCGATAGGCCGGTTAACGCGCTAATTGACTCCCATCCGGTATTGGAAAATCATCGACTCGGCTGAAAAGTTCAATGTGTTTTTTGAATTGCTCATTTGCACAGGTCCGCAAGAAAATACAGCCATTTTTACGTTATAATTATCGTTATACTATCGACTTGCGTGCAGCAGAATTCAAAATGCATGGGCTGGTCAGATACTCTACAATCAACAAAATCGCCAACGTTACCACAGCTAGAAATTCCCGGGATTACAGTGTAATTTCAGTTGGCGATGCGGAATTTCCAGTCCATTGTTTTGTCCTGGCTGCTCAACCAGGCGCAGTTCTTATGACCATGTTAACTGCAGATATGTCGGAGGTCAACCGGCAGTCACCGCAGATTAATCGGACGCATTTGTTTAACACTGTCATTTGAATTCAGTGTTTTTGGTTCGCTTTAAAGCAATGGGGGTCGTTAAATTTATCCATCAAAGGACATTCTTTATTAAGTCCCTCGAATTTATTAAGTTAAACTATATAATATATACTCGTACTATTCAATTTAAGTAATATTCGCTTCCGGTGACTACCGCATCATTCATTGTTAAATGCATGCATTTGATCAAACCAATACCACGTAACCATCATACTTAGTTAAAATGCTGCAAACAGATTATTTACACAACACTTTCCAAGATGTGCAACATGCACGCATGGCATAGTTCATTATTTATCCGTAAAACCACATCCAAGTGCCACCAGAACTAACTGTTATAAACTGAGAAACCTATCATCTTTGTCATGTTGCACTAACGAGAGGGAATGGTTTTATAAATTATTAACAACCATACTGCTCAGTGTACATCTCTATCTCGTCTCCATCCTCGAAGCCGCATTCCGAAACCCGAATCAAGTCATCCAATCGCCTATCCTTAAAGATCATTCGCTGCTGGTAAATGGGGATCCCGAGGAAATTGCCAACTGCGGCCTTAATCCGTTGAATGTTAGCCGACTCCGAGACTCTCACGCGCATACTGTTACCATCCTGGAAACGAACGGTCAGCGTCTTGCACTCTCCCTTAACGGCATCCGCACTGGTCGCAACGCTTGGCTGCATCTCCGCCGGTTGAAACACGTCCTTAAGCGTTGGATCTTCAGAAATCCGATCCAATTCCGCCACAACACGCCCATTCATTGTCGCCGGCAGAATATCCACTAGACACATATCCCGCAATGCAAACGTGAAGCCCAGTAACACCATTTTCACACCTCCATTCCAATCAAATTCGTGTCGAATCAACTTTATCAGCTTGTCAACCGGGATCTGCTGCAAATTAACGCCCGGAGCACAGAGACGCTCCAGCATCACTAGTTGTGTCCACAGTTTCACGGACGGGATGTCCCAGTCGCTGGACAACGCCACCAGCTCGTACAGAAAGGAAAGAGTGGTTCGTTCGGGATTCAGTGGCAAATAGTCGGCGGCGGAATTCACTGCGCCTAACAGAGCCGTAGCCACTTCTTTGCTGACACTCATTTCATACACGCTCACCTGACCCGCCGTCTTCGCACCTAGAGTCGAAAAGAAATTCGCTACAAACTGAAGTTTAAAATAACTTGCGAAATAATTATTTGCACTTATTTTTAGATACTGTTGTAAAGGTTAAAATATAAAATTGTTCGTTTTCAATCTGCAGCCAATTAAAAGTCAGTCAGTCAATGTTTTCAATTTACAGTCAATTTGCCTTTCATCAACCAAATTCCATCATTTTCTTCGCCAAGCAAAACGTAATTTCATCAGAATTTACTAAATGTGTAGCAAACATAAAAAATTTCGCATTACAAGTCCTTTTAAGCATGCTAGGCCTGCATGATTATTAAATAACTGTAAATAACTGTGATTTGAAGTTTGCAGTTTCAGATCTCGAAATTTCGGTTGCAGCTTAATTCATACCGAAGATGGCGTGGGTCTCGGTGGAAATATTCAACAAGACCTGGCGACCCACTTTCATACTGGAGCGCCCAAACTTCAAGGTAACGTTGTCGTTGCCGCTCACTGCAGAATAATCGTGCTCGTCCTCGGCCACTGCATTATGCGGTAAATCCGCCCGCAACTGCTTCAGCTGGTCGCGGATGAGCAGCCGTAGCGGCACTCGCAGGGTGATGTAACAAAATCCCTGGCGAAAGATACCCAGTTCGCGACAGCACTCGGAGTATGTCTGACCGCGGATGTTCATCAGTTTGTCGTTAATCAGGTACAGATTACTGGCACCTTCGGCCGAGAGGTCCATCTTGACGGTGGGACTGCCGTCAGAGGCCGGATTGATGAAGGACAACTGGACAGACTCGACGAAACAACCCGGTGGGATGCTCTGCAGCTGCACGCTGGCGCGCCACGGAACTTCGAAGCCACGCTTACGAGCATCACCCGATGAATGGCGACGGTTAGTACCCACTTTCCGCTCAACTGAAAAAACGCGCACAAAATCAGGTCTACTTTACAGTTCGAAAATTAATGATGGAGATGACTGTTTGTTTTTCATCGATACTAATTCCAGAAATACAACTCGATATAATACAATTTACATCAACATTTCTAGGGCGCTTACTCTAGCTGCCAGCTGCCCAGAAGCACAAAAAACCATACAAGGCCCAAGGCAGGGAAACATAACTACACTAAATTTAGATACCATGGACTGCGTTACCGGAGTTTTCGCAAAAGCAACACACAAATACAGTAAATCTGTAAATATCTCTATTGTCGACAATTCCAAAGCAAGTCGCAACTACATTTTCAAAAATTACAAAATCAGATTGTAATGAGAGTTATCTGCAATCCCACTAAGAGTTAAGGCAAGAGAGTTAAGAGTTGAATTAACTTTGTTATTGTGTGGACATACAGCGTTTCATATTTCGACAACCATTTTATCTACAAAAGTTCTCGAAAATATTTGTGACCAATCATTCCGATAATCGCACTCGTAGGAATCCGTACTCAACTGCCTTGCACACATGTCACTTACAGTACGCTTGCAGAGCCACGCCACTCTCCATCCAGGCAGGCATGATCTCCTCTCCCGTGACCACCATCCGCACCTGCTCCAATTTGCCACTCCCGTAGTCGTTCATCACCAGGCTTTGAATATCTTTGATATCCTTCTGGAAAGTATACATGGCGCAACAGGTGACGAGCACGCCTTGACTTTTCCCCGATTCCGCAATCTGCTTCTGGCAGTTCTTCAGCATGCTGACAAACTGGTCTTCCATTGCAGACACCCTATCCACAAAAGCCATCGAGGATCCTCTTTCAGACGGTGTTTCCGAACGGGCTCGCTTTCGTTTCTGGCCTACAGATACAATCATACAACGAAACGTTATATCCCAATCAGATAATTTATGATCCAATTATCCAGTATCCAAGTCGTATGTTCGAAAACTCCACTGCAGATTAGCGTCGAATGTACACGCCAAGACTCCAAGCAAGAGCCCACTGTCTCTCCTGTGCGAAGTTTTAGCGACTTACCATTAGTAGCTGAGTAACATGAGTTGGACATTTTACTAGTGACTCAGTGAGAGTTGACCAATGATCGGCAAAACGTAAAGCGAAATCCCAAAATAAATCACAAACGGCAAAAAAAGCTGTAAGTAAAACTGTAAAAGTAAGCAAGCAAGAACCATACTTTAACAGTGTAACAGTATCAGACCACCGAAAGCTGAACGCTACCAGAGGGCAATTACGTTGACCCGCGCTCACAAAGATGACAGAGAATGGAGCAACACTCAGAACACTGACACAGCACACTGAGCACAGTACGTTCTTACCATTAGTTCTTAGTTCTTTAAACATATACAGAGAATAATAATTACATACTGTAATACTAATACTATAATTATGGCATTATTATAATTATGCGTACAATAGTACGGTACACTTCTTGCATGACATTTGTATTTTGGAAATACTAGCAATTTTGCTTCCACGTAAAAAAGCCAATCGTTAGCGATGAAAGGTCGATGGCCGCCCCGCCGCTGCCTCCTTTTTTAAGCGTCTGTTGATTCGGGCGATTTTAATTTTGTGGGTGATATCGAATATGATTAATAAAAATCTGTTTTCTTAAAAGTGACTATGTTGCATACCTTTGCACATTTTGCTGATGCAGAGCCACGTAAGCGAAATATCATCGTGGACTACCGGTAAGCGGTTAGTAGTCACTATTTTCGCAACATGGAAATGTATTTTACGTTCCTGGGACCCGATCGGAAGGTACCTGTAGTCCATGGTGGTTGTCTTAATTATAAGCGCTGCCGGAGAGACTAATGTCAGTAACGTGCTGAAATTTGGAATGAAGGGAAGTCCACCAATAAAATAAAGTCAATTTTACGTCACATCGTTGCTTATACTTTACATTTTACTGGATCAATGCTCTTAAAATGGAACCTGGTCGATTAACACCGTGTTGCGTGCAAAATTTAGGACAGCAGGCGCATTGCATGGGATGGTCAAATATGAGTTAATAAAATTGCGAGCATTGCCAATTCAAAATTAATTGGAAAAATTCGGAGACAACTGGCTGATTTTTATATACTATAGGCAATGTGATACCTCGTGCAGTCTTTGTTGCTCACGTTTGAGCACCATTTTTACCTCGGCATGTCGGAGAAATCAGCCGGCATTTCTTACAATTACCAGTACGACATCGACTACTTCAATAAGCAACGTGCTGTAGACTTTTTGTATGGTTGCGGCGCAGCATCGGAACATTAATTTTAACACGAAAGATAGCGGAAGTGAATCCACCGGTGGTACTGGTCAGCCACTCGCTGTAAAACAGCACGTAACGTACCTTGGCGTCGAGGTAGGCGGGCACAAGCAGTTTCAGAAAGTAAGAAGGAACATCAATTACGGCATTCAAAGAAATCAAGCGCGCGCAACCCGGACTCGGCATCCCCCAGCGCGTTACCCTTTATCACGCCTTTGTTGAGCCATTCACAGATTACTGTGGAGTGTGGACTGGGTCGGTCAACGGCGTCCTCGGGTGGGCGGGAGAAGTTGATGAAACGACATCATGAGGCATTACGGACCATCACCGGCAGCACCAGAACTGTACGGGCAGCTAGCGATTACGCCGGCAGAACCGAGATGGCGCCAAAAGGAAGGAGTGTGGCTATATAAGATACGAAACCGGGAAACCTATCCCATTCCATCGTACATGTGCGACCTGCTTCCCTTCAAGGAAACCAGCACGCGATACGCCCTCCGTGTGAAGGAGCGTGTGGATCCATGGCGTGCAGATGCATTGGAAAGGACGACCCTGGCAGTGAGGCTCAAGGGCTTGTTTGTTAAAATACTGAAAAGTGGTGATGGAGTTTATTGCTGTGGTTCTGTTAAAACTCTACTTATCGATACTCCAATCAAATAATCTGTTGTAAACCTCTGCACATTATTGCAGTGTTTCATATTTTGTTGTTGTTTACACTACATATAAAGTGACCGGACTTGTGAGTGCCGCAGGGTTTGTCTGCTCGAAAAAAACTAAACCAACGTAAAAAATTCTGTTACCTGAATGACCTGCGCGGTTTTGGATCATGTCTACATTGCCCAAATTCGCTCACTTCGTAAGTCTGCATGACGGTGCCGTCGGTGCGTTATGTATCAGATTGGGAGTGCTTTCTTTCGGTTCGAATACCAAATGGGTCCAACGAAAGGAAGTACAAAGGACACAGTATGATCTACGCCAAACCACCCGAACCCATTATCTGATGTCTTCGTATAGAATTTATGGACTTTTGCTTTTTTGATTTGATAAAAGCTAATATTCTCCAGTAAGAACCTGCATTAAATACGTACACAAGCTCGGTTTACACTTCACTTCCCGCGGCTGCAGACTCAGATAATTTTACTTCAAGCACTCTGAAATCCACTACAGCCAATGAATCACCATGTTCTCTTAAAATATTGCAAACGGATTATTTGGACAGCTCTTTCAAAGATAAGCACGCGCAATACAACCAACTAACTACCTCTAAAGACTAAAACCAAACATACCGACTATTTAATCTCTCAAACTGAAAAACCAACAGCCGTGCTCGCACTAATTTTGGTCAAAGCTACTCGTATTAGGTTAAAGTAAGACAGAGAACGTGTTCATCAATGTTTTCCCTAACAACCATACTGCTCAGTGAATATCTCTATCATATCTCCATCCTCAAAGTCAAAATCCCCAACCAGTCTGTAGTCATCCATTTGTCTGCCATCAAACACCATGCGTTGCTGGTAAATGGGAATTCCAAGGTGACTCTGAACAAAGGCCTTGATTCGTCCAATGTTCGTTGTTTGCAGAACTCGCACGCGAAGGGAGTTATCGTCCTGACGAACGGTTAGCGTCTTGCACTGCCGCTTAACGTTTGTATTAGTCGCCGGATTCGCCATTGACTCTGCCGGTTGAAACGCATCCACAAGCGTTGGATGCGAAGAAATACAATCAAATTCTCGAACTAGTAGCTCGTTCAGTGGTGTTGACAGAACGTCTGCCAGACACATATCCCGCAGCGCAAACATGAAGCCCAGTAACGTCATTTTCGCTCCGGTCTGCACTCTATTCACGTCGTAATCCTGACGGACCACCTTGATCAAATTGTCAATCGGGATCTGCTGCAGGTTCACGCCCGGCGCACACAGACGCTCCAGCAAGGCTAACTGCGTCCACAGTTTCACTAACGGGATATTCCAGTCGACGGACAACGCCACCAGTTCATACAAAACGGAAAGTGTGGTTCGGTCGGTATCCAAATGGTCGGTGGCCGTCTTCACTGCGTCCAACAGAGCGATAGTCGCTTCTTTACTGACACCCATCTCATACACGCCCACTTGCCCAGACGTCTTCGTTCCTACATGTACAGTCGAAAATCAACACTTTAAGCACACTTCTTAACTTTCATGACTAGATGTAGTCAATTACCTTTCGACAAATTTCCGTTGAATTCCTTAAAATTATTTTTACCGGAATTTGCTGTTGTTTATTTTTTTTAAAAATGTCTTTTATCCATTTCAGATTGTTATGAAAATGTAAAGACTTGTGGAATTCTGGGGTCATTTTGATATGAAATCTTGAAAGTTTGGCTTTCTGCAGTCTTATTCGTACCGAAGATGGCGCGGGTTTCCGCAGAAATATTCATCAAGAACGGACGATCCACTTTCACAGTGGAACGTCCAAACTTCAAAGTCACACTGTCGCATCCATTCCCTGCGGAATAATAATCCTCGCAGTCGGCCACTGCAGGATGCGGCAAATCCATCCGCAATTGCTTCAGTTGTTGGCGGATGAGCAGTCGCAGCGGCACGCGCAGCGTGACGTAGCAGAATCCCTGGCGAAAGATACCCAGTTCGCGACAGCACTCGGAGTATGTCTGACCGCGGATGTTCATCAGTTTGTCGTTAATCAGGTACAGATTACTGGCACCTTCGGCCGAGAGGTCCATCTTGACGGTGGGACTGCCGTCAGAGGCCGGATTGATGAAGGACAACTGGACAGACTCGACGAAACAACCCGGTGGGATGCTCTGCAGCTGCACGCTGGCGCGCCACGGCACTTCGAAGCCACGCTTACGAGCATCACCCGATGAATGGCAACGGTTAGTACCCACTTTCCGCTCAACTGAAAAAAAACACATAAAATCAGAGCAGTTACAGCGTTTTAAGGTTCAACTATTTCAATTCATGGCGAGGATTGGTTCAGTTTTTTTGTCGGTATTAACTCCATCATTCCAGAAATAAAACTCTAAACTTATACAATTCAGGTCAAAATTTTTAGGACGCTTTACACTAGCAGCACAAAATTGTTACAGACTCAAAGACAGTAAGTCAGGAAAGCACGCCAATACTGGAGGTGAATTCATTACAACACATACCAAGGATTCAGAAAATGCATCACTAGAGTAGATACGTTTTCCCATAGTAAGCACAATCCTTCCTTCCGTACAGTCCTTCCTAAAGGCTAAACCTTACCCGGTATCGTTCGCTAACCCGAAATCCCCAATTCTACAGCTCTGACTTTAATGCATTTCCAAAATTTTAAAAGCAGACTAAATATTATACAGAATACGAAAATATCCTCAACTAGTCATTCCGGAAATCACGCTTGTAACTATCCGCAATCAGCTCTCCTGCGCACTTGTTACTTACAGTATGCCTGCAGAGCCACACCACTTTCCATCCACGCAGGCAAAGGCAGAATCTCCTCTCCCGTAACCACCATCCGCACCTGCTCCAGTTTCCCCATCTCGTAGTCATTCATCAAGAGGCTTTGAATGTCCTTGACATCCTTCTGGAAGATATACATGGCGCAACAGGTGATAAGGACGCCTTGACTTTTCCCCGATTCCAAGATCTGCTTCTGAACGCTTTTCAGCATGTTCACAAACTGGTGTTCCATTGCAGCCACCTTATCCGCAAAACTTATGTTGGATCCTGTTTCAGACGATGTTTCCGAACGGGCTCGCTTCTGTTTCTGGCCTACAAGGAAAAAAAACTAAATGCTAATCTGCTAACGTGATCAAGCACATTCAAAAATCTCGCTACATATTAGCGTCGAGTGTGAACACTAAGCAAGAGCCAGTTGTCTGTTTCTCCATGCGAAATTCAGTGTCTTACCGCTGGTGGTTGAGCTGGACATTCTACAAGTGACTCAGTGAGAGCTGACAACTAACAAGTAAAACGAAAGTCTGACGCTAAATCATAACTGCAAAATCAGCTCTAAGAGTAATAGTAAACAAGCATCACCCAGAATAGGTAGAATTATTGAAAAATAACGGTGATATACAGACATAATACAGTGTCAGTTAAACTGATATTGCTGTACAGTAAAAGTACCTCGTACGCACTACGTACTGTAAAACATTGCTGATCAACCGTCAACGAGTCAGCTGGGCATAACATAATATTTTATCAGACTATCGCAGGCTGAACGCCGCCAGAGGGCAATTACGTTTGCCCGCGTTTATAAAGAACGGCACAACGCCCAAAAAGAAAATCAAAACTTGAATAACTTCGTCCAAAACTGAAGTTCATTGTAAATAGCAATTTTCTCTGATAAAACATCAGTCCATAGATGGGACTTTAAATTAAATTTAATACGTGGTATCTCTACATACTCCTCTGTAACACTGCAGCGATAAGTAGAACAATGGCTGTTCATTGCAGTTTAACTACAATAATTGCCATAGTACGAGTACATGCTACTACGAGTGCTAATAGTACATAGTCACTACATACCTACTCATGCATAGTACCGGGTACATTGCACTGAATGTGTGTAAATTTTAGTAATATTATCTGTAATTTTGGTTTCACGTTGAAAAGGCGTCAATCGCAGTGATCGAGGATGGTGACCATCAGCCATGGAAGGCCAAGGGCCGCTGCTTCATCGATTAAAGCGTGTGTTGATTCGCTGCAGTTTTGAGCCATCCTTTGTGGGCGATATTGAACATGATAATGAAAATAAGCTCTCTTAAAAGTGACTGACCATGGTGAGTTGCATACCGTTGCACATTTTGCTGATGCACAGCCACGTACGTTAGATATCATCATGGACTACCGGTTAGTGTTTTCGCAAAACGCAAATGTGTTTTACGTTCCTGTGCAGTTTTGAAGAGGATACAAGTACTTATTATCGCCGTCGAATTTTTGTTAGCCCCAAGCACAGGTGTGGAGCGATATTAATGGAATGCTTCCATGTCGGCGGCAGAACAAATACAGCACGATAAAAAATTCGGGAATTTGAAATCATTTCGGTGATAACTTTGAAAGCTTTTTTCCTACTGGTGTTCTACTATGGCCGAAAAACATTGGCACGCGTATCCTGCCACTGCACCGGTTGCCATGGTCCGAGTGAAGTTCGAAGCCGCTGCCTCCGATTTCCACATGCACCATGAGACCAAGAGAGATTATAAGTATATTCCTCGCGTAGACCAGCACATTTTGACATATAAAATGGACCTTGCTATGGATGCATGATACATCCCCACAATATCCCGACCTTCCTGTTGGATTGTGGACGTTTTCGATACAAAGAATTCTGCACACGTGGGATGGTACATCCGAACGAAGAGATATAAGCATTCAAGCATTGATCGAACCACGGACTGGTTTTATCACCGAAAGATGTGGAATTCAGCGTAACACGTATACCGGTACTATGATGGATTTCACCTTTACGTAAGTGCGAGGCTGCGAATATGTGCTCGTAGTAGCCTCGTACTCGCATTTTACAGTACCGGTGAGCGATGTTTTGAAAACTAACGGGAACATGTTTTAGTACCATGTGTACTTATTACACTGTACACAGTAGTAAAAAATGCTGTGTCAGTGCAGTGTTATAAATTAAGGTTTGAACAATTACAGTCTTCGTGCTGGTTCAGGCGAGGCGATCCAGTCAACTCGAGGCGATGTTACTTTTCAACCGAACAGTAAAGAGTGCAAATGTAACCCAGGAATCTTGACGGTTCCTTGTGTTGCGCCAGTATTCACTGAGAACGCTTTAACCGGTGACACCCGGTGTTCCATGATCCATCGAGTTGTTGGTTCATACACCACCGGCAGCGTTAGGCAGACCGCAAAGCTTGGCCGACAAACTTGGCAATATCCTCCAGTCGGAAAACTTTGCTGACTTTAAGATAATTTCTTCGGACAATGTAGAATTTGCTGTACATCGCGCCATCCTCGCTGCCCAATCGGCAGTTTTTGCCACCATGTTTACCACGCACATGTCGGAGAAATCCACCGGCATCTGCAAGATTGCCGACGTCAACGGGAATATTTTGAAAATAATTTTTGAGTTTTTGTACGGCCGCACCGTCTCGGGTGAATTAAAGAATAATACCGAAGAGATACGAGTAGTTGCCCACAGGTATGAGCTGGAGGATCTGCGTTACCTTTGCGGAGATTTGATGATGTGGGGCTTCACAAGGACAATGCTGATCGTTATTTAGATTTTGCTGTCCGCTACGAAATAAAGGAGTTGAAGAAGAAAGCTGCCAAGATTGTAGCTGCTTTTTAAAGCGGCAGTGGAGATAATATTATAATGTTTTGCTTTTACAACATGCCGTACAACTGAATCTGAAATGCAGATAATTACTACCTACCTCGTGGGACGTGGACTAAAATGGAGACAAGATGTGCATGCAGTCTTTTAAATGCTTTGTTAAACCGATGAATAAATAGTACTTGTTAGCAATAAATACTCGTACGACGGCTATAAGAAAACAGACTCATTTCTAATGTACTCTTTTAGAACTCAAAGTATATTTCTGCATAAGATTCAAGGTAGTAATTTACATATCTGTCGGACCGCCAGACTTATGGTGAAACCAGCTGACCAAAATTCTGTACTCACTACAGCCAATACATCTGTACACTTTTGCTACATGGGTAAACGGATCCAATAGTTTTTTTTGTCTTCATTCATCAAACCGTTTTTTGCGTTATGTGTAAAATTTCACGCATCGGGTTACTGATTCGCAGTCCCGCACATGCATGCATTTTTTGAAGTTTGAACACAGAATCCCTTGGTTGCATTCTAAGCAGAGGTATAAAACACATAGTAAGCCCTCGAGATGGAATGTATAGTACTGTTTTAATTTGTACGGCTTACGTTAGTTCGGAAGTGGGTCGGGTACCAAAATCGGATGTAATGGCACATAATTTTATTATAATACCGCGCCGACGAGAAACGCTGCTGACCGGAAAACTAATTTTCAGATAAAAGAGGATGACATCCTGTTTACTGACTTTTACGTATATGGGGCAACAGCGTACGAGTAATACAACTTATGATCTTTGCTAATCCAGCTAAACGATAGCATCGGCATGGGAAGTCGACTCGTTTATAGTAACAACAAAATATATGCTGGCATGCCAGCTAACCTAAGGTCCTAAGGACAAGAAACGTTAAGGCTTCGATCGCTTATGACATGCAGATACGTATCGGTTGATCGTCATTCACCAGTGGCGCACCCAGCGACGGCTGGCTGTATCTCTACCTGCCCAAGGATTTGACGTAAAATGAGCATCAAATGAGCAAGGAACTTTGGAGTTAACACTGCTGCACTAAGGATATGACATTGTAACCACTAACCCATATGTACAATGTACAGTAGTATTTTCACATTAACTGTTGTCCGTAGTTCCACGGCTCAAGTACAGTATATAAACCACAGGCCCAAACAGGACACAACCATTTTGTCAAAATACGCCTGCTATGTTTTAACTTTTAAGCAGTTTGTACAAAAGATTACACTTTTCGCTCTGCATATCATGGCATTACTGTGGCACATTATTCTTCTTATGGCTCTTGCCATCAATCCGTCTCTGTGGAGCAGCGACAGTAGAATTGGTTTAGCATCAGCTTGGCGCGGAGTAGGGCCGAGCGGCAAAGCGATTATCCACAATGTTATGCACTCCAGTCGAAAAGGCGCACAGCAGGCTGCTCAACTTGCAAGCCGCAGAAAGGCAGGATCCATCCACCATCCATCTGAAAAGGGTCGCCGGCCACATTTCCACTCTACCGACGGCCAGGGAAAGAAGCTCCAAAATGGAGTACATCACCAGTATGGAAAAAAGAATCCAAAGTGACCGTTTTGGAGAAGGACGATGTACAGCGTGGTAGCGCCAAGTTGAAGACAGTTGGTTGCCAATTATTAAAATTTCAGAGTTTGGTACTTTTAACTCTCTTATTGCTAAAACTAGTAACGCTATGTTTGGAGAACTAGAAAAAAACTCTGTTTTGGTGGATAAACTCTTTTTGGAATTTTCGGATTTTTTTCGGAAGTGGTCACTGGAATTTGACCAGTGACCACTTCGTAAAATGCAAAGGGGGAGGATCAACAAAAAAATTACGAAAAAAATCCAGATCGTCTGGGTCTCTTTCGTACTTTATATCACCGTAAAGGCTGATATTTGTGCAAACGAACAAAACAAAATTGTTCAAAATTCGGATTGGTTTCCCATTCTGCAGGGTCTCCCAAAGGGAAGATTCCTGGATGACACACTAGGTTCCAGATTTTGTTGGACAAGTGTAGCTAATAGCGACTACCCCCTAAGCAGACACAAAACTAGAACACCTAACAGTTGTGTCTGTGCGAAAATAAGCCGGGAGAAGCCGAGTAATGCCTTACAAGTGTACAGGGAATTTACCACGGCGACCTAAAAAATCCCGGTCGGTTTTTGAAAACAGCATATTTTAAAACATTCCTCTTTCCTGTGGAAGATAAGGAAAGCCAACCACCTTATTTTTTTCTTGAAATAGGCGACAAAGGTACATGAGAAAAAAAACAAACACTGAAAAGTACGAAGACCGTTAAAAAGTTTCAAGCCAAAATATCCTGAAAACGCTGGTCAGTCGAAAACTCACCGGAAATGAAATTAAAATATAAATAATATGAGATCTATACAAAAGACAGCAAAAATTTTTTTTCAAATAGGTGAACCGTGAACCATAGTTTTATCCATAATAATTAAGCAGAACTAACAAGTACAGGGAAGTGAGGGGGCGCTTCAACTTGGCGCTACCACGCTGTAGTGTTTTTTGTTACAACCATTGGTAATAATCTATCAACAGGTTTTTAACCTTACTTATAAATTACAGCCCATAACATCTTACGTGCTTGCGCTATATATTTTATTTCACCTGTGGTACAACGTAATTGTTATAATAATTAAAACGATCAACATTTTTATAACATCAAAATTTCATTATTTTAACTTTTCTGCTTAGGTTTGCAAATTTCATTATTTTAACTTTTCTGCTTAGGTTTGCGTACAGACACGTGATTTTATTTTTGGCGCTTTTTATTGCTGACCTGTCAGCTGATCTGATGGTTTAGATTAATAGCTATGTGGCGACAATTACAGAGTACAGTCGAACCGATTCGGAAGAATACTTTCTAAAATAACCAAAAAATGTTTTTTTGTCGTTGGGTCGATAGAACCCTATATCGACCCAGCGGAAATATTAGGTAATAGTTACATTAGGTAATAGGGAAGTACATTCCAGTTGCTGGGGCGGTAATCGACCGGAGCGCAGCGAGGTCCTCTAATTCAACAAAAGTGAAAAGCTGGCTGTCTGTTACAGAATTGGAAGATCACTTCCTTATTACGAAATCACTTCCTTATCCCGTAACTTGCGCATTAACGTTCCCATTTGCAATTTACAGTACACGGCGCGGGGCATAGTAACTCAACAAAATCGTTGAACAGACAGAGTCCAACAATCCCGAAGGTCATGCAGGTAGTAAACAGACACATTTCCGGGAGCGGTGAAAAAATTTCAGGAGCGGTTAAATTAAATTGAAATTAAATTTCTGTTCATAAGCTCGGGACATATTATTAATTTCCGCCAAGGCAGCGGCATATTTGCCAAATTAAAACCTTGCATCATCATTCCACAACCCAGTTTTTGTTCAAATTTTGTTCTTATTAATTTTCTTCACGACATAAAGACGAAAAAACGCTTCAATGGATCAAGGAAAAAGAAAACTTATGAATATTTCACAATTATGTCTCGTCGTAATATATTATTAAAAACGTAACGACTAATCAAGTAATCTGTATGGTAGAGATGGGCATCGGATCCAATTTTACAATCCGAACCCGATCCGAGAAATTTTTAAAAAATCCAAATCCGATCCGCATCCGAACTTTTGTCTTATTTTGCTTTCCGAATCCGATCGGATAATCCGAATCCGATCGGATAATCCGACTTGAGTAATTTAAAATTATTTATTACCATTAAAAATTGTATATGAAAAGCAACAGATGCAATGATAATACTGTATATGGTCGAATCTTATTTAGAGCTGAATGATTGAGTAATAAACGGTACGCAGAAAAAGGCACTTCACTGATATAAAGTTTGAATAACACTTTTACTGTGTTTTAATTGCTTTAAACTTACTTTTTATGCATGTTCGAGCATTTATGGAGTGCGAACGGCTACAGTATACCTAATTTGGTTCACCCGTTGAAGTAAATACACCCAAGAAGGCGCTTTCTTATTTCGTAATCACATCGTTGCAATGCAATTCTACCCAATTTGTTTAGATCTTTTATATCTATGACTTCTTTGACTGGCCAGAAGCGCCATTATCGTCGAAACTCTGCATAACATCGGCATCTCCACAAACCAATCCCCCGACACTCTTGATATAATCGTCCTCGGGACAGTAGTTCAACGGTACAAAGGCCACCATAATGGGATACGGCGGACTGTTGGCTATCGTCGGCTCATCCGCATCCCGAATCGTCACACTGACAAAGTTCCCTAGTCCAGGATAGAACTCGTGATCCGGTATGACCTGACCGCCTTCGCAAGTTGGCAGGGTTTTCACCAGGTACGGATCGTACTCCTTCAGTTTATTCCCGTCGGGATTCAGTGACAAGAAGTTATAGTCATCCGGGAAGAGCCAGCTCAGATTTGCCAGGTTGACAAAGAATTCGGGTGGGAGACACCCGTGGTCGTAATTTTGAACGCCCAGATACTTGAGGAACTTGGGAGAGTCCGTGCCGAAGAGGTTAGGACTGAGCGGAGCGTGGTTCCAGCCGATCATCAGACTGGTGAGAGACTTCAGGCCGTCGAAGGCTCCAGGAGCGATGCTGTAGATACCGTTGTGGGACAAGTCTAGTACCTGTAACCACAAGCAATTGATCATCCTTGTGCTTAAAAAAACCAATGAAATGCAAAAATGGTTTTCCTAGGAAAATAACTGAATATGCATGAATTTGCCGTGGCAGCTATATTGCTAATAAAAAATAAGCTACGCCGGATCATAACGATGTAAATTACTGTTGCCACGTTTTGCAAAATTTTTGTAATAACTATTTAATAAAATAACAATTATTACAACTTCCAACAACCGGCACAGCGACGAACCAGAGCGGCGCTTAGGTTCTTCTCCGGCAATATAAGGGAAAAATTCCTTAGAAACCCAAACCGCACTTTGGTAAACAAAACATAAAATTAATATAAAAGCTCTTACATACCTACATAAAACGTTCAAGAGTTTTTACCTTAAGGTTTTGTAGTTGTGTCGTCCTGGCTCCAAACTGCGTTGTGCTGATGGTTGTGATACGATTGGCACTCAGATACAATTCTTCCAGTTTTTCCACGTTCTTGAAGGCATTAACAGGAATCGACTGCAATTTATTTCGGCTCAACCGTAATACTCTCAGGTTTTTCATTTCCGGTATGGTGTCGTTGCGGATAAAGGCAAAATCATTTTCATCCAGATAGAGCTCTCGTAATTCCGTCAGTGCATTACCGGCTTTGGCCAACACCGTGAAGATCCACTTGCGTAAACTGCCATTGCGTATACTCAGTGTGCGAATGTTGGTCAACTCAGCAAACGCCCCCACCTCGAAGTGGGGCGGCCAGTCCGGATCGCAGAAATCAAAGTACAGCGTCGTGAGGCTCTTGGGAAATCCGTCAAAAAACGACCGGGTGACATTGGTGAAATTGTTGCAGCTGAGATCCAGTGTCTCCAGTGCCGGCAAAGTCAGCCGGTTTCCATAGAACTTACTAAACCCATTCCGCGATAGATCTAACGATTTCAAGCTGATGAATTTCTTGAGCACCGAGCGTGCTTCATCGCTGACGGTGTCATTATTGAAAAACTGCATATTATTCCCGCGCAGATTCAACCGGGTGATGGTGTCGGCAATGTCAACGAGCGGTCCCGCGAGCGGAAGATCCGTCAGACCGTTGTACGACAAGTCGACATAATCCAACATCTTCGAACGTGACCCTTGGAAGATACGGTGCCCGGCAAACGTCGTAATGTTATTACGATCGATGAGGACGCTTTGCAGTAAGGGCATATCGCCGAGTAATCCTTCTACGGGCTGGATGGCCGTCTCACCCAGATCGATAAGGCGCACATCCGGAAAACTCTGGTACCAGTGCTGAATGACCTTTGCATCTGCTGTAATAGGATTGCCGCGTAGAACGATCTTCTGCAAAGAGGTTTTCTTCTGAATTGTCAGCGCCAAATCCGTGTCAATGGTGACATTGTCGTTCTCGATGATCAAGGAGGAACTGGGTTGGAAAGACACGGACGAGAGAAGGTTCAGCAGAATACCGGATTTCACCGTATCATTGCCCATGAAAGTGTTCGTGTGCAAAACCAGCTCCTTTAAATTTTTAATATTAAACTGCTGGGAGCGTTGCTGGAAACTGAAGGTACTGTTAGAAATCTCTAGTGTCTCCAGATTGGGAAAGGTGTCGAAGAAGTTGGACTGCCAGCCGTGCAGTGTCATATTCCGTAGACGGAGGGTGACGACATTGGCCAGGGCTTTCAGTTCCGAAAAGTCCACCTCCAGAAACGTGACGCCCATCTTGTTCAAGGAGAGGCGCTGCAGTGACGGTGGGATCTGTTCCAGCGCGATACTTTCGATCAGCGGAGAGTTCCAGATATTCAGGCGGTTGAGGTTGCGCACGGCTTTAAGTTCCGGGAAGGTACTCAATGATGTTAGGTCCTGGAAATCTAACTGCGTGATCTGATTGGTGACGGATTTGAAGACTTCGTTGGAGAGACGGTTGATATTCGGTGAATCCCAGATATACACGCGCAGCTCTTGCGACGTGTCGGCGAAGACACGCAGATCTGACTGGACCATTTTGGCGGTGACGTTGCTGCAGATGACATCGAAGATGTCCATCATGCAGTTCACCTGCAGAGTGACTTATTAACAACATTTTCTTACGGTAAATACGTATGCTAAAGGCATTACCACTTTAGGTTTAAAATTCACAAAGCGTTGTACAAGAATGAAAAAAAATTTGTATCGTACTGCACACAAGGATTACTTTGTAATACCGCCAATACGTATGTACTACATAATTATAAGATCGAATTGGAAAAACGATAGTTACAGATGAGTCATAATTGTTCTCCAAGATTGCATGTTTAATCTTGTCCAATTAAAATTTATTTATTTTCTAACATTTTGTAAGGCAGTTTAGCGTCAGATGGTACAGTGTCATATAATTTACGTACCCAGCAGTTTCCGGACGGTAAACGAGAACATGACGCGTCGACATCGGCCAACAAACCAAGGCCAATGACAATAAACAATGGAAAACTGAAAAGAATCATTTTGATGCAGTTTTAACCTGATATTATCATAACGCGATTGTTGGCGCTACTAACGCGAGTATTTGAGCAATATTGTGAAGACCGTTTACAGCGAGTGCCTGATTGACACTGTAGATTATTGTTCTTTTGCAGAGTGAAATGGTTGTCGCTTGAGCAGCAGCAAAATTACATTTAAGCTTTAGGCGGTGATTATGAGCAGTTAAACATTTCCATCACAAAATTTTCTGTTCTTAGCATGAATTCCGTTAAGATAACAGTGTACATTAGCCTTTAGGCACAGTTAGCTTAAAATTTTAGGTACGGTTGCTGTAGGGCGAATGTGTTTTCAGGTTCCTGTCAAATATCTACGGTGCATATACATGTAGGTATAAACCATGTACATTGAAAGTGACGCTATCTATAGAATAAGCACCGTCGGACATTTAGCTGTTTATTAATTATATATTATCTTAATTATGTAATTATTTGTAGAATTCAGTTATTTGGCGCATAATTACTGTACGATGCATCGGGCAAGAAGTCATGGTCCCGGCGTTTCACAGATGACACGCGAAAGATGAGCCAATTAAAAATAAAAATAATCCAGTGCAGGTACTCTGCAGAGCCTCTACTCTATCGCTATAGTATTAATCCTGGAACAGGCGGTATTCCCTTTCAGTCAATTTTTTGAACGTGAAATTCAGAAGTCTTCGTAGCCTTGCCAAACGCTCTTCGCTAGTTTAACTTCTACATCAGAGGCATTTCAGCAAACCCGGATTCTTGCTGATCCGGTTGTGCAATAGGGAATCCGAGTCCATTGTCATTCACACTACCGATTCGACATTTCGTAGACGCGATTCAATATATTCTACCTTTTATTTTGACCTTGCAAGTTACAGATAGTTGGGCTGCCCATTGATGCTAATCAGTGATGTACTCTTATGCAGATGAGTTTCTGTGTATCGTGTTACTGGAATACATAACTGGAGTAAGTAATTGTAATACATTTGAAAATGGACGAGCTTATATATACCAGATCAAACGTAATCAGACGGCGATTATTTATCGGGGTCATTACCATACCCGTAAAGCTAGTCCGAATATTCCTGAGGAAAGAGCTTACTTCCGATGCAGAATATCGGATTGTCCAGGGACTTTGCGAGTTAATTTGTTGACGAAACTGCTGGTGGATTTTAAGGAGCATAACCAACGAAGTGGAATGCCGGAAGCACGTCTTGCGACAAGAGTTAAATCAAGCGCTGCTTGCATCTCCTACGTTATCTATCTGCAAGATTTACGGGAACAAAATGAAGCAGATCCAAGATGCCGATGAAAGTCATCTACTACCTAGTCTGCAAGGATGCGAGAGGAATTCGCGGAGGAAGCGGAAATTGAACAGTGCCGTCCAAGAGGCGACATGCACTGAACCTGAGGATATTATTAATGACTTATCGGGTCAGTTGTTATAATTAGCGCTTGCAGTTTGCACTTTGCAGCGTTTTACGGTTTGCGCTGTTGCCTTTGTGTGAGTGCGGGCTAGTGTAACTGCCCTCCTGTTGCTATGAGCTTCCACAAGTTTCGTTTGTCAGTTGTTCAAACATCAATTCTGCCTCCAACTGGGTCGCGGAATAAAAAGTAATCTTCGATTTGCGACACTTTCCTGATTAGTGTTCTCAGGATATTTTTACGTCAGTTTTAAAATATTGCAAGAGCGGAGGCACAAAAATGTCCAATTCAGCCACTACCGGTAAGAAACTAAACGAGGCTGAAAGGAGAAAGTCTGCAGACTCTGGAGTCTGCACATGACAGATGGTAGTATGTAATTACCATGGGCTGCTTTTCAAGAGCCAGTTTTCACATTTAATCCGCAAGTTCCCAGCGACATTTCTGAATTCATTGGATCATATTACCCGGTTTAATATTCAGCTCTTCTTGCAGGCCAGAAACGGAAGCGAACCTCTTCGGAAACACCGGCTGAAACAGCATCGGCCATGGGTTTTGTGGGTAGGGTGGCTGCAGTGGAAGACCAGTTTGTGAACATGCTGAAGAACTGCCAAAAAGAGATAACGGAATCAGGGAAAAGCCAAGGCTTCCTCATCACCTGCTGCGCTCTGTATACTTTCGAGAAGGATATCAAAGATATTAAGAGTTTGCAGACGAATGACTACGGAACCGGGAAAATGCAGCAGGTGCGGATTGGAGATACGGGAGAAGAGATTCTGCCTGTGCCTTCGTGGATGGAAAGTGGTGTGGCTCTGCAAGCATACTGTAAGTGAGAGCTTATCACTGACAAGTCCACAGAGAAATTAATTTCAGCACGATTGTGGTAGTTAATCGTAACAAATAATTATAGAGTTTCTGAAACATGTAGTCTACTCGTTTTATCCGTATCCACATGATGTTATCAAGGAACTAGATCTATAATATACAGGTCGATCGCACCAAGTGTGGGCAGTTGAGTAAAATAATTTGAAAAATAATTCTGTGAACATTTTTGTTGTTTACTTTCATCTTATTTAGTGCAACTTTTTATTGCGGATCCAGTGATGTCAAACCTGAAATCCGTTGATGCGTCCAGAACGAGTAGGGCGGGGCTTAATGGGAGAGGGTAGGGGTCAGTTTTTTAATGATTACAACCGCCCTTCTCAAAAATTCAGCATCTGATGTTTTTCTACAAACCTTTTTGTAAACCATGGAGTGGCTTTAAAGGAATTCGTTAAGGGGTGGCAAAAGATTCTGGAGCGCACAGTGCTCGGTAGCAAGCTTAAACAAAAGTGTCTCCCATAGACTTATATGTTAAAAGCTACCATCCGAAGAATGTGGTTGCCTAGAGCGCGGATCACCTTGGGTCAGATGTTATTGATTCAAAAGACGTGAGAAAAGGACCACTAGAAAACCACAATATTCTTTGATAGTTCTCACGCATCCAAAATTTTTAAAAAATTATTGACTGGACATGAATTTTTCCTATTAAGCAGTGCGAGTTTTGGGGCAAATTTGAAACTAAAAATTCCGCTTCCGTTCCCTGCGTATTAACTTCTGCCGCAGAAATATGACTAAAAAAGTTTCTCTAGAACACGAACTATCATAAAAAAAATAAGAGAACGATTATGTGGTTCAACGGTAGCAAATGGGAATATTTTGTTACTGCCCACACTTGGTGCGATCGACCTGTAACTACAAAAAAAGCTGAGGCATCGAGATCGGAAAAACCAGAACCTAATAAAAGAAACTGTAAACCCCATTAGATTCAGCATGTTCAGAAACTGTGTCACGTGCATTTTGTTTCTTAAAAAAATTACATATTTAAACCCGTCCCACCGATGCCGGTTTCGGCAGAACTGGCTCCGGTAAGGCTTTCACGGTGACCTTGAGAATAATAGCAATGCCAGTCAGTTGCTTAGAACATTATTTTATTAAAGTGTTAAGTATGTAATACAATAAATTTGTAGTATTTTATTTGCAAACATGTTGAATTTTAATCGCCTGATTGCTGTTCAAATGTTCAGTTTTTAAATGTCTAAAAAATCCGATTCCCTTGGTTGAATTAGCCCAGGTTTCGAAGGAAACAAAAGCCAGTGAACAAAACTGCTAAGGCAGTGAGCGACCTAGCTACCGCCACTGTTCAGTGAACAAAACGAAATCACTAGCTAGGTGATGACCGAGCAATAAATTACTACCCTAGGTAAACAAAATTGCTAGATGATTCAGTGACTGAGCTACCACCAATGTCCAGTGAAGAAAATCGCTTGGTGACACCGTTAGTAAGTGATCGAGCTACCACCACTGTCCAGTGAACAAAAATAGATGAGTAAGTGACCGAGCTAGACTCCTTGCCTAAGAAGTTCTACAATAACTGCTAAGGCAGTTAGTGAATTTACTAACGAATTACTGCAAACGGAATGATTTGTTCAAAGCGGCCGTGGATCACAAGAAACGCGGAGGCGAAGCCGCAGCGGTTTCTTGTACAACATAGAGTAACAGACGAACAATTATCGGCACTTATCGGTGTAAAAGGGACGAATACTCTTGAAGAGTATTTCGATCTTGAGCTCGTATGTGCCTGCAAGAAGAAGTACCCAGTTTGGCTAAGCAGCCACTTAAGCTAACGTCTTTATACAACTTTTATCTTGTCTAGAAAACTCGTAGAAAATTTGAAGAGCCTATGCAGCAGTGTATAAGATGCGTAATCGACTAATCATAGGCTCAAAAACTGGTACTCATGTATAATGTGACAAAATGGTACTCGTAGTTTTGAACTTATGTTGCACTTCTTATGATGTGTACTTATGTTTAAAGTCAGTCTGATTTTTGTTGTTATTTTTCAGTTGAACGGAAACTGGACACCAACCGCCCACATTCATCAGGTATTGCTGGCAAGCGGGGTTTTGAGGTGCCATGGCGTGCCAGTGTTCAGCTGGAGAAAATCCCGCCGAGCTGTATGGTTGCGTCCGTCCAGGTGTCATTCATCAATCCGGCCTCCGACGGCAGTCCCATTATCAAAATGGACCACGCGGAAGATGGCATCAGTAACCTGTACCTGCTTAACGACAAACTGATGAACATCCGCGGCCAGACATACTCTGAATGTTGTCAGGAGTTGGGCATCTTTCGACGAGGATACTGCTACATCACGCTGCGCGTGCCGCTGAGACTGCTCATTCGCGAACAAGTAAAACCTTTGTGGACTGATTTACCGCATAGTACACTGGATGATTATTCGGCACTGGACGGCAACGACAATGTTACACTGAAGTTGGGAGACTCCGACATAAAAGTGGATCGTCAACTCTTGATGAACATTTCCACAGAGACCCGCGTCATCTTTGGTGCGAAGATGGTTGGGCAAGTAAATTTCTATGAGATGGGTGTCAGTAAAGAAGCGCTTGCTGCATTGCTGGCCGCGGTAAAGGCGGGATCTGATTACGTGGCCTTGGACATTTACCGCACAACACCGTCGTTTCTGTACGAACTGCTCGCGTTGTCTACCGACTGGAACGTTCAGTCAGTGAAAGTTTGGACGCAGTTAGCACTATTGGAACGTCTGTGTGTCCCGGGCGTTAATTTGCGACATATCCCGGTTGACAAGCTAATTAAATTGATCCGACGCGATAACGACGGCAATGAAGCGCAGACGGGTGTGAAAATGGTGCTCTTGGGCTTCATGTTTGCGCTGCGGGATATGTGTCTGGTGGAAAATCTGCCAGCGACGATGTATGAGCAGGTCGAAGGAGATCCTGATCGGATTTCTGCACATCCATTTCTGGTGGATGTGTTTCAACCGGCGGAGTCATTGGCGAGTCCGGCTGTTAGTGATGTCGTTAAGGAGCAGGCCATGAAGATTACGCTTACGATTCGTTTCTGGAATATTGACCGCCTCCACGTGCGAGTTGGGGGATCGATTAGAATTGGCCAAATTAAAGCCGCCTTTGAACGTCAATCTGGGATTCCCGTTTACCAGCAGCGAATGATCTTTAAGGACAGGCGATTGGATGATTTCAGTCGGGTTTCGGAATGCGGCTTCGCCGACGGAGACGTTATCGAAGCGCATACTGAGCTGGTCGGTTGTTAGATAACTACTAATTCTAATGTTCCTAGACATTTCTCATTTTTAACATGATTTTGGCTGTTTGTTTCTTCTTTTTATAAAGATGTTCTCGTTCTGGCGGCATGTATCTGTAGATTCGGGTTGACACATGTGCTGTGTTTGGTTTTATCCTGGAAAGTTTTATTCATACCAATAATCAGTGCACACTTGACTATGACAGATTTCTGATGGATATGCATTAATAAAAAATCTTCTTTGGCTGACCATGAATGGTTTTCTTTGTCATAAACTTTATTTAATGAAAAGCACAGCAAAAAAACAGAATTATTCTAAAAGAATGACCAAGCCACCGGATGCGAAGAACAAACCAGTTATTAAATTTATTAAAGAATGCTAACTGATGGAAAATCTTCTAACTGTATTACCAAAATAAGTAATTAACAAAGGTCGAAAAACGTTACGTGATACTTCATGACGGATCATATAGTAGATGCATTTTACTGCCTGTCGTCGAATCTCAACGAAATTAAACCAAAAGAAGACGCTCCGAAACTGGTGTACAAGTAAACTGTATTGTGGTGTGTACTACACCGTGATGCGAAGGCGAGCTCGTTGCACGATACATACCGAGGATCACGAAGATCTGCCAAAGGCCTCCACTCAAAGAATTTCACCAGTGTAACCATTTTGTACTGGGGTGGACCTGGAATTGCTGCCGATGCTTCCAACATCAGCATTTTCGTACGATTTCGAGCAAGCTGGACTTATCTGAATGGCGCGCGGCTTCTTCTAACCAAGCTACAACCACAACCGTGGATACCGAAAACTGTGTATGCGGTAAAATGTATTAAAAAGAATTTTGGTTAGTAGGAAATATCGATTCTGTATTTGTATTGGGTATCCTGGTTGACCGGAAAAGTAAACACGCTCTTGTCGTCAAAGTAAACGATCGCATCCGCCAACTTGTCAGGTTGTTGAGAGCCCTTCAGCTTACCGGTGATTACTGATTGTACTGAGTACAATCTACCGAAGCACGTCATTGAACATCGCGGGAATGATGATCAGGGAATGCTGTAAAAGATATTGTGCATCTTTCTTTTTATTACTTAATATCTTTTCCGTATGCAGTGTTGCTAATTATCGAAATCTTACCATGAAAATTACAAATAACGCTAATCTGTTAAACACCATACTGCAGCCGTTTCTCATCATTGTGAGACTCTTGGGTTTCGTTGAATTTCGCAGTTTATTCGGTACAATCACTTCCACAAAGCGGCAGTCCGCGCTGCACACCATCATTAAATTATGTTCATTAGCGAACTTTCTCTGGTTTGTTTTAAACGCAGCCGCCTATGCTGCCAGTCGATTTCTGGAGGTCAACTTCAGCAATAAAGGATTCGGGAAATCGCCCAGTGAATTCTTGGAGAATACAGCTAGTTTCTTAACCGGCATTCTGCAGTTCTTCTTGTTCCTGTCGGTTATCTACGGACTGCAGAACATCCAGCAACATATCCATGAATGCGATCACCTTCTCCAGAAATACTTCAAAAAACGTGATAAAGTTATTACTCTTTTTGTCTGGATCACCGCCATTATTGTCATCTTGGGATATACCGCACAGAAAGCGTATTTACTGGCCAACAACACCAACGCCACCTGCAATGCGTGGTTCTTGGCGTCAACGGTCAATAACACGGCCATCCAGGCGATGTCCACAGTCAACTTTATCTACGTCTCCATAATGGATATTCTGTACGAAACCGCCCAGTGTACCCTGATAATCTGGTCAGTAACCGCGGGATTGTGTTTTGCCAGAATGGCGGAACAGTGTGCGATACATGGTCTGCGATGTCACATGCCGGATCACTACAGTCTGAGCCGTTGTGTGGGTCGCTTGAGCGACGATTTCGGCATGTATATTGCGGTGATGTACCTTAACGATATCATTTGGGTACTGTACACGGCGGCGCATTACGTCATACAAGAGGATTCGCCGCAGTATTCGGAGATCTTTGATGTGGCTTATCAGCAGCTGATGTGGATTGTGCGGACGTTGGCATTTGTCTTTGTCTTCGATCAGGTACACAATATTCTGTTTCAAATCAATAAACATTTTGCTTTTACAAAGTACAATACATATACAGTTCGTCTGTATCTGCTGCAGGCACAACTGGTTGTTCCACTTTTGCAAAATCAAGCACAATTCGAGAAAGATCCCGTGGAAACGGTTTGGTTGAATGGCGAACTGTTACGGCTAGCCAACACGCCGCCGGCGTTCAGCGTGTGGGGAATGGCCAGAATGGACCGTGCATTTATTGTCGTGGTGTGTGTTCCAACCTCTGCAATGATAATTATGCGCATGTAGTATTTCCCTAGTACAGCATAAAATTAATAATAAGTAAATGCTTTCTGTTGCAGCTTGTCGGCACGTTTGCAACTTATATTCTGCTGTGCTGGGATTCTGGCAAATAATTCTCTCGTCTCGGAACAGATTGCACCTTCTCGAAAGTGCAGCCGGAAAGAGATTTTGTCGCTTAATTACCTATATGAACTGCCAGTGAAATGGTTGTTTCTGGTTATCAGTTTTTGTCGAACAGCATAAATTTCCTTGTTATAAAAGCAACAGTAAAGATTTTTGTAGTAAAAATGCATATTTGCCAACCTTGCTAAACAGGATTAACACTGAAAAGTGCCCTGCATCTGTCTACTCGTAGATCTCTTGTTTGCACAACGTCAGCTTGAAACACGGAACACATCAAACGTTAGTACTCGTACAAAGCTGTAACTTGAAGTTAATGACCGTCGCTAACTTCCCATGGCCTTATCCCACGCTGTCGGTGTTTGTCCTAATGTGTCAGTGGCTTTACTGGATGGATTTTCTAGACTCACTTTTAAGACAGAGTACATCATGCAGTGATCTATTCATTTTCAAAGGTCACGGCTTCTAATTGATTGTACAGAGTACTCGTATAATTATTTCTCCAGCTCAGTTGCGGTAGTTCCTTCCACATGAAAGCAGCCTCGGGCTGCGGAATGTGTTCAAACTTAATTGCACCACATTGCTCTACATATAAATAAAATAACTTCAATTGCGTCCTTGTTGAATTGTCCCACACAAACGATAACATCCGTCAAATTGTCAAGCATGAAGAACCACTCTGTTTACATGGTCAATAAAAGTCACGTTCGATTACTTACCGATTACGTTACAATGACTAGGCAAGTTTACCCAGAGTCAACATACTGTCGCAAACCGCAATCGTCAGGATGATCCGAGGGAGATTTGATGCAGCGCGTCAAAGGATTATTTTTCCAGCATATGGAAGCAGAATACTAGCTGATTTACCATGAAGGCCATTAAATCAGATGAAAATATTTTACGAGTTTTGCTGCAGCCATTTCTGCTCGTAATTAAACTATTCGGATTCGTCGATTTTGATGCCGGTTCACTTCGGCGGCTAGTTTTTAAAAAGCATCAAAATACCGTTGACAGGATTATAAATCTGCTTTGTTTTGTAAATTTTCTTTGTTTTACAATTAGCGGGGTCGTGTTTGCTGTATCCAAAATTTTCGATGTCAAATACAATGGAAAAAATTTGGGCAAATCTCCAAGTGAGTTTCTGGAAAATGCCACCATCTTCTTATCTGGCATTCTGCAGCTAGCGATTCCTTTGTCTGTTGTCTACGGATTTCGAAGGATCCATCAGCATATCGATCACTGTGATGCGCTGCTTAAAAGATACTTATTGAAAAAAGACCGATTAATAATAATTGTTATATGGAGCGCTGCGGCTTTGATTTGCGTGACCTATGCCGGACATAAAACTTTTATCCTCGTCCAGAGTTTAAAGCCAAGAAACTTTGGCAACGACTCAGGGACATGGATCCTGGTTCCCTTGGCTAACAACACGATGATCCGCATTTTCTACTCCATAACCTTTGGTTATATTTCACTGATAGATGTACTGAACGAGATCATCCAATGGATTCTCATTATCTGGGCCGTGTGTCTCGGGTTGTGTTTCACCCGAATTACCAAAGGTTGTGTGGCACCGAAGGATTTGCAAGCGCGTATGAAGAGCCATTATATCGTCAGCCGATTGGTCGGCGGTTTGAATGAGGACATTGGGATGTATGTGTGCGTCGTGTACGTCAGTGATGTTGTGTGGACGCTGTTCTGTGCCGCGCAGTACGTCATCCGGGGCATTTCACCGACTATACCGGTGTTGGCTGATATCGCCAACCAACAGATGATGATGTTCGTACGGACACTGGCTTTCGTTTTCGTGACGGATAAGGTACTGCTACAAGTGTTTGTGGTTACAGATAGTGGCCTGCATAGTAGATAGAATAGACACGAAACCTTCTACGAGGTAATAACACTTAATTATGTATGGCTTCGAGTTTCAGTCGAAGTGGAGTTTGCATGGTCACTCAACAGCGTTTTATGTGCTTGTAGTGCCTTGTACCGATTGATTCAAATCAAAAAGCAATAAATAGCCTTTGCATAACATTTGTCAGTTTTGGGTCAACGGCAAAAATTTCTCCTAATTTCTTTTACTCTGTTTTGAAATTCTTGGTAGAAGTTCGATCATCAAGCACTTGATCTAATCAAATATCAAGTACTACTGTACTAGTAATTAATGCTGCAAGTGAGTTTAGAAATGCAATACAATACAATACAATACAATACAATTAACAATACAATACAATACAATATAATACAACACAACAGAATACAATACAATGCAATGCATTGTATGCATAGTGCATACTTCTATTATTGATCAGAAAACTGCAATACTGCTGTACGTACGAGGGAATCGTATTTAATCGCTAGTTACATGTGATGATGATGTGCAGACCGCAGAGTAGGTATCTAGGTGTTTTGCTTAATATTGTAAATGGTTTTCATTAAAAAATCAGATTGGTGGTATTATCATATTATGAACAATACAGTCGCACGTTTTCTTGAAAAACTCAAGGTCTGTGGCCTTTGTGCTGGTTACTCAGCAGGCAGTGGAAATAAAGGGTTAATCGCACACAACATTTCGTCCAAATTAAAATTTATGCACATGTAACTCATGTAAAAATCGTTACTTCTGTTCATACAACCGATTATTTCTCAATAATTGTATTTTTGTATACATTGTGGTATAAGTTATGTTTACAGTTTACAGTGTGCACGTACCGCGATTGCTTCTTTGTGTACTTTACAGATTTAGGAGATAAAACCTTTGAAACGCAGTATACGCCTGAATTGCAGTATACGCAAATGTTATTGTTTATTCTGGTACACTTTTGCAAACAGTAAAAAAGGTATCCCGGCCGGCCGTGCGTAAGATTGGATAATTTATTCACGACTCAGCTGGTTGATCACGCAACTTGATAGACACTAATCACACTATAACTTTCAGGGACAGGAAGTTATCCCATTACTGCAAGACCAAGCGCAATATGAAAAATTAAGTCTCCCGGAAGCATTGTGGCTAAATGGAGAAGTTCAGCGTCTGATCACCACACCACCGGCAATTACTGTTTGGGGCATGGCCAGAATCGATCGTCCATTCATTGCCATTGTAAGTTACCAATCAAAAGTAATGCATTTTAATTGTTCTACAATTAAAAATATTATGAAATGGTACAAGTGTAATTTTTGTTTTACACGTAATCAGTCGCAATTTTAAATTAATGTTTAGCAATAATCAGTTTTCATAACATCATAATTTCAGTGGGAACGTATAAAAACGTATTAATATAAATTAGTGGTAGTATAATGTAAATACAATTAATATTATTTTGAATTTCGTTCGTTTTGTTTGTTGCAGCTGGTTGGCACATTCGCAACTTACATTCTTCTATGCTGGGACTCACGCCAATAAAATATCCCGAAAACAAAATTCTCTCGTATAAAACTAGTGAATGTGCAGTTTTGAATGTATAGCGCATTTCATTGGGATGATTCCGACCGCACGTGGTTTGATCGTTGTACGAAACTATACGTGCTTTATAAGCACACCATTAATGTAGCAAATCATGATTAATAATTTCATCGTTGCGCAACCATATGGCTTATGCCGATCATTAAGTCAGTGCGGTGTGTCTTCCATGAAAACACAAACAGGTTTCCTTAGCCGATTTTCATCGTGGTACATGCGAATCCTTTTACGGTTCATCAGCATGCTCGTACTAATACAATAAAATTTCACGTCTGCTCATGTGGCACACAACTGAAGAAAATAAACACCTGCCAGGCAAAGAAGAACGAAAAGGATAAAATACACGGGCCGTCGAAATTATCGTCACACGCTCAAACAAACACAACCGGCAATTTACATTCCATTACAATAATTTTTTTATTTTTCCCTCGACTGTAAAGAATGAAGCTGCTAGTATTCCTTGCCCTGGTGACCTTTGCCAGTGCCCAGCAGAAGTATGTCTGGGATTATCTCAAACCGGCACTAACGGCGGATGAGGTGATGAACATCATGACATCCAGAGGCAACGAATTCCCAATGTACAACGGTATCCCGCAGACTGGGTTTGATTGCAACAGCAAAAAACAGCCGGGTTTCTATGCTGACCCTGAGACCCAGTGCCAGGTGTTCCATCGGTGCGATTTGAACGGAAATATGACCAGTTATATCTGCGTGAATTCCACCGTGTTCAACCAGGTCACTCTCGTGTGCGACTACTGGTTCAACGTCGACTGCAGCCGGTAAGTCAAAACAATGGTGTAATTACGTAAGATTATTTGTAAGTGTACGTATAACCGCTCTATACTGTAGACCTACAGATACCTATGTGTATACTGCGTGTCAGCGTGAGTACCTTTACGAACGTGAAAAACTGATAGAAACTAGTTCAGAACTGGAAATTATTGACCTAATTTAATTCAGGCCGGTTTTCCCATTTCCGCACAGCTTCAGCATATAAATCTACAGAAAACTGAATGTGAGATATTAGCCGTAAATTATATACTAGTTGAAATTGCAATTACGCATATAAATATGCTCGACAAAAATATGCTCGATGTAGTTACAAGTATGTAGGAAACCAGGAGCAGTAGTTTTCTTAGCCGAATTTTGATGACTTTAATTTTGTAAAATATTAATGCGCATACAGTAGAAGCTTTGCACTCAAAGTTTATTTTTTATAAAAAAGAGAAGTGATGGTTTAAATGCATTTTTATTGCAATATTCCCAGCTTTTTACTAATGGTTTTAGTAAAATATTGTATCGACAAAAGCTGTTTACGTACAAAAATAAACTGAACAACTTGATGCAAAGTACAGAGTACGACAATGTTAGCATTGGGTGGGTGTTGCAGTTAATTACACTGTGGCACTGCAAATAATTTTCTTATTATTGGTACAAAAGCGCTGTTTCAGTCACCGTACTCCGCTCTGTATAATTCTATTGTGAATCTCGGGAAATAACAAAATATTAGTAAGAGTACAAACATAATTATCCGTTTATTAAACAAATCCCAAAATCTTTTAAAAATTGGCAGCGAAATGAAAAAATTATTTCAAGCCGGTTGTTTGTCTCCCATTTTTATCCAAACCATCAATTATAATTTCCTAAAATGACATATTCACATGACTAGCTAGAAAATTTTCTGGTAAACAAGACCGCGGGAATGGCAATGTGGTGAATTTGAAAGCAAAACGCTAGAACTCGCGTACTTTTGGCACCGGAAACTTAACAATTACTAAGAGTGAAACATACCGTAGCCTACCCTAGGATTAATTGCTTACAGGACTGCAGCTGTGTTTTCCCATAATTGCTGGCATATTATAACGCACGTGCTGTACGTACACCAACAGTGCAGCTTGTACTCGGTGCAACGAACTACCGGTTTGCACTTATCAATAGTTAACGCTCATAAGCGAATGGTGACGCCAGGCACCACGGTCTAAGACCGGCTGCAGATCGCAGTTCCAGGTGGCGCTGCGGTATTCATGCCTGACACCGCTATTTTCTTTTCCCGTTAATTTACTTGACGTACCGATGTCTTTACAGATCGCAAGAACTAGAGAACTTCGCTAACTCCCGCCTGTACACCGACCAAGACCTCTTCGACACCCCACCGGCCGATTACGTCATCCCCGGAACCGCCGGTGCCGCAGCGGCCGCGCCCATCCAAGCGCCCGGTGGTCAGCAGCAGCAGAAGAAACCAGCGGCAGCCGCTGCCGGTAAAGCTGGTGGTGCTAAAGCCGGCGGAACTGCCCAAATCAGCAATAAGATGGGCACTCCGCAAGCCGGAGCCAACGCACAAGGCCAGAACACGCTGACGGTGGCCGTCGTCTCCCCACAAGCCGCGAACGCGGCGTCCCAGTCAGCTTCCAGCTCCGATCAGCAGCAAGCTGCTCAGTAAATTGCTAGTCAGTGTTTTTGTAGTTGACAATGTTTGCCGGTTTTTGGCAAACGTCCCTGCCGGATATTGTCGCGGTGTTCTATGATTAACGCTAACCAATGGAAATGTCCTGGGGGCGATTGTAGAGTTCGGTGGATAGTTTAATTTTCTCTCGATGGGGTTTTCACGGGAAATCTAAAGCAACTAAACACTGTGATTTGTGATTTCTGTATTGTGCAGTATAAATAATCTGCTAGTCATGCATCGAATGCGTATTGCATTAATAATATTACCAGTAAGTACTTCTGTGAATACATACTTCGATTTCGGCCTCTTGCACAATACGTTTCCTTTCCTTTCGTATTCCGAGTCTTGCTGACCATCGAAGAGATGAAAGTTACGTAACAAAATTCTACATGGCAACCGGTTGTTTAAAATCCAACGATAAGTATAGTCGTTTGATGATTATTCCACAAACAGCAGAGTACATAAAAATGATAAGGAGGTTGTGTATTAACAACTTTTGAAGTTTATATAGTTAACAAATTAACAGGTACATACCACCGTCAGCTAAGCGGCGCTCCAGACGCAACCGGCGTTTGCTAACGCAGCAAAATGCCCACAAGGCAAAGAAATATCGTGCATGGGGCCGGAATACCAAACACACTGAACTGTAACACATAGGCTGCTTCCGGTTATTTTCACGCTTAACCATGTACTCTGTAGTAGTAAAACGCAAATGCTTCAGTCAAACAATTCAAATCAAAATGAAATGTAAAACAGTTTCGGAATTATCTTAAAATTTTACGTGTGCTCCTTTATGCCTGACTTAAAACAAACAGATTAATGCTGAAACTCCATGACCACGCCTCGGTGAAAAAATTGACAGTTTGTTGCCGGCAAAACTGGAAACAAATTAATGAGTACCTGCGCTGGCAGAGGTCATGAGCCAGATTTTCCAGCGGCCGCATTTTTTACTAAGAAACGGTTTTTATGTTAAATTGCGTTTCAGTATTTTTGTGTCAAAAGTATCCTAGGATTCAGTTCTTCAAAGAAATGCGTGAAAAAAAGGTTCAAGTTTAAGGCCAGGCCAGAAATTGCTGCAGGCGCTTAAGGATTTAAGAAATTCAACAATCAAACTAAATTACAACTGTGGCCGACCATGAATGAGCAGAATAATTGCTTGTTGAGGGAAGTTGATGTTTTAAAGCTTTTCTTATTACGGAAAACGTTGGGCATGCCAAAACAAACCATAAAAAGCAGCAATTATTCAACATATCGTAGCGTTATTATTCGTTGATACTTTATACAAATGCGCGGACAAATGGCCCAACAACGCCGGTAGCTGGAGGTCAATAAAAAATATTCAAAATCAGTGGCACACAAATACACATACACAATTTTCAGGATTATGGAACAAACGGGATGCCGAACATCATTTTGTGGATAAACAAAACTTGGAGCGTTGTTAAAATGCCTCTGTTAACGAAGAAATAAAAACAACTTGAAAAATATGTAATCGTCGCACAAGCCAACAATGACTTTCAAGTAGCGCTGTAAAAAAGATATTAATTGATAAAAAATTATGCACATTAAATCAAATTACGCATAAGTGTCAACAGATAATTTTAAAATTTCTGAATGTCCCGAAAAGGTATACGTTTTTGCCTATTTTTTGCATATAATTCACATAACGAAGAAAAACACGTTAACTGCGCCAAACGTGACCACGCAGAAAAGAAATGTTCAATGCAGAATAGGTGCAGCTGCCAAACCAGAATTAACTTTTGTCGTCTGGAAATTGATCATTCTCTGTCCACGAGGAGAATTGATTACCATATTAATGGCGATAAATCATGGCCCATATTTTCAGCGCGCGCATCGAAAGCCGGCGAAATTTTTTTTGCACTACTAATCTACTGCCGTTCAAAACTGTTACAATACCATTGTGTGCCTTCCCGTTACGTAACCGCTTTTCACTGCTATTGGGCATATAGCAAAATTGTGCCGCTGTGTCACACAACGACCGCCCATTGTTCCCACTGACACGGCGCCAGACAAGGAACCAATGAATCGTGAAGTGAAGAAAAAAATCCTCTCCAATTTTCTCGAGACCGTTGTGTTAGCCGGCTATATACGCCGGCTACAAAACCGGTGCCAAGAGCCATTTCTCTGCCGGGTCGTATATAACGCTGTGCACCTGCTGTTTCCGTCCTCACACTGCCTTCCAGCATTTACTGCTCAGTTCCTAAAATACCTTCCGTAAAAAAACACCGCGTAACCTTTCATCACCATGAAGGTCATCGTCGTTCTCTCCTTGGTTGCCCTGTCGGCTGCGGCGCCGCAATATGTCTGGGATCTCCTCAAGCCGGCGCTGAATGCCGCCGAAGTGCAGGCCATCCTGGCCAGCCGCACCGAAGGCCAGTACCCGACCTACAGCGAAATCCCCCAGACCAACTTTGATTGCAACACCAAGAAGCAGCCCGGATTCTATGCCGATGTGGATGCGCAGTGTCAGGTGTTCCATCGTTGCGATATCAACGGAAATCGTACCAGCTATCTATGCGTGAACACCACGGTGTTCAACCAGATCACCCTGGTCTGCGATTACTTCTTCAACGTTGACTGCAGCAAGTGAGTATTACGAATGCCGGCCGGCATCAGTTAGTCAGCAGTAATGCGGAAGGAACTTCATAGTAAATTTCGCACATGTTATCTAATTAATAGTGCAGCTCCTTATTAATACAAGTATAGGTAATTTTATCCGTTTAAAATGCGTATCAGCAAATTGTAAAGAAGCTAAACTGCCGATATAAATAAATGTATATTTTATCTTAATTAATTTTAATTTAGAAAACCCTAATTAAAATATTATCGACCATTCATTTTATTGATCAGTCTTTAGAATATTGACGGATTTATTTGCATATTTGTTTATACTTAAGCAGATTTAAAGCTATTTGCCAAGACACCAGATTGAATTATATTTTGTATTTTATAGCCCATATGTAATGATGCTTTATATCGTATGATTCCTTATCTTTATATGCTGTAAATATTCCAATGCATTTTCGCAAAACCTTTTGCGTGATCGATAGATGTATATACATTTTCGTTGCATGTCAAAGTACACGGATTAAATGTATTTGTTTTATTTTCCCAGGTCTCCAAGCGTTGAGAATTTCGCCAACTCCCGTCTGTACACTAACCAACCGCTGTTCGACACCCCACCTGCCGAATACATCATCCCCATGGCTGGCGGCAAAGTCCCCGGTGGACCTTTTGTGCCCCTCCCGTCCCGACCGGCCCCCAAGCCCGCTAAGCCAGCCCAGAAGGCCACCACCACCACCACGCCTGCTACCGTCGAAGTGACCGCCGAGGTCACCATGGCCGCTGAGGAGACCACCTCCGCTGCCGCTGAAGTGAGCACTGCTGCTGCCGAAGAGACCACTTCCGCTGCCACCCCCGCGGAAGAGACCAGTGCTGCCGCTGAGGCCACCACCCAGGCTGCCGGTGAAGGTGCCGCCGCCGGTGGTGCTGCCGCTGCCGGTGGATCGGAAGAGAGCCACGAATAAACTTCCTATATGGGCTCTTTAGATAACGTACTGAATTTCAAAATATTGGTTTTTTGTTATTAAAAGAAAAGGCATGTGGATGAAAAAAAAATTTTACAGACTGACTCTCGTTTGAGATGGGACTTAAGCAGTATTAATACTGATTGTAGCGGTGACAGAAATTAAATCATGAGAAACGCTGGAGTACTGCCGAGAAAGGTTTTAACCGCAGTCACAGGACGTTGGTTGGCATTAGATATTGTACAGTGGACTGTAATTCCCGTTCTACACGACCTGCTTCTGTATTCATGTATTTGCGTATAAATGCCGGTTAGTTTTCACGCAAGTTTTTATCTGCGAGTAAATGAATAAGCAGTGTAGTATGCCATCGCTCATGGCCTGTAGTTACGAGATACTTGTTGGTTGGTAAAGAACCATACAACAATAATGCATCGCACGTTTACTTGTCATCGGCTATTGTCTGCAAACGCTTTTGCATTTTTTTGGTGTCGAGTCAAAACTGAAAATAACTGAAGTTCCTAAATTAGGCGTGCTTTTACATCATACATGTATGTATGTCATTAATGTCAAGTGAGATCATAGGCCGCAATACGGGCATATGAGTAACAGCAATTAGACACAAAGCACGCTCGTTTAGTAAACAACCACCCAATAGGATGGTCACGTCGCTGGACACGTCACAGTATGATCCTCCTTCGTTTATAACGACGGCCACCGAGGAGATATAAAAACCAAGCGTATGCCATATAAAAATCATCATTCGTCAACGCACGGATGGTTATCCCCGCATATCTTTCTCAAACATTTCTGCCCGGTAAGAGTACAATATTAGTATATTACAGTACAGGCTATGGTGACCTTTAAATATGTTTATTTCATAGCGATGGATTACTATCGTCGACATATACACCAGAACCAACAGAAGTGAGTATTCATCTACTCATTACCGCAGCTTTGTTATTTTAATAATAAAACAAACTAGGTATACAAGCTACCTAGTACCTACCTGTAAGCTACTTTTAAGTAAAGAGTACGTGGATTGATCAAAAACTGCGACAGTTGTTCATAGACCGCAATTACCGAATGCGACACGAATCGGCGTTAAATTTTTTTACTGATTGTAGAAGTGGTGGCTCTTGTTACGATAATTTTACAGAATCATCGTTCCCTGCAAGTTGCAATAATGTTTACTTTTTTTGTGTAGGCATTCGCGCTCAAGAGTCTTTCTGAAGAACGTACCCGAAGACTGGCTCCAAAAAGAAAAAAAGCAAAATTCATTTGACGCGATTTGCAGTCATTTCCAACAGTTTGGGAGAGTCCAAGATGTCGTCATATATGAAGGCGGCAGAACCAGAAACGGCTTTATTAAATTCATCGACACTCCCGAAATTAAGAGCGCTGAAGCTGTTCGTAAGGCGATAGATCATCCAAAGCATATTATAAAAAGAACAGAAATACAGGTACTGCCTTGCATAGAAGATTCGTTTACTACTCTACGTAGACCACCCAGTGCCGAAAATGCGGGCTAGAAAGCGGGGATTTAACACCTAGAAAGTTAAATTTAGAAAGTTAAATTTAAATATACAGTAAGATATAGACAAATTAAAACTGAAGATTGTTATAAGTCAAGCAGAATCAGAATTTTTTATTAAGGTTTAAATTATTAAACGTTTGAAAGAAGTGCTATACTCGAAATGTGCACTTTAAGAATTATTTAAGAATTTAAGAATTTAAGAATTTAAGAATTTAAGAATTTAAGAATTTAAGAATTTAAGAATTTAAGAATTTAAGAATTTAAGAATTTAAGAATTTAAGAATTTAAGAATTTAAGAATTTAAGAATTTAAGAATTTAAGAATTTAAGAATTTAAGAATTTAAGAATTTAAGAATTTAAGAATTTAAGAATTTAAGAATTTAAGAATTTAAGAATTTAAGAATTTAAGAATTTAAGAATTTAAGAATTTAAGAATTTAAGAATTTAAGAATTTAAGAATTTAAGAATTTAAGAATTTAAGAATTTAAGAATTTAAGAATTTAAGAATTTAAGAATTTAAAAATTTAAGAATTTAAGAATTTAAAAATTTAAGAATTTAAGAATTTAAGAATTTAAGAGGGATATATATTGTATACCGGTAAGCATGCTGCCGGTAATTTTATGACTGTTTACTGATCCCGGGCAAAAATATGTTGGGTCTCACGACCAGCTCGCCTCTCGTCCTTCGACCCCTGATCCCGGCAGGGCAGGATTGGAGGCGGGTGGACAGCAAGGGTCACAGTCTCGCCCTCCTGCCGCCTCCTCGTGGCGCTGTCCGGGAACGTCATGTTGCATCAACTTATATGACGGCCAAGTGCAGGTTAAGAGAGAAAAGTCATCATGAATTTAATTATACCACCTAGATATTGCTATGTGTTTCAGAAAGGGGCATTACGTTTACTGGTCACGATAGTAACATTTTTTTCGACCATTTTTATGCCGGTAAACAGGCCCTTTTGCACGTGGCCCTTTTCCGGTTGGCACGAGGTCTTAAAATTTGCACTGGGAACAAACGCAGCAACTTTGAGATGTTTCCTTATTTTTTTTGAAATTCCGATTTTGAAGTTGCGATTGTTTTCACCAGATTTGTTTTTATTTTTTGACAAACGCAGCAACTTTGAGCTGTACTCTGTGTCATAATTTTTTTTTTAAATTCCGATTTTGAAGTTCCGATTTAAAGTTGAAGAGAAATTTTAAAGTTCCAAATTTTTCCACCAGATTTGGATTTGTCTCGATTATTTAGACATTTGCTTGAGATTTGCTGAGATCTTTTTTATCCGGGAAATTTGTCTGGTTTCACGACCAGCCCGTATCTCGTCCCAAGACTCCTGATTCCCGGCAGGACGAGGACTGGAGCACGGGCGGACAGCAAGGGTCATTTTCTCGCCCTCCTGCCGCCTCCTCGTGGCGCTGTCTGGAAACGTTATGTTTTGACGGCCAAGTGCAGGTTAACCGAGAAAATCAATGAAATGATGAACGTTGATTTCGAAAACGCATTGCAAATAAGCGTGAATTAAATTTGCGCTCAGTGTATCATCAGAAGTTGGCACTTAGCAGCTTGCCGCACCTGTTTTAGTTTGCTGTGTCAGCGCCCGCGTTAGCCGCTCGTTGAAAAAGCAGTTTCGAAGTTTTAATCACTACCGCCGATCTATTTGATTCATTTAGCATTTACCCCACGTTATTTTCCGGCAGAGTAGAATTACGGCTAAGATATGCTGATACTTGATAGTATTGATGGACTATGAATTTAGATACAGGTGCGGCGTCGATCGCACTTCGAGATCTTTTAAGAACACTATTATACAAACTGTACAGAAAGACTGTACGGACAAACTACTGGCCAATAGTCTCTATCAAATTACTTACTCGTATCTGTACGTACATCAAGCTTCATACAATGTCATTATCATTTTTATTGTATTTGTATGCAAGCTACAAGAGCACGAAGTTGGCAACAGCGTCGGTAACGCTTAACTTTGACCTTAGACTTAATTGCATCCGTTCTCAAGTAGGTCTGCCAGTTCAACGAACATCAACAGCTGCCGCCCGTCGAGATAAACAAGAGGGGAAAGTTGTAACGGCAAACGCTTGCTGGAAAGTTCCGAACGCATTTTGAAAACGGTTGGCCCATGCGTTTCCGTTCTGAATCATCAAGGATATGACGTTATGAAGGCCAACAATTATTATTAAGCGAATATACTGGCGACGGTCACCTTATTGTCCATCCGTAACGTCAGTGATAGTTTTCGCCCAGTTTAAAAAAAAGAAATTTTTATTCCCTTTATGTATTCTAATATTATATTTATATTATACCGATTTGTGAAGGATAGCTTGTCTGCTGGTTATTAGCGCACCATTACCTACTCTCGCGGGATTTCGAATTTCCAGTTATAGATTATCATCATAAGCATCCAAGCATACAGCAGCATACGGCGTTTTAATATTTAGTAGAGGTTTCTCACTTGAAGTTAATCGGCAATTTCTTATTGAATTGTGGTTTGTTTATGAATTATGATTCATATTTGTCTTGTGCTACAATGTACCGATACTTATGCAAGTGGTTCTGTTTTGGGTCCCTAGATTTCGTTGTTATGCTGCTTAAAAAGTTACAAAGTTTCTGCCATTTTTATTATTGTGTACAGCGAAGATAAAAGGGCCGGAAACGGTCAGTTTGCCTCGTTATGATTTGCGACGGCTAAATCCCTTGGTTTGAGGATTTATGGTTGACAAATGTTATCAGCTTTGTGGTTTCCGCGCACCAGTATGATCTTCCGTTATCGCTAAGAATTAATCGTAAATAGATATTCATTTAGTTGTTGTAAACTTTACCTTCAACAGCTTTACGTCTATTGACATAATTATTATATTACATATCCAGTTATCCATATTGCCCTATGCATATATCGTACACGGTTGCTACTGCAATCTCCTGCTGCCAAAGTCCATTTACAATTAATAACATACATAGTATGTGTGAGTAACAAGCAAAGTTTGAATTACTACCCTTGAGAAACATAGTATACATATCTGTATACATACAAGCCCAGCACGGATGAATATTGGCCGATGACTATTAAAAAATAAGTAATTCCAAGGATGTGTTGATTTGCGGTCGCTTACAGACTGTCATAATATTAATAAACCCGTACGTATGTTTAGTACGAGTAATATTATGACTGACTGTTTACTTGTACATACAGTACATAACTTGCAATGATGACTGACGTGTTAAGTTACATGAATTTTTTACTTTGTAGCGTACTCGTACTTATTGTTAAGTAGCAGCTCAGATATTTCTACTGTTCTGGGTCGAGTTGTGTTAGAACAGTGTGCATTTCTTATCGCGTCCATGGTAACAAGCTTATGATTGACCACTGGACCTAGACAAATGATTTTGCCAAAAAGTCAACAATCTTGGATCCACCGCTACACCTAGAGAATTTGGATGCACTTTAAAGCAACAAAATTGGTGAAGTAGAAGCCGAGATCCTTTGCCTCAAAGGACAGGGGCCGAAGTCCTGGCACAGATAATCAGTATTCATATAATTATACCGGTAATAATACACACCTGTAATAGTACACGTTCCAATGATACCGAGCACGGAATTATTTGGAATCATTTCATTTTCTTCATTTGGAAATTAAAAAAAATACAGTTATGTTTAAATACGAATATTTGTATAAATGCATAATGAGTAAATCCCTTCTAAATGAATAGTGCAAACGCGAACGATTTTTTGAACAGTGCCTAATAGTTGCACTTACCCGCTGCACTTCTGTACGTACTCCGTTTCGTGCTTGACCAAAAGAAGCCGAAATGCGCCACATAAGTAAGTACTAACGTAAATTCGCCAGAAGTAACAGCCTCGAGTGAAACCAAATGAATAGAGTACGTATACTGTCACGTATTGCCAAATACGCTGTTGATTATTGCTGCTCGTACAAAACTCGACTGACTGTCTGCAGCTGGTATTCGCAGATACCGTTGCCGTTGCTAAGACATACGAGTAGTATAACTCCATTACATAAATACGGTAATTGTGCATATTTACTTTCGTTTATTTCTTAAGCCGTTAGATACTTTTTGCTATACGATTTATACTGTACTTGTAGGGAATCACACGATACACAAAATGTATTCGACAGCAGGAATGCATATTTTCTCTGTTAGTGAAAAAATTTATGACGAGTAGATAACAAAACACTATTACGAGTACCAGATCTATTTACAATAATATGTGAATGTGAAATGTGTGAAACAAGAAAATTGCAACTCTCTGGGATAGGTAGGAAATTAAAAGTCAAAAACCCATGACACTCCTCAAAGTAATAGAATTCATAGTCATACTCATACTGCTCGTCATAATCATAATCATGCTTGCGTAATCATGCTTGAATTACAGGATTACAGACACAGGGGCAGGGATTTTCGGCGGTTAGACGGAGGTGGAATGATTTTTGCCGATTATACAAAAAAAAAATCTTTTTGTCAGATGGACGAGGAGGTGTTTGGCTTTTGGCTGATACGTTATTAATAAAATTTTTGGCTGATATGTTATTTGGCTCAACCTTCTTTGTTGACGACGATTTTAACGATGACACCTCAATAAACTGAATTATATGTATACACGTTCCGTTTTTTTTGCTGGTCGCCTTTTAGTCGGTTTTTTATTTACATAAGTATACATTCGCGAAACAGAAAATCACTTCAGTACGTAATACATTTCGTCCAACCTCTTACCGATACACGTTCCGTTAATTATAACGGAACCTGTATACATATACCGTTTGTATAATCCAAAACAAACCGCTTTTCCGATCCAATTAAATTCCGTTTCCTAAATCTTTATAAAACTACCACATTACTTTCTTCAGTTCTAGAAGTTCTCAACCGAGGCCGGAGGCCGAGGTTGAGCTTGTACTCATAACGGTCCTCCCACTCATCCTTCTAATCCAGAATTCATACTCATAATGGTTTGCCTGCAGCGCTTCTCTGAGTTCCGATGTTGTCAAATTGAAAAATGATCGGCAACACAAATTTCCGGATGTGCAAACTGCAAAATGTAGTCAATGTCAAGCAAAGGGACCATCGGCAATAATTTAGTCACTAAAACTGACGTAGCAAATTTGCGGACGAAATAAAGGTCAAATGAAGGTTTAACATTGTTGTAGTTTTGAAACCAGTTGGATGACAACTTGGATCCGTGTTAAAGGCACAGGTGGCCAATAGAAAAGCCCCGCCGATGAACTCCTCCTTCACCCGCAACGACGGGGCAATAAATAATAAGCGTCTGCCATTCGCAACTCACCACTCGTTACTGTCAGCCGAATTTTTATCCAAACATTTGTTTCTCCAGCTTTTATTTTTGGTAAGAGCCCACCAGCGTACTGTGGTGACAGTTTTTTAAAAAATAATTTTATCTTATAGCCATGGACCATTACGGTGAAAATGTTATCCAGCACCGTAACACCGTTAGCGGTAAGAATTACCCATTTTAATCATCACCATGTATTTTTCTGGCGTTTCTGTCGCACGAAACTGTAATAAATAGTATGAGTACTGAGTGTATTAGCAGTTACTCGTAAAATTAAGTATATGTGAAATGACTGAAAACTGAAATTTGATTTAATATGCGCGACGTACCAAGTCCGATAGTAAGTACATACCAGACCTGGGCAGTTATGGAAAATGGACCCATACTGTTAGAGTTACGAGTTAGCCGCGGCGCGCGAGTTACGTTACGAGTTACGCTATTTACAAATAACTTGAGTTAAGAGTTATAGCGCGAGTTACGCTACAGTAAAAAAATTTCATTTGCTATTTTGATCAATTTAAGTAATTTTTTGGACTAGTTACTTCCACCAGATTTTAAGCACAGGCCGTTGTTATCGTTCGAAATAAATAACTGACTTTCCATTCCAAAAAAACAGTAGCCAAACATCAGTTCCTAAAGTTTGTACAAGTAGTGTATTAAAACGCTGGAACTGCCTTTAGATCGGCGCTAACTGTAAGCGTTTTCAAGTCTGTTTCACGGGCGGCACACTTAGGGATTTGCCAGGGGGAGCGCATTCCACCAATTTTGGTACAGCTGAGCTAGGCATTTTACCTTTTACCCCATTTTACCTTTAAACATTTCTCCTTTTTACCTTTATTGGTTGGTACCTATTAACTTGGTTGTTGGTTGGTTGGTTGCTACCTATTCGTTCCTGCTCGTAAACATCTGTCTTGGCGTGTACCTTGCCCGTTCAGTCTGAATTAGTTAGAAATTATGTTTACATATTATAATGCTTTTAAGACCAAGAAAACAATGCTAGCCATTTCCATTAAGCACCTTATCCCTGTCGGGTGAAGCCGTAAAGGGTATCAAACCGGTGCCGCAGTCCCTTTTAAGAAAGCCGTGCGGCGTGAACACTGACTACCTCTTACGACTGCGTACAATCGAAACCAATATTAGACAATTCACATCGAAACCAATATTAGACAATTCACAATCACAGCGAGCCATAGGGAGAGTTCCTAGGGCGGTCGTGGTGTACATCAGATCAAGCGATGTTGATTAAAAATGCTTCACGAATTTTCGGAACGTAATGTGGCCTGAGTCATTAACTTTGTTTTGCGCTTTATGTTAAATATTTTTATGGATAACTCGAAACCACAAAGTTACGCTATAGTTACGTTGCACTATTTTAATTCCGAGTTACGCTAGAGTTAAGTTTTGTTTGTCGCGAGTTACGCTTCAGAGTTACGTTATAACTCGATAACTCGGAAATAACTCGCGTTAAGTTATGAGTTAAGGTATAACTGCCCAGGTCTGGTACATACAGATACACAGCAAGTACATGAACTTTTAACGGTACAGATTTGAGTTTCCTTGAATAATACAAATAATAGTTTCGTTATTTTGCTCGTTATCGTTAACTGTAAAGCTATCATTTTTGGTAATTATTTTATAATGGAGTTTTATTCTCTGCAGGTACAGATACTCTACAACAATACTCTTTGTTAAAAACCTGTGCGAAGACTTGGCAAAAAACAAGCTTCGATCTGTTTGGCGCCATTTTGAGCAGTTTGGCGCAATTAAAATAACGGTAATGTATGATGGTAATGAAGAAGCGAGAGATGGCTTTATTGAATTTGTCAATGCTGCCGACGCTCGTAGCGCGTTGGAATGCCGGAAACACGTTATTAAAAAAAGACGGTTACACGTAATGCCGTTCATAGAAAATTCCTTTGCCACTATAAGTAAATCTCAGGATGCGCCAAAAAAGCTGCTTAAAAAGCGCGAAAAAAAGATTCAATACACAGAACCCTAAATTTAAACACAAAGGTTATAGTAGATAAAGTAGCACTAAATCTTGTCAATCGTTTTAAAAGAAATATAAGAAAAGAATTACAAAACCTGGATCACCCGTTTTACGTGCAGTGAACCGGATTATTAATATGAAAACACAATGTTAATTGAGATGGAAAACTTAAAAGCGCTTGCAGTATTGCGCTTTCGAAAAAAATATAGTAAGTAATTGTGAATAAACATTATAAGGGCTCGGTAATCTGCGTGTAACTTAAAATCCACAACAGCAGCTCAAATGTGAAAACCAAATCAATTGGAAAAACGCGTTCCAAAAATCTCCAAATAATTCTAAATACCTATGAAAAGTGATTATCAACGATTTTCATTTTTCTGTGAACTTGAAGTTAAGTGGCATAATAGTTGTAATTTTGCAATCAATGCGATTTGATTTATTGGCACATTTGCAGTGCGGTAAGTAAAGATCGAAAATGCCAAAAAAATACATTTTTCAGTTGTAACACACTGACCACTTTATTCGCTAACAACTATACGAGTGTATATTTTTACTGAAGTTCAAAAATTTTATATAAAACGGTTTTCAGGTGTGACTGTTAAATAAGTTAGTATTAACTGAATTAAAATCTAAGGCAACAATTTTCTTTATGGTGTAAAAAGGGAATGTACCGGCAACTGTTGCCCGTAATTGTATGACTGTTTATTGATCCGGGGTTACATGTTGGGTCTCCCGACCAGCCGGCCTCTCGTCGCTCGAGTCCTGACCCCGGCAGGACGATGATTGGAGCGCGGGTGGACAGCAAAGGCTACTTCTTGACCTCCTGCCTCCTCCCCGTGGCGCTGTCTGGAAACGCCAAATTCTTGACGGCTAAGTGCAGGTTAACCAAGAAAATCAGGTTCCGGTTGCAGACGTACGTTCTGGCAACTGTTAACGGGACGGTAGGAACTTGTTTCTCTAAATGTGCATCTTTGCTTTGTAACACATTTTGGCGCACTTGTTTCTCCCTGCTTGTTCGAAAATCTGTACTGGTAAAGGTGTCCACATGCATTGAATGAATGCACGTTTTTTCATTCAAATTTATCATTCAGCAGGAACTATGTGTAGAAATTATCATGCATTGAATGAATTCAAAGTATGTAGGAAACGAAAATCTGGATGACGATCACGTGAATTCATCCAAAAAATCAGTGAATGAAGAGGGAGGGGAAATCCTTCCTTTTCATTCATGAATGAAACTTTCTGGCCAATCACTATCGCTGCCTACCGCTACCGTGGGCGGGTGGATTGCCGATACACCGGGCGGGTGCCGTGCCAGTTGTTTCATGGCATGAAGTATATGTAGTCGACTATCGCCATTCAAAACCGCAAAACGAAACATTCATCGGCAAGTTTCACGTCAGTTTTAAATCATAACATTTTGCTCTACTCCATGTGATTTGCTTCAAACGTGCATTATTACGCCAATGCATGTGGACACCTTTACTTCAATGTTTGAAGCACCGCTGGCACTTCTTTCTGCAAGTGATATTATTGCATGTCCAGCTAGTTTTCAGCGGACGAGAAAATTTTTCATTTCATACACCTGAATTTTTTTAATTGCTTTATTCGTTCGGAATCGTTTTAAAAGAAGTGACCCGGATACATGTGGTACGAGTACCAAATTCGTATGTTTGCGCCACGGAAACACTGCGTTCGCGCACTCCCTCCCAAACACTTTTTTGTGCAAGAAAGAAACGGTGATAGAGTTTTGACAAGAAAATTTACTGCAAAATCAAAAAGACAACCAGACTGTGAACTATCGGTATCGGAATTGATGGGTTGTCGAACGAGGGGGAAACGAAGGGGCAGATTTTGTTCTGAGTGGAAGCAGATTATTCGGATATTGCACAGTGTTAACTGCTAACATGTACAGACTGACTGGAACTGCTATCCGTAGGAGTGCGCATTCAGAGCATTACCAGCAAATACTACGCACGAAAAAAGACCGCACGATATGACCGCACGAAAAAAGTGTACTTTTGTACAAAAGCATGAGCGCTGTTTTTGTGCTGTCAAGAACCATGGAACTCCTACTTTATGAAACCGGTATTAGTACAACCATAATTTATGCAGTAGATTGTCGGATGATATCAATAATATTTGATCTATTGTATTTGCAGAAAACTGTGTTATCAGCATACAGGTCGGGTCAGCACATGAACAGATATTATACGAGTAAAAACGAGATACGAATAAGTCGATAAGAGTATACTTATTACTTATTCATTGTTGTATTATTATAGTAAACAGCGGCACGATATGTGTACGAACAAAACCATGCGCGACACTCCAGTAGGCGATTACCGCTACCGAGAGACTGTAGGGCTATTTTATTTCACCTTTGACATAATAGTATTACAATAATTAGTGTTATTGCAAGTACTCTATATTTCATATATTTTATTGATTTATTACAGTGCTACAGCAGCGATAAAACAGACACAAACGCATCGGACAGTTTTGCTGGCGTTGGTAAATACGACTTTAATATCACTTCTAACACGCTGGGATTCTCTAGTATCAAATTAGTGCAAACCTATCTTATTTTAATAAAACCTATATACCAGGATAATCGAAATTTTTTGCAGCATCACGCTTGGTTTCCTCATGATGCTTTGGAAGTTACGAACTGACATTCTGAAAAACTTAGTGTCAAAAACAAAATTAAATCTTAATTATGAACTGAACGGCGAAATACGGTGGCAAGTTGTTATGTGGCAGACCACCACCGGCTGCACCACTGGTGGCCCCAACGTTATTCTCGAATCTGTGCTTTCCTGCCTCGTAATGCTTCCCACCGCCATAATCCGGGTAAACAACCATGTGCCCGTAGTCATGTTGATGCGAGGGCATTTCGGCGACGGTTAGCGTATGCTGTTCCTCACCGCCGACCGCCCCCAAGTGTTCGGCAAAAGAACTGTTGAATCCCACGGGAAAACGTCCTTGGAAGTTTGGTGTCGCTGTGGAGTTGGTGACCTCGCATAAGCGTTGATGGATACCGGAGCAGTCGAGCGACATGCCGTTACACGGCAACCATCCGGTGGGAACATTGTGTGAAAAGGTCATGGCAGTCGTGCCGGTGGTTATGATTCGCCCCGTTTGGACTTCCAGTGACTGAATGCGGCGCTCTAAACGAAAAACTTCAGCACGTTGCTGCACGAGTTCGCCAGCGTTGGATGCGGAAGGAAGAATATTAATTCGGCTGCTTAATTCTGATGTGGTCTTCGTGACGCGCACTTGCGTGGACGTAATGATCGACGTTGTGCGAAGACCTGGAACGCAAGTAATAAAGTACTCACTAAGTCACTGCTGCTTAAATTGTTACTAAAATATTAAATGATCTTTACTGATAGCGTTATATCATCAGATGGCATCAGTTAACTTACTCAAACTTGCTCATGCTAAAATTATTTCACTATCAGTTAGGTAATAACTAAATCTAATAATAATAAAACTAATCGCGAAACTAATTATGTAATTACCGATTTGTAAAGCAATGGATAATAGACAATTTTAAAATTTACCTATAACTGGAGAATTACTTAACTCGAAGAAAGCACTAGAGAATATTTCAACACCGACAAAAAGGAGGACCAGTGGGTGACGCACCAGACAAATTAATTCGACTAAGTTGCATTGCTTTGGGAACAAACTTCTCGCCATTCCACTGACTGACATGCTTAGCTTCCGTCAGAAGTTCAACCAGTTTTTCTTTCTCTTCATTGGAAATCGACTGCGAGGATGTGCTACCGCTCCCTGAAGCGGAACCGCCAATATCGATGATTCCCAGAATATTCACATTCCCCCCGACCGCACCGGAACCGCTGCCACTGCTTTCACTGGACATGTAGTTCTTGATAATGTCCTTCAGTTTGCTGTCGCTCTTATTGTAGACGTCATTCAGCGATTGCGTAATTTTATCCGGTCTGGCGTTTTCATCGTGCCAGAATACCGAACTCCACATTTGACTCTCAAAGGTCACCGTGGAGACGGTCTTGGCTTTCAGTACGTTTTCTAGGAGAGTGCCGATGGTGATGGACTGGTCTTGACTGACAAATTCGTCGTCGGTGACTTCCGTGGCGACCACGTTACTAGCAATCTCCAGGGTAAGTTGTTTGAGGTCGTCGCTTTTCATGTAGACAACATCGTGGTCGGGAAAGCGCTGATTCAGTGTTGTGTAAAGGGCACCGTTTTGCACATGTTCCGCTTTGACCTGCAAAACTATGCATGTACATATCCAGAGAGTAAAGGTGCAAGTTTTCCATTTTTGCGCACTATTGTTCGTGAATTGCCTACGTAAAACCTATAGATTAGGATAACTGCATTGCTGTACGTATAGTAAAAGCTAAACCTGCATAGAGAAAAGATTAATAAAAGATATTCAAATTTTTAATAAAAGTTTGAAATATTTTACTCAAGACAGACTTTTTTTGATTCCAGGCAATATACCAATTTCTGCCACTAAAGTACTGAGGTTGTAGCCTTATACAGCTTAATCCCATAAAAGTTAAATTAATACTATGTAAGACGATAGCTATTTGCAGAATACGTGTACATGAACTTACCTGAATCACGCGACGAGCACTTTTCTGTGAGCGCAGACTGTAATAGACAACCATTTCCGCGACAAAATTCTGTGGATTTTTTTGCATATTCTGTGCGGCTTCGGAGCATGTATCGTTTTTCAGACAGTTCAATCGAAACGTAAAAGTCGACGGCTGACTGGCATATGACGTCCATTTGTTGACAATGTCGTACTTATCCGCATGACCAATGGCGTCGATACGGATCTCCTCAATGGGTAATGTGCGGACGCTGCTTGTGGCCACCGGTGCACCAAGCTTCTTGCTGATTTCACTGCAGACAAAACTCTCAAACTCCTCATCCCACATCAGCACTGAGAAGGTCATCTCGAAGCGTTCCGTGAAGCGGTTAAAAGAGCTGACAGCTGAACTGGGGTCGATGATCAGAGCGGGTGAGTAAAAGTACTGCACCAGCGCAGGGTCGACGGCTTGGTTTCTGTAGACAGAAATGCGAAAGTTGTTCTTGTAGATTATCGACATGAAAGCGTTCGGCGATATTTCCAAGAGACCCCATCCACTGGAACCTGGAACGTTTATAATAATAGTTTTAATTGATAAGCAAATGTGATACATTTCTGTCTACGTATTTTTCTGACTATAGTTCGTATTCAGTTATTCGTACAGTTCGTTAATTAATGCTTGCAAATAGTAGCACATGCAGAAATCCGGTGTGCTTTTGGAAATTTGCAGTATTAATGAAGTTAAACTCCTGTCTTGCCAGTTAATACATGCGTATCTGTACATAACAGTTACTATGATTTATTGCTCGATAAAAGGTAAAACTACAGTAAGTTATTACAAAAGTGACTTTCCAACCAAATCAAGTTGCATTAACTATGGCAATCGGTGAGCAAACCGAGTGAATTTTTGTTTTACATAGAACGAGTACATCTACTCGCATATAAAGTACTCTCAGACGTGGTAGCAGACCTGTGTAGACTTGAATTGTTTTTAATAATAACTTCCGTCTTTAACTTTTCAATGACGCTTACTTGCGCTTTTCGTCTGGATGGCACTGGAATTTTTGATCACCTGAGCACGACATTCCGCCAGCAATCCGAACAAAATCACAAAACATGCGCGTTTTTGAGAAAAATCCATATCGAATCGTATGATACAGCACTCCCGGAAAAATGTACGTACTATACGGCTATAGTTGCCAGTAAGGTCCGACGACTTATGTATCGCGCCTCGCTTGATACTGTTTAACAGTTTAACTATTATAAAGTTAGCGCAAATATTTAAAGTCAGCACAGAGCATGCAGTGTCACGCATCGATCACAATGGCTATCAGCGTTTGACTTCCTGGCAAAGGTCGACTCCCTGTTATTGCTCATAGCCAAAAATCCGTGCCGGCTAAATGACTACGTCTACATACCTACATTGCTACAAAAATCCTAATCTTTTGCCGGATTGATTCATCGCACGAGCGCGCGTTCACGGTGAATGAGCCCAAAACGTGGCCAGCCGGCAAAACGCGATCAAATCGACGTAGAAACTGTCAATCATGGTATTCGTACGTAATCGCAGTCATAATAATTAATTAAACGGAGTAAATGTAATCGTATTAAATTTTATACCTCACCCGTTTAGTTCTATTACGGCTATACGTCTCGTACATATTTCATTGATATTACCGTAACATTTTAGGGTTGGTGAATGCCTACTTTCTTTTGTGCAACCGTTACTGTACTTTGTAATGGATTGTGCGAATTCTGCGTGAGCGCTTGCTGCATGCAAAATTTGATAAAAAGTCATGTTTAAAGAACGAAGTGAAGTATTTATTAGAAAGCCGAAAATATGTGGTGGACAGATCCGCAGTTTTACAAGAAGCCAATGCGGTCAGTAATTACAATAATTTCAAGCATTTATTTATAGTCGTAGGCTGATAATCCTCAGTGCTTTTTGGTCTATACGAATCAGCTCTAAATGCTTTTAAAAATCGTTAAGTTGGCAAATATGAATTGCGAAATCTGTTACAATTAAGCTTAATCAAACAAAATTCACTAAAGGCGGCATGGATCACAATCACAATTTAGTATATCAACTAAGCGCCATGCGATGGCAGCGCGACTTTTGATAACACGGCTTTCTTGAAAGGTCGAAGTCGCCGTAACAGGCTCTCCACTTATTGTCAGTCTCTACAGCAGTCACACTCGTGTCGTAACCATGTAGCTACGTGGATGATGTTGACTAAAGGGAATCTACGGGCTCAGGGGCCACACTTCGTGTAAAACAAGCACAGTCCATGTGGCTGTGTTTGGCATTTGGTGCTAAAAAAACTGTTTAAACGTTTTGGTCATTCGGCATACCTTACCAACCGGATGCTACTCACACAAAAGAATCTCCAAAAATTCTTGACAGTAAAATGATAAGAAACCATATGAAAATAAAAACGTGTTTTGCGATGCGCAAAAGCATACGCTTCTTGGATGTATACGATGCAACATGTAACGAGTACAGTAAGTATTAAGAATAGGATCTACATATACCGCGTGCGACCTCCCCATAGTTTTGAGATCTCACTAACCAGAGCATTTCAAAAGAAACTGACACCACGTACCATTAGACCGGCCGTAGTTCAGAACTGCCTCATATGATTTTTGTTTTTGAATTCTTCCTACCAGACTCGTACCGCCATGATGCCGCAGTCGATTGAACCCGTGCGTCAGTGCGACCTTGAAATTTTGAAACATTTTTTTGGAAACATGTACATTGTACATATTAAAATATTAACCGATAACACATTAAATATGCATTGTGAAAAGTTTGCTTTGACATATCAGAGCAGAGTTTGGCGGTTGTTCCTGATGTACAGACATGTGAATAAACTTTGTTGTTGGATCAGTAAAGAAACCAATGGCAACGTTGATATTAATATTTTGCGAAATAAACTATAACCAGTCAAAGCTAAGAAATTTTAACTCAGAGTGTTGCGCTGACCTCCTTATCTATTAATTGACCAAAGTGAGACTCTATGTTTCCCCTCTATGTTTAGCAAAGCGAGACTTTATGGGCCAGTCAGTCACGAAGTTCGCTCGCTCATGGAGAAGAGAGAGACCAACGAGAAAGAGGCTGGGAAATGAATCGGACAAGGTGACAATGGCAAAATGCGACACCGGCCAAGCTTCACCATCAGCCAGCACTGTACCGCAGCAGCTTTATAAACAATATTTCATAATTTTGCAATTCTTAACTATTCAAGCGAAACCCATCAGTGTCAATCTTTCACCACCCAAACTTGCTGCTAATTGGGATGTGTTATGCGTTGCTTGAAGTGATCCAAGAGCCAGATTGTGTAACGCGGGGAGAAAATTGTGGTAATCTGAACAGTTATGCTCATATCAACACACAATTAATTACGGCAGGATACACTACCAAAAGAAGCGAATTTTACGGTTACGTTGTGTGAGCAGCACTGGTTAACGTTGGATCTCATGTTTGCATCGTCAAACCGGATTAATTTTTGTGGCATGTATACGTAAATTTGTACATACCAACCCCCTCGTGACACTGCAGCAATAATAACCAGCCGATAGACCCAATATTCAGCCAGGCAACGCCGATAAACGTTATCATATTAGGATTCGTACCGAGCGGGCTTGCTTTTCTACTATTATTCTATCTTTCTTGGAATATCTATGTCCTACAATTTACAAACATAATTTACGCGCAAGTCGTAACAAGCGACTTACTAACTTTTAGTTTTTATAATAAGAGCGCGGCGTAGTCGCTGCAGTGTCGTCTGCGTAGTCGTCGGAAACAACAATTGTTTGCCCGAGAAACTCAAGATTGTGGAGCTGGAAAATTGTTACATCGTGCTCTCGAGGCGACAAACAAAAGTTTAGATTATCGGTGAAGGCTTATTAAATTTTGTAGCGCCTCGCTGCGGTGAGTAGAAGCAATGAAGTTTACGAATAAGTTACCGCACTGACTTTTTTTGCTTTAATTTCCAGTCTCACTTACCAGTTAAGTACCATCCCTGTATTTAAGCTACAAACGACCCACATTGTTCATTAACCGCTCAAGGTAAACACTTGAGCCGCCGTAAATGGATTCCAACGTAACAACAGCTCAGAATCTGTCGGGCTTCTCGATGCCCCACATGAATACCACACAGCATGTTCCACCGCCGTCCAACGCATCGCTTGGGCATGCGTTATTAAACAGTCTCACTAGCACCGGGATCCTGGCCGTCATGTGCAACATCGTAGCGCTGCTCTTGACGCTGACCAAAGCATCATTGCGAACACCGTTCAACATGTACATTGTGGCCTTGATGTGCAGTAATGTAGTGTTTGTGAGTACGGATCGTACGCTACTCGCCCTTGCGGATATTTACGGAACATTGTGGCTGGGTAATTCCCTGTGCACCGTGCGCCTTTATTCTTTATACATGCTAGCCCCTTTGGTTTACAACCTTCACTGGGTGATCACACTGAATCGCACCTGGGCATTGTTCGGGCCCATCTCTTACCGTGCCCGCCATAATCGCACTACTGCTGGCATCTTGTGCGGCGCTGTGGTGTTTTATGTGCATATTTTCATGCTGCCGCAACTGATACGCGATCACCTGTACTACCGTTTACCACTGGAAAAAGGATGTCGGCTCAATACCGACCGCCAGTTTGTTCTGAATTATTTTACATCTATTTTGATATACGACGTACCTTGTGTGGGCGTTACTGTCGTCTATCCACCTCTACTGTGGAAAATGCTGTCCCGACGACGGATGAGAAGGGTTAATAATCCAGAACGACGTCGGCCCGACGGGAGACAGGAAGCTATCCACCGTCCGTTCATACTGCTGACGCTGTATACATTCAGTACCATGGTGTCTTGGATGCCGATTATGTGCTTTTATACTATTGCCAGTAATTTTCCCACTGTTAAGTTGAGCCCAACCTTTTACCAAGCCGCGTCCAATCTGTATAACGTGGAATCTATTTTGGATCCGCTTTTTTTCTGTCTTACCATTGGCGGTGTACGGAATTATGTTCGTCGATTCTGCAGCAGAACGAATAATAACGAAGTCGGGACATCTAGCGACAGGGCTCAGCTGCCAGCCGCCGCTACGGAAAGCGCAAAGACTCCGAACGCCATTCCAAATGTTGCCGTCGTAATCTGATACACTGTGCACTCGTAACTACTGTACTTTTGCGTTCTGTACTGTATTCGCCAGTTTTTACTGTTACGGTAGAAACGGTTTTGCTATGGTCATGTTAAACATAAGAAACGGTTACGGCTTTGGCGTTCCGTTTGGAGCGTCGTAGTCACCGGTCCCATGCATGCAAATAGCAACGAGCAACATATTTCAGCTGAAATATGACGATGGCGAAGATGTACAGAAACATGAGTTCGTAATCCCAGTCTGTTTCCAAGGTGGTCGACGGTGTGGAGCCGTTTTCCAATGATTGCGTTGGATCGCCATGTATGCTACATACACATGTACGACACCGGTGAACGTCGCCGACCATAGCAAAACATGGACGGCCTAAAGATATAATGCACACTCTGTACATTACTTTACATTACACATGCATAACCTTACATCGCTCCGTACATTATTGTACATCATAACGAAGCTTCCGTTAGGTATCAAACTTATTTGGTTGTATAGACCCAAATGCTAGCGTTAAGTATTTTCTTGTCCACAAGGAAACAAAAGGTTGAAACGGGATGATCGCAGCCTGCTCAATCGACTGCGCACCACGAACGAGGTTGCGTTCATAGTGTGCTAACTAACAAAGCTAACAAAGCTCGAAGAGTACGGAGCAGTTCTACGACCATACTCGCTTACCATATTCTGCGTTGACCAGACGCTCTGAGGGAAGCTATCCATCTAATTTGTCCCTAGGATCAGGCAGACCATTAAAATGTACGTGTAAGATTATCATCCTATCATAGGATTCCTATGGTATACCAACCTTTCTTTCCATGGGCGTCACAAACATATGGGTGTAATAAACGGATTTGTAAAAAACATAATAATAATTACAATTTTTTCGGCGATTCTCGTAACGACATTAAATTTTCACTATGTCATATTCGCAGTCTGAGATAAACGAAACATCTTGTAATTACGGTAAATTACCTTCCGTCTCCAAACATTTTTCTTGTACTGAAGCGCTTGTAGCCGACAGGAAGGTGGTTGGTGTATGTTCAGTGAAATCGCATCCACCTTTCTGCCGAAGGTCGGCAGAATGGTGGATGAGCCATCCGGCATCCACCAATCTGCGGGGGGACATCTACATTTTCTTAAAGGTAATCCATCCACCTTTCCGCCGAAAATCGGCAGGTTGGTGGACGAGTTTTTACTTACAGAATTAATAACAGTTACCATAAATGTACGTTTTAGTCCCTTGGTCTGCACGCATCTCCGTACCAGCACTCAATGTAGCCGCGCGACCAGATTGCACCACAGAGTCTGGTATACGGAAATCATCGCACACGCTCGTCGCAATCATTGCAATCTCGTCGCGCGCCTACAGTACACTACAGTAATTACAGTAATTAACTGCACTGTGGGCAACTAAAACTAAAACTTCGATTAAAAACATTTATTTTAACCGGCGATTTTTATCTGTGTGGAGCAGATTCTGTTTTTATATGTCCAATGCAATCCTTAAAAAGTGGATCGAAAAATCAAGAAATCACTTTCGACAATCAAGTTTCAATAATTTCTAATTTATTATAAGTTTCTAATGCATCGCCGACATCAGACAGTCTCGACTCTCGATCGCTATGTAACCAGGACATGGAAAATCATTCCACCGTTCTTCCACTGGATGACATGTAGTTTTCCCCAGAATTTGGCTCGTATAGTTCTTGGAATTTTGGGTAACGGTTTATTAGATTTGAGATTTCCGAATTTTAATAAGCTGCAAAATCGTCTTGATAACTTCGAGCGGAAAATCTTTGCTTTTGTAAGTTCTGTGATTTTGTCCGGCACTGGGTCGCCGTTAGGAAAGGATAACCCGATTGTGCCGATAAAATTCTGGTCGTGGCGAAGTTATTGATAATCATTATGGAAAATTCATTATTCGGTTGCTTATTTTGAACTGGATATCCAAAAAGTGGAAGGGGAAAGTAAAACTGCTTCATACCGAAGAAAATCGTCAGTTGAAATAATTTCGTGCTTTTATATTTTGCACGCAGCATTCTCTTTCAAGAGATCCACCAATTTCCGGAGCATCCACCAATTTCCGGCCGACCTTCGGCAGGTGGATAACCTTTACAAAAAAGGTGGAGATTCGTCCTTCAACCTGCGGCCCTTTGGTAAAAAGGTGGATACGATTTCATTGAACATCCAACATCCACCCGTCCACCTTCCTGCCGGCTACAAGCGCTGAACAACAGAATAATTTTGCAGGTTAATTTCTTTTGCCTAGGTAGAGCAGCGACTTCGTACTTACTCTGCTTCCTACTTACAATCATACTCTAGCCAGTGAAAAGTGAATACACACTGGTCAGAGCTGTACTGTACAATGTACGTAGTATCTCGGCAAACTATCATAATTTTGGGCATCATTTTAATAACATTGACATTTTCGTTTGCCTCCATTCACCGGCATTGCTGCATTAGAGACGTAAGCAATCAAAATTACCCCGTGGTTTCTAAAATCGATAATAGAAGTTAGCGATTTATTGTTAACTTAGGTTAATGCAGTCAAGAGAAACGCCGGTCTCCTTCTAGAAGGCTGATTTATCCGTAGAGCCATTACTTAACACCTGTGCTCCGTCCAACCCACACCCTCCCGTTATGGCTTCTCTTTCGATGCCATTAAGCCCAGAAGTCAGCACAGAAGGCTGCCACCACCAACACGCTCGTTACCATCGAAGTGATCGCCGAGGTCACCGTGGCCGCCGAGGAGACCTCCCATGCCCTGTCGTCCAGGTGTTGTGTGTACAGTATATAGCACACGTGCACCGTTAATGGTGCAGCGGCTGCCGGTTGATTGCAACTGAGCCATGAAAAAGCTCCTCTTAATTATGTAGAAAAATTATAACATACTGAAATGTTGGTTTTGGAAATGTTGGTTTTTAGTTGAAAAATGGCATGGGGGGAAAATTTCTGATGATGACTTACACTCGAATGAGATGGGGCTTGAGTAGTATGAATACTAACTGCATTCGTCAGCTGAAAAATGCCATCCTGATTTAATAAATATAAGTACTAGTAACGGTTCAAATTATTCAACAACGAGGCTGGGGGCTTACATTTGCACTAAACATTAACTTCCTAAATACCCAAAATACAGATGTCAACATTGATGCTTTTGATATTAATTTTTAGCTGTCAAGTAGGGTATTAGCGCTCGCCACTATTTCGATCGCTTATCAAAGCATGTACGCGTATATGTAAAATGATGGCTTTCAGCGTTCTAAAAGAGATGGACCAAAATTTCATTGATAACTGAAACAGCTGAGACCTTTTCATTCAAAAAATTCGAGACCTTATCCTGCCTAAGCAACAATGCTTTTCCTATGGAGACAGCAAAATACTCGACCCACGCACACCACAAAGTTGAACTACGCTAGTTGAACTGGTGTTGGTCAAATCACGGCTGCACAAACAGGGAAGCAGGGTTCTAGCTATGACTGTTCCGCAAAAAATTTAATGCATTTTTAGGATTTATTTCACTGCTTAATAATTCAGTAAACAGTACGTGACACTACATTCGATTTAACTAATAAAAAAGATAGATACTAGTAGATGGTATTGATTTAGCTCACCGGCCAAGACTGAATGCTGATTAAAAATCAGACAGATAGACAGTTATATATTTAAATTATATACATTTTTTGGTTTGATTTTATGAGATAAAAGTTACCCACCTAGGAATCGAATCCAGGACATACAATCTAAAGCCAGACGTACTACCACCAGGCTAGGCAATTAACATTAAATATTTGATTGTTATTATAGCAACTACAGTAGCCAAACTCCAGTAAATGAGACTTTAACCCTAAGTTGATAACCTTTAGGTGTTTAGGCTATTGGAAAATTTTTTTGTTTAATTTTGAAAATTATATACTTTTTTTGGTTTGATTTTATGAGATAAAAGTTACCCACCTAGGAATCGAATCCAGGACATACAATCTAAAGCCAGACGTGCTACCACCAGGCTAGGCAATTAACATTAAATATTTGATTATTATTATAGCAACTACAGTAGCCAAACTCCAGTAAAGGAGACTTTAACCCTAAGGTGAAAACCTTTAGGTGTTTAGGCTATTGGAAAATTTTTTTGTTTAATTTTGAAAATTATATACATTTTTTGGTTTGATTTTATGAGATAAAAGTTACCCACCTAGGAACCGAATCCAGGACATACAATCTAAAGCCAGACGTATTACCACCAGGCTAGGCAATTAACATTAAATATTTGATTATTATTATAGCAAGTTAGCAACTACATATCGAAATTGCCGGAAGTATAAGCTGATTGTGCCGTAAATCGTCCCGATCGGTAATGGCGGGCTGTGAAAAGCCGAAGTTTATGAGCGCAGTTTATGGCACTGTTATACAGAGTACCTGTTTACTTTTTACGGAACGTTAAGTGTTGCCTTTGTGCTGTTCTACGCGCTGTTTTACGTTTTGATGACTCTAAGTGTAGGGTGTGCGCATACGGTCGTGAAGAACGTTTTCCTGCTTTATGTAAAGAATGCTTCGCTGCTTTGCCGAGATTCCGACTGGCGCGAACCTTTTTCAATGGTGCGGTCAATTACCTTTTCACGTTGACGGTATGAAATGCGCAAACCCCAATCCCATTGCAATCCCGTCCTAGTTTCACCCAAAGATTAGGTCGCTATGTCGGTAGCATTCAAATGCTCCGCTGGATGCGGTTGGTCGCAAAAATTAAAACTGCTCTGCATCTCGATCAAGGTTTATGTATACCGGCTTTTTTGATAATATGGCGGCTGTTAATAAGTTGTTGTTTTGTTGTTGATTTCTTTTTTGACATGATCGATGTCGCGATTATTCATATTGTACGACCTCGTCAGAGCATTAAATTTTGTGCTCTGTTATGTCTTTCGCCCACATAATGATATTACTACCTCTGTAGTCTTCACAAGAACCCCTCAAATCGAGCTGCTTAATCAGCTCTCCGCAAGGGACGAAATGGCCCGGTGCATATAGGCTGGATTTAACTGGAACAAGAAATAACAAAAGACACAAGGTCTTATACAGGCCAGAATGATCAGATTACGAAGCGAGAAGCAGGGTCGCGAAATCAGGTTCCATATCAAGTAGTTTTTTATCTTTATTGCAACACTAACTTTGCTCGGCCGTTCATAGAAAGAATGATACAGTGTATATTCTAATGGTCGGGCTCACGAGTAAAGTCTATGTAGATGGACAAAAGAAATGTACTCGCTTATGCTGGCTAGCAGAGAGCCTCAGAGACGGACCAATAATATCATAACGTAACAGCACTTTTTATACTTTATCATCATTACCCTTGCATACGCCGAGGACAATCGTACGCGATATAAAACTTTTCAAATCCCGTACTTAACACCGGTGCAGCGTCCAGCCCACACTTTTCCGCAATGTTGTCTCTTTCGAAACCGTTCACTTTCAGTTTGTCGGCAATATTCTTCATGTTTCTACAAACACGAGACAACGAGATTGTATGTATGAGAAGGAGTTCTTATTTACTCATTGAAATAAGGTGACTATAATTTATGTTGATCACGTACGTGCAAAGTTGTGAATAAAAGGCATCCCGTGACTGATTCTCGGTTCCCTGGGGCTCGAATTCGATGACATCTGCCATGCTTTTTCTTCGTACGCATTCCTGCACAGCGAAAAACTGTAGGGCGTCTACCGATTCGCATAAATTCCCCAGAGCGGTATATGATTCGCCTTGAGCCGATTTGTCGCGAAAGGTGGTGGCAGTTGATATGTGCTGACAATTAGAAATCATATCGCGAACACAAGATCCCGCTCCTTTGGCATTTCTGAAATTGTCAAATTACTGTTACAAAACATTAATAAATATTTACTTAACAGTACGGTGTAAACTCGCGACTTGGTTTTGTAGAAGATAAAAATTAATATCGTAATAAAGTGTTGTTTCGAAAGAACAGGATCAGCGAAAAATAAGATGTCATAATTGTCCTAAATGTGTTATAGTAACAATAAATGTAATAACAGGCATGATATCGGAACGTGTATAATAATGTTTAACTTTTTTAGCTGTTTGATATCGCTTACCGGCAGTACTCTTGCGTTAAGGGAGTGTACCGACTGATATCTTGGGCGGTTAGGGGCCAAGGTAGGTTTTGAATGAAATCGTCGCCGATGAGCCAATAATTCCAGTACTCTGTACACGACTCCTCTAGTGCCGCACAGTCCACGTCTCTGGATGAATTCTCTTGCCCGGATGGTGCGCACTGCACTGTGCAAACAACCAATAAAATAACAGAAAGCCACTTCATTATTATACCGTAGATGACTTATCTCATTATCTTTACAGCTAAAATAAAAAAGGCCGAGACACACTACAACAGCACTGCTAAATTCTGAATGTTTTGCGTTGAACGGTGTACAGCTAGTTTAACGGAGTTTTGTTGAAACAAGTTTCAACTGCTACTGTACCTACCCACCGCTACCGGCGTCTCATTTATGTAGTTCAGTTATTATCAGACGAAGGGGATCTCATGGTGAGGAAGTCGATAAAGAGAAAAATAGCTGCCGTATTGCGAAACGATCGGCTACCAGGTAAAGTTTAGTTCATCAAGAGAACGAAGCACGTGATTGCTGAGCGCCTATCAGGTGCACCATCTTTAAATTACTTATTTCTATACGGGAAAAGTGATTAACCTGAACATAAAACAAGATTCGTTAAACAGATAATGCTTATGGTTTAAGCGAACAAGTCCACTATCCTTACACTGTAGTCAGAACCGCGCAAGACTAAAATTCACAATTGGTCCGCATGTCCTCTTTTTAAGCTATTTTCGACTTTTTAAAATTTCATATTGTCAGACGTATTCTTTTTGTTTCTCCAAATGTAAGAGGCATTCAGTGATATTTCTTATAAATTAACAATAGTTTACGATTGGTGTAAAACTGATGCGATTTGCGCACGTGTTTGTAACTGACAACCTAAGTTGCAGGATGTGTTAGTCAACATCCACATATCACGAGTATATATACATATGTACATGCCCATGTACAGGCTGGCCTCTGGGATAAAAGTGCACACATTTGCTGTATTAAATAAAGCTAAGAAAGCTGCTGCAAATAAGCGAGTGTGTAGTACATATTGAAAAAATGTCAAAGTCGGTTTAAAACACTTACAATAGCTACAAGCCATAAAACACTTACAATAGCTACAAGCCATATGACACAAGATTAAAATAACGATATCCCGTAAAAAGTATGCATTATCAGCAGCAAAATTTGGACTTTCAAGAAAACGATCACTCACAGTCTAGGGTACGCTTCGAATCCCAAGCATATAATGCGTAAAATAAAACAGCGGAGCCAACGCTTGGACATCCCAACGGAAAGCGGGCTACATACAAAAACCTCATAAACCGCCTTTTTTTCTGGTTGTGGTATTTCACAGCTCCCTTGTTCTCGCGTGGAAGTTGACCGACAACTCCTACTGAGATCCAGTGAAACGGAAGACTTGGATAATAAATAAATACAGCGATTCGTAAACACGACTTTACGAGTATGCATCCTACCCGCCTGTTCGACCGACATAACTTGATCTAATAGTCTGGCATAGCTACGTAAGTTAACGAAGCCATAGAACGAATCTCCAACAAAAAGCTTACTTGACCTTAAGCTGCAAAACTCAGGAGGAAGGACCCTTTTATCTTAGTTTGTGGGAAAAAAACTGGAGAAGCGCAGTCAAGCTCCTTTCTAAGACAGTGTTAAGCTAGTTCGCGGCATTTTGGGCATTTGTATTGCAGTAAATCAATTGATTTCACCGAATGTGGAGATCTGTTCAGGCGGAGCCATCCGAACGTAGTCACGTACCGAATCATGGAAGCGGAATCATTAACAACGATTCACCACAGACTACAGAACAAAATGTATACTAAACTCAACAACCTTACTGTCTTTCAATTCGATCTTAAGTTATCTAGTACATATTTTCCCTACATGCATTTCATCAATACAATACAAGCCCTAGAAATATCCATATTACAACCAATATATCATCCCGCTTTGTTAATGTAATGCAGACAGGTCACTTATTTAATTATACGGTGCCAGCATTTTCGAATATATTCACGCAAGACATTATTAATTGTTCATTTATAAAACCACCTGCCGACAGAATTAACATAATAATTTGAAAACCAACACCTTTAACACAATCATGGTAAACAGGTAAAGTAACCTGAGGGAATGTTCATGCGAACGTGTTTCCTAAGTTCCTAACAACCAGTCTGCGCGAAGTACATCTCCAGCATGTCCCCATCCTTGAAGTCAATATCCGAAACCAGTGTGTCGCTTGCCAAACGCCGACCATCAAATACAATTATCTGTTGGTGAATGGGGACCTCAAGGCGACGTCCAAGTACGGCTTTAACTTGCTCAATGTTAGCCGATTCCAGGACTCTCAATTCAAGCTGATTACCGTCCTGAAGAATAACGGGAACTGTGGTGTACTCGCATTCCACCTTAACGACGCCGTCGGTCACCACGCTGACCAGCGACCCAACTGGCTCAAACACATCGTCCAGCGTTGGATCCATAGAAATCTGATCAAAATCCTTCTTAAACTGCTCAACCATCGTTGCTGGCAGCAGCATATCCCGCAGCGCAAACATGAAACCCAGTAATACCATTTTCACGCCAGTCTGGGCTTCATTCGCAATGTAATCGCGTCGGATAAACTGCATCAGCTTGTCAACAGGGATCGAGTGCAAATTGAAACCCGGCTCACAGAAACGCTCCAGGAGCGCTAGCTGCGTTCGCAGTTTCCTTGACGGGATGTTCCAGTCGCTGGCCAATGCCATCAATTCATACAGAAACAACGGTGTGGTTCGGTCAAAATCCAACGGCAGATAATCGGTCGCCGCCTTTACCACGTTCAACAGAGCCACCACCGCTTCCTTACTGACATCCATCTCGTACGTGCTCACATGCCCCGCCATCTTCGGACCAAATATCATGCGGGTCTCGGGGGTAATGCTTACCAGGAACTGACGATCCACTTTCATGTTGGAACGCCCGAACTTCAAGGCGACATTGTCGTTGCCGTTCAGTGCGGCAAAATCATCCAGGGCCGCACCCACTTCACTATGCGGCAAAGCGATTCGTAACTGTTTGAGTTGTTCGCGGATGAGCAGTCGCAGCGGCACGCGCAACGTGATGTAGCAGTATCCCCGCCGAAAGATGCCCAGCTCTTGACAGCACTCGGAGTAAGTGTGGCCGCGGATGTTCATCAGTGTGTCGTTGATCAGATATAAATTACTGGCACCTTCGGCTGACTGGTCCATTTTGATGGTGGGACTGCCGTTGGAGGCCGGATTGATGAAGGATAACTGGACAGACTCCACGAAACAACCCGGTGGGATGCTCTGCAGCTGTACGCTGGCGCGCCACGGAACTTCGAAACCATGCTTACGAGCGGCACCTGATGAATGCCGGCGGGTAGAGTCCAGTTTCCGCTCAACTGAAAAACCACACAAAATTAGATAAACTTTACAGTAAACATAAATTTCGCGCTACATCGACTCACTGTTCTGCATTTTTACATGGATGCCCGTTTCAAAACCGAACCTACAAAACTGCTTGCATGTCTTCACAAAAAGCATTACACTGTAGTTGCATGTCATTATTATGCAAGCTTAGGTTGCCTACCTAGCGTTTTATCAATCATACTACCTGCAAAAATTTTTTAAAAACTACACATTTCGCTGAGTAGTAGGAACTTTGAATAAACAGATACAAATGCAACGGCGGAGCTTCGACCGGCGGTGGAGTGTGATAAAATAAATCGAAGGACTGCTGACAAGGACTCTAATCCCGGTCCCACTGATAAAGATTTCACAGCATAATGTTAATTATAAACTTTCTGATTTCGTATGAATGTGCTACTGAATAACAAACTACTAGTAGTCTTCCGATTAAGACACTCGTATGCTAATATCCGAATACATTTTGCTTCCTTGCTATAAGGCTACTTACAGTATGCTTGAAGAGCCACTCTACTTTCTATCCACGCAGGCACAGGCAGCATCTCCTCTCCCGTGACCACCATCCGCACCTGCTCCAATTTCCCCGAGCCGTAATTATTCATCTGGAGGCTCTGGATATCTTTGATGTCTTTCTCAAAGGTATACATGGCGCAACAGGTTATGAGGAGTCCTTGGCTTTTCTTCGATTCCATGACTTGCTTCTGAACATTCTTCAGCCTATTCACAAACTGGTCTTCCATTGCGGCGATCTTATCCATAAAACCCATGGTCACTGATGTTTCAGGCGGGGTTTCCAAACGGGTTCGCTTCCGTTTCTGGCCTACAATAGCAAATGAACATTAACTTCACGACATGGCCCATTGTCTTCCAAGTTTTCGCTGGAAAGGAACGTAAAAGTACGATAGTCATGCAGTCGCGTGACGGCGTGAGCACTTCTAGGTCCTTTCTGTTAATGTCTCACCATTAATGGCTGTATTGGACACATGGCCTCTGTTCATTTGCACTTCTTTTCAAAACTGAATTACTGACGTATTAAGAGCGACTGGTGATTACTAATCAGTAAAAGTTAAATGAAGACTAAAAATACACAGTACACACACGCCTTCGGTTAGTATTGTAAGACCATGGAGATAGAATCTGATCAACATTCATAAACGTAAGCACTCAGCGCATACGTAAGCACTCAGGCATACAAAAGTCAAAATATTATTATGAAAAAGTGAAAAACAAAATTTGCAGAATTACTTCAAGAGAAGGCCGTCGCGAGCTCGGAGGGTGGGGGTGGGGTCAAGTGCCCTTTTCTCTCGCGACGTCCCTGCTGCAATGGACGGTCGACTCGCTAGGCGAATAACAATGGACGTCCACGGTCCATCCACTGATGCAACCCCAGGGCCAACGCGAGGGGGCGCCTCCCGGGAAAAAGTGTGAAAATTCCTATACAAAATTTACAAAAATCGGGACTGGCGCATTTGGCGCCATAATTCGCCCTCGGGGAGAACAATAGCGTCCTCCTCCCGAAAAGCTCGCGACGGCCCTGTGCAACCCTACGGATTTGTTAAATCGTCCGTGTGACAGATTTTCTCGATTTTTGAATTAACTAGCGAAGACATTTTTCTGCTCTCTTTCGGTCCTCGCTTTTAAAATTTCGCAGTAACTGAAACTGCTATATTGTAATTTGTAAGTAGATTCGCCTGAAATCTGAGACCCACCCTACTGAGTAGGTCTCCATTTTCGGTACTAATACTAACTTTCTTGGAACGTTTCGAATTACCATAGCCATTAGGCCCATTACACTAAAAATGAAAGGTTACACTGGCGATTAGCATTCCGTTCAGTTGACGGTTCAGCCCGGAACATGACCGCTTTTGCAGTGTCTATGTCGCAGCATTTAGAGCAGTTGAGCAAAAGCTCGCAGAGCATGGAACATTTTATTTCCGGTTTGCGACCCTGGTTGCCGATTATATTCCAAGGCAACTTGATGCTAGAGCCTCTGAAACCGATTTTGTGAATAATTAAAGGTAGTCTGTGTATATTTACGAACTCAGTACTTTTGTGTACGAGTAATGGACTTTTTTCACGTTTCCGGGTCAGAATTTTTCAATCTTGCCAGTGGCAGGAGAGACTGATTTATGTTCGTGGCATTTAGAGCATTAATTGTACTTGAACATCCATCTCAAAATACTTTTTTCAAGTTGCTTAAGGTTTCCGTAATATTTATGTAACAAAAATGTACTTTAAATTTTAAAAAAATGCGAAGCGCTTCCTACTTCCTAGTTTAAAATCCGCGAAACAGAATATTTGAAACAAACAAATTACCCGTGCATGCAGTTAACGCCCGTGCAGAAATTCCGTACCCGCAGCCGACACCCGTGCGGACACCAAAAGGTCATCCGTGCAGCCAACACCCGTGTTTGCCCGTGCACGCAGCCACAATGTTTTTATTTTATCAGTTGCATGAGAAAATGCATTGGCTTTTAACTCTGTCTTCCTGTTTCCCCTACAGAGTCAGAGTTGCCTGATATCAGTCACCACCAATTATTAACCAAAGCACCGGGATTTTATGTGTTTTTGTTATGACTCTGGTGCCGCATTAACGGTGAACTGATGCAGATGTACTTAACAGGTCCAACCGTCGATGCTATCAAAACGGAGCTATTAGAGCACTTTAACTCGAACTGCTTATTTAGCTCTTCGAAAGAAGAAACAACTGAGTACAAACATGATGAAAGGAAAAGCACCAAACAATCTCAATTACGGATTTAGGAATCGAGAAGTGAGGTCATGAGATACGACTGTACTAGGAAAGAATGACAGATTCCGCTGGCCGGACATAGGGGCCAAAACTGAATTCGAATCAGAAACTGAAAGGGTAGCGTCCATCAGAATGCAATAAGCGATCTTTCTAACAATATCTACTCTAATTTACTGTTGTCCTTGCACACGTCGAGGGCATTCGTAAGCGATGTAAAACTTCTCAAATCCCGTGCTCAACAACGGTGCAGCGTCCAATCCACACTTTTCCGTTACGTTGCTTCTGTCTTCGCCGTTCACTTTCAGTTTGTCAGCAACATTCTTCATGTTTCTGCAAATACGGGAATAAAATTCCTATTTGGTCATTGAAGTTGAAATAAAGAATATACTGTTTGTTGACTTTCGTACGGACTGCATTATACGTCGCTCGCAAATTTTGAACAAGGTTATTGAGGCCTCAATCATTCTGTTAAGAATTGTACGTTCAGTTTGATGTTGCACTCAAAAACATCGCTGTTAAGATTGCACGAGGAGTATCTTTTGGAAAACTTAATCAAGGTCTCACGATGGGCCTACTTAGCATTACGTACGTGCAAAGTTGTAAGTTTTCGGCATCCCTTGAATGATTCGCGATTCCGTCAGCCTCGAAATCGATTATGTCTGACATGTTCATCCTGCGTACGCAATCCTGCACAGCGAAAAAATGAAGCACATCGACCGATTCACATAATTTTCCCAGAGCAGCATATGTTTCACCTTGCTTTAATGTTTGGAGCATCACATCGTTGTCCGATAACATGTGCCGACACTTCGAGGTCATATCGAGCATACAAGATCCCGATTCTTTCGCATTACTGAAATAGTCAGCTGCAGTTATAAAATGTAAAAATACATAGTCAAATCTTACGGCCTATTGTAATAAGAATTACCATCATTAAATTAGCTTTTCAAGAGAAAAGAAACAGCGAAACCCAAAAGCGCATGATGGTGACAATGTGCATACGAGGGGATGTCAGTTGCGCATTAATATTTAATAATCCATGTACTTGCTGCCGCTGGCTGGAGTCAGCAGCTGGAGCAGGACGGTGTTCTTTATGTACATGGTTCCTATTTACACCAGATTTAGCCATATGTATTGCGCAACGTCATACTCCAGCCGGCTGAAGGCAGCAAGTACAGGGATTATTGAAATGCGCTACTGACATCCCTTCTTATCCTGTAGATGAACTGTACCATAATATGCCTGTACGAGGAGACTCACCGGCAGTACTCTTGTATTAAAGAACTGTATTGACTGATGTCGTGGGCGGTAAGGGGCCATGGTAAATTGTCAACAAAATCATCTCCGGTGAGCCAATAACTAGTACGCTCAGTACACAACTCCTCTAAAGCCGTACAGTTGAAATCCGTGGGTGTATCGTTTTGTACTGATGGTGCGCCCTGTACTGTGCAAATAAGCAGTAAAACCACGGAAAGCCACATTATTAGTACAAATCGAAAATATATATATATAACTACTAACAGTCGAGAAAACTGCAACCACACTGCAAAATTATGATCGATTTGCGTTCAACGGGGTGTACGTATGGCTTGTTGAACGCAATTTGCCGTAAAACTGAATCGTGCAGCTGCTTTTTCTGTCTGCTCCAGGCTTCGATACCGGTTTCGAATTTATGACATTGTAGTTCAGTTAATTATCACACCGTTGTGATCTTGTTAATAAGAAGGAAAGTGTGGCAACTCGCAAGGAGAAATACAATTATCGTATTATGAAACTATGGACTGCCGGTTAAAGTTGAGTCCATCAACTGGCACAGCATTTTTAACGACAGACCGTCACTTTACCAACAGGGTGCAGGTATACCGTTTTACTATCCTTACACAGTAATATGATTAAACTGACAATGAGCCAAAACCGATATTCCGCAAATTTACGGTTTGGGCTATGTACAACATTAGCAGTACTTGTAGAGTATGTATGTACTATTCGTAACGTTGACTATACTCTGTATATGTACTATTTGTAACATGCTTGAAATAGTAATCTGGACCGGCATTAGGGCCCCCTGGCACACGTTTCCCGGTAACGTACTGTACGTACGTGCAACGCCTTCTCTTTAAACTGCATATTACAAAACTGCCTTTGCACATCACAGCTGTGATAAAAAACTTTTGATTAACCCAATGCGTTGGTGCCGACACTGGTGCCGCATTAACGATGAAATGAAACAAATTTCATGCATTAAAGTTTAAACGGTCGATGGTATTAATTATTGAACGATGCTGGAAGATCATCGTAACTGGAACTGCGTATTCACCTCTTTAAGGTACTGGCTTAAATCACTATTTCATGCTTTGGTTGGAAGATAACATCTTGTTTGGTAAACGAAGAAACCTACATTTAATATACAAAACATAGGAGCAATCCAACTATTATAATTCCAATAACAATGGGAGTAAAATGGTGGCCGACAACAGAAAAACGAGATGCACCGATATTACACAATCAGTTAACAGAGCTGTTGGCTGCGGCTGGCTTACCTAATTAGCGTTGATGCTATTACTGTTCTTAATCAAGAGATTATTCCTAAGATTATTAATTATTCCGAAGGACTAGCAAAAGCTGATCTTTCGGAACAATCAATAATCTACCGGCACACTCACAATGGCGTCATTCGCCAAAAAAGTTAGAACTGATTGTAATGATATACTTTATGGTATTTCGCTTTATTGTCAGTTTTAGTGTATTATTCTTCATCATGGTGAGCAAACAACGACCGTTACGTCTGTGTAATACGTAATTATGAAGAGTTGTAATAAGAGCATCATCATCCCGCTAAAACCCAGGCCGGGTGTCCTTGACTTCTCACAGCTCGTGTCATCGGACTCTCATCTGGCAACAGAAGTTTCAGTATTGGTGTATCAGAGCAAAACAACAAGCGATCCAGCAAACAATAATCTGTCCTAACTTGGGACATCATTATAACATGCACCGTTAGGTGAGAAACACTTTAGAAGTAATCGTAAGTCCGAAATCAAGCGGTAGAAACAGAGCTTTCGATCACCCTATCAGTATTAGTACAACAAAATTTACATTCGAAATCCATTCTTCAGACGTTTCTTGAGGTGTTCATTACAATAACCCCTCCAATACCTGCATAAATTCTACTCCTCGTAAAGGTACGGATAGAATGCACATAACTGATCAATGTTCTTCGCCAGCTGAATGAGGAAATGCAGCGCAATGCGTGACAACTTCCCCATCTGCAATCCCTGCAGACCATCGACGCACCATTTCTTGCCGCGATAATGCACCGACGAGCGCGGATCAGCTGTCTGCGTCGCACACAGAACCTGGAAAAATCAGCCAAAATGTCAAAGCTTTTCGAAATGCACAAACAGCGCGAATTACATTGCGGACTCTGTCCGTCACCTTGCAAACCAACGTCCGGTATTTCCATCGAAACTGAGGTTCTTCGTTATTGTATGGATCAGCAGTCCGGTCCAAAGACGTCAACAGGGTACGCAGCTCCTCCTCACTCGGTCTCAGCAACCCCGCCTCCAACGCTTCCCACATCGTGCTGGTTAGATCAGCGTTCACTGCCAGGCGCGCTCGGGGAATGTCGATAACACATTCACCGAGCATCGTGCCGAAGGACAGTGTAAAGCGGCACTGGCTCACCTGGATCCCATCACACGGAAGATGGCGGCATGTGGCAATAAATTCATCCAGGGAACTGTCGCATTGGAAAAAACCGTTTGCAGCGCTCACAGCTGTCTCCGGATGATGCAAAGGACATTTGTACCATTCCAGCCTATGGTTGCAGCCCACCCACCTGAGCCGGAATGTATGTCGCACCACATTCAGCGCCGTAAACCGAACTTGGGGAGTGGTCTCCTGAACGTACCGCACCATGTCCGCCATTTTGTAAAAACTACTCACCTGTTCAAAGTTTACCGCGTAACCGACTACAGTGATGCGGCGCGTGGATGGTCGTAGACATTTGAATATGGGAGCGGTCAGATTATAGTCCCGTCGTTCATATCGCCCCAGCTCGGAAATCCCGTAACAATGTTAGCTGTCAGCAGAGGGGATTGCAGGATGGAATCCCATGTTGAGCACACCCCACGCAGTTTATTTTGCATCAGCGTGTTCAAATGGAAAAACACCTCCAGCCACAATTCCACCGACAGCACCTTGATGTCGTCCAGCAGGGCAGACCCCGCGGACGAAGCCTTATACGTGTTCGCATTAGAGGGAAGATATTCACCGACCATACGATGGAATGCTTCCAGGTCTTGCTGCAAAAAAAATCATCAAACTTTTATATAAACAGAAGTTTTAGAGGAAAAAATGGCTCATACTTACATCGTGTTCACAGGAAAACGGTTTCTCGGGATCTTCTAACATATAGTCGTTGCCGCGACGGTCAAGATACCACATAAACCCACCCCTGGTCTCCAGGAATGCGGTTTCCCGTTCAGCCATCTCGTCAAAACAGTTGGTGCTGTTCTGAAGCGTCTTCTGTAGTTTTTCGACCGAAACCGAATAGTGTTTCCCGGTTAACGTCATCCTGCGCATTATAAATGAGTTCCTCCCAACGCGTCTCCCTACAACCGGGCCGCCATATTCATCGCGAAGTGCTACTCGATGTTGTGCATTGTCAACCCCATTCCACCAAGTCTGCGGAACTCTCTGGCGGATTTGCGCACATGGGACGACATCCGTACGTGCCAAGTTGTTGCCCCAGTTCACGACGGCGACATCGTACCGGTCGTGCCATTTGCCACGCGCCAAATTGATCATTTCCGCAGGAAACCACTTCCATGGGCTGGAAAGAGACGCACGCATCAAGACCTCCACAGGAATCATCGATCGGCGCTGAGCATACACTTCTCCCATACCGAATCCAACCAGATGACGAGATCTCCTCGTCAGGAAGACATTGCTATCGAAAGGGAAAAATCGGCGTCTTCCCGTGGGACATCGGAAATCCACGAAGAATCCGTTGTCAGCTAGATCCACCACGCGTCCGTAACGGATCAGGCCGTCGGCGTCCACAACATCAACACCGTTAGCTTGGTGGATGCCGCCGTACATGGTTGAAACAGTGCAACGCAATGAAAATTAACGGAGGAAGAAATGAAAAACGGACTTTGACGGCACCGCTGGTCTTCGCTCTGCAGTGTTCAGTACAGTACTGTACTGTAATGGCAAAGTTAAGAAATAGAATACATTCCATCGATGCCAAAAAACCGTAGATTAGGGATCAAACAACCAATACCATACACATTGTCTATAATATACAATGAACAGCCATAAATATTTTTATTAGTCAACACTCAACATCCAGAGAGGGGAGAGAAGCCAGAGAACCCTGTCATTCAATGCTGATATTGAGTGATATCTCTCGTAAGTACTAGTACAGTAATCGGAAGTACAGATACATCACAATGATTAACATTCGCCTCCAACAATCGCATGCCGTATTGGCTATACGTAACTGCTGCTACATGGGCGCATGCCCATCACAGTAGTACGGTGGACACTTTGAATTTGAACTTCATAACACAACTGAAATGGCTGCCATACCAATAAATCTCAGTACACCATATGCTGTACTTACGTCATGCGTGCCATTGCGTGGCCTAAGCCGAACGGGAGAAAATCGGGAAGTACCAGAACATCACGCAGGACTATCTATTCCGTGCGGTAGGCGTTGAGGCATTGGGACCACTCGGTCCGGGAGCCTCTCAGCTAATCGGTGAAGTGAGTAAGATGATTCGTCAGGAAACAAGCGAGATGCGTGCAACGGAATAGGTTCAGCATCGAAATCCAACGTGGAAACGCGGCATCCATCCTGGGAACGGCACCAGCCTCGGCTAATTTAGATCAAACGTTCTCTGTAATTCGGCCGCATGTTTCCGCTGCTTGTTAAATTTACAATGTAATGTTTCTTTTGTAGTTGTTAGATTGTTTTTGTATTCGCACATAAATAAAGTAACCTCGAACATACAATACTACGTAGTACGTACATGTCCACAAGGAAACGAAAGGTTGCTCAAGATAAGCAGCCTGTTCTATTAACGTTGCCGATCGTCGTCCGATACAGGGTACTTAAGTTGCAAAGCGTTTGCAGTAATAGTGCTGGTAATTATTTATTTAATGCAATACCGATTTTCACAGAAAACGAAGTTAATCTATGTACCTCAAAAGCGTCCGTTGTTTGACTTTCAGGCGTGCACCGGATGGCAATCAAATTCCCGCGTTATGTTCACTTAAATATTCACGCGCGGCCGTTTCGACGGAGAGATACTTCTTTTACCAGACCTAATTTTTAATAGGCTCAAATTAAAACAGAAAATAAACTTAAGAAACCCAGAGAAAAACCTAAAAGACTTAGACTTTAGAACCCATAGAAATTTAAGAAATCTAAGAAACCTAAGAAGAACAAGAAACCTAAGAATAACCTTAAAACCTAAGAAACCTCCTGGAAACTAAAAAAACCATGTATGTGGAATTATGCCTGTCGAATTCGTTTGCGGCAATTGTACGGGACGAGACATGTTGTATCAAACTGTCGCAAAGACAGATCGTCTCAAAGCTTCAAAGCAGAGTGTCCAAAAACCGACGTGTCCCAGCGTCCGTATGTCCGGTGCTGGAATGTCTTCGCGGCGAAAGTCGCGCGTCGAAACTGAGTGCGGCGCAAATGTCACACTCCCAATTGTCCAGGTGCGGTTCATGGCCAGTTACAGCAGATAGTATTCCCACTTGAAATGTAATGAGTATTTTCATTCTTAGGTTTTAACTGGTTATTCTTAGATTTTCTTGGGGTATTTTTCGGTTTTGTTGACTGCTTTGATAAGCCTAACAAAAACTGCCTAAAACCCCAACGTCTTTCGCCAAGAGTGCCTTGCGGCGATTCGCCGGCGAAACGGCTCCCGGCATGATGTCCTGCCACCCCATATCCCTCGGAGGACGAGATGAACTTGCGGCGGAATTTCTGCGAACAGATGTCATGGGACTAGCTGTCCTCGGCAAAATCTCGCAATGTCGTTTAAACGGGAATAGTCGACGGATTCGTGGATTATTCCTCAATAATACGGTGGACGATTTCCGTGTGTGTATGCGTTTCAAACAGTACAAATTTGTTTGTTATTCCTGACCCAAACGTTTGTTTCGCATGGCGTCGGGTCTCTATCCACTTTAGGTCACTGGATAAGCCGCGTTTGTTTTTGCCATATTCGCAAGACTCGCACAGTTGGCCAAGGAGGCTGTTGAGGTCACTATATGTACGCCTGTTTTGATTAACCCACATTCGCAGTTGATTAACCCTTCCCGTGCTCTCTGTTTTCTGTTTTGCCTTCTGTTTTCTAGCTGTCCGGGGAGCCACTGGATATACCGACTGTATCTGTAGCCGAACTTCCATTTTTATACACGACAGTGCAGCTGCAACCAGCAATGCGGCGCGGGTGAACATTTGTTTGAAAAGTATACTAGTATTTAAAGTAAAGTATAGTAAAGTATAATGGTATTTGCAGAAAGACCAAAGTACTTAACACCGCAATTTGCAAATACCAGAAAAACAGAGTAATACTTGCACTCAGTCGCACAGAAGTTCAATAGTTTTTTCTTGAAAAATTTCACGGACCGAATGAAATGCAATAGTAACGGGAAGGATATTATTAAAACATTCCAATAACATAATGGCATAAAACGGCTCATGGTCTCAGTCTAAGTTTTGCAGGTATGCTACGCGTTCACCTGAGTCAAGCGGTAATTCTGGCAATGCGCTAATCCCGCTCTTGTGATTGGAAGTAAGTCACAAATACCCGGGAAAAATTAGCAGTGGTTGAATACTAAATGTACTCGTACACTCAAAACAGCTGAAAAACCTTGCTAATATTAGTAATGACCGTGTAGCAGTTATGAACAACTTTCTTTTATGGTCTGCAGGTTGTCGTACTAGTCTTCGAAGGTGAACGTAACCGCGGTTCCCAGTGACAAACTGCGACATGTACGCTAACTGCGCCGATGCAGTGTTGATACACCGATTGTTTTCTGCCGCCATCTTCTGCGCCGGGACGGATTGAACGGGATAATGATCCGGCTGAAGCATTCTCTGTCCAAAGCCAGTTGAGCGCTGCACACAGAAGTGTTCTCAATGCGTGCTAGAAATATGCAAAAATTATAAAAAATCACCTTTTCTGTGATATTTTCCGTACTGTTAACCACTGACCCGTCTCCGCTTAATAAATTACTGTAATCTGCTTGGGATTCGGTTTGTTCTCGTCCGAACTGTTAACAGCATAAAACAAACACGATTAATTACACGCTTACATTGTAAAGGCTAAATTCTAACCAGCAAACATATTATCACACAACACGTACAAAAAATTAAAATCGTAACCCGGCAGCCAATTTCAGTAAAAAGCTAATAATCATTTTAATTTGTTAAAGCCCAGTTGATAAGATATAACACGGTCCCTTCTCACGCCAACTGTGTCAAATTTTTTATTTCAACACATTTCGTGAGCGAGCTTGTCCCTACTCCCTGCATAAGTTGAAAATAAATACTAGATATACAAGATATTCTGAAAAAAAATTAAAACCATATGCAGCTCATGGTGAATGCACGCAAATCCACGAGTAAAAAAGAATTATGTTGCTGAAAATGAATCTGCAGACTGTTTACATAACTAATACTAATACTAAAAACGTAACTGTTTGTATTTGTTTACGTAAATAACACTAGAAATCAGAAAAAAGGAAAGGAACTGGACTGCCGTTCTTACAACATGCTGCGCCAACCTTTGTCGCCTGAACTTTAGCGAGCGCAATTACTTTTCTCTCCCGGTAGGAAAATTTTAACAAAACAAATTTTTAACAAAATTTCGCCAAGACGTACTCATCATCGCCATTTTCCCCGCTGCTGTCCAGGAATAGGGTCGGCACTTCGCCGGCCTTGACATGGGGTTTGCGGAAGAAATCAATCTGTTTGGGCTCAAAGTGCTTCGTACAGATCAGCATATGCCGGCGGTCCAGTGTTTCCTGCGGCAATTTATCCAGCAATCCGCAGTCCTCCAGATACTTGCGTCGTTTAGGACCCTTCATGGGAATCTCGGAGAAGCGGATTTTGGACCAGTCGACACTGCGCACCCGGTTATGACACGACGGGACGATGCAGCGGAAGTTCTTGCGCGTGTGCCAGGCCGACGGCGGCTGTTCATCCATGAAGGTGGTGATCTCTTCGACATCGTTTTCCGGAGCACCGTCCTGTGAAATCAAGATAAACAAGCCGTCCCTCGATTAAAACAGAAGACTAATTCATTATGTTACCGATTATTACGCCAATTCATCCAATTACGGTGCACCTTACATTAGTACATTTTGCACTAAACAATCGTAAATTCATCTAATTCAATAACAATAGTTTAAATGTAAATATTATGTAATCTCTCATTCTCTCAATGAAAGTAAAATAATTCCCGGAACAAAATCAGCTCATTAATTAAGGTTGATTTCAAGGATAGGTCAATCTAAAAAATCACCGTAGTAAATGATCAACGTGAGAAGTGTAAGGGCCGTAAGGTAAATGATCTGTTAAAAACTGCCTTGGCGATACTCGATACAGACATCACTGAGGCGTGACAAAGCGAAAGTACAAAAGTAAATTAAGTCGTTTAAATTTAAAAAAATCAAAATTAACAGCTTAATAATGCTGACAAACCTAGTTTATGTGTAAGTGGAGAAATGAAAATTAAAAAATTCACTAAGGCCTGCTTTATAGCTGCTGTTCAATCACCACAATTCCGCTTTTTTTCCACGCAAACTTTTTTAATTAGAAATTATTTTTTAATTGCCACAAATACTAGTATTAACACATGATGTCCTTACCGCTTCGCGGTCAGCCGCTTCCTTATCGAATTCCTCCTGCGTCAAAAAGAGCGACGGCAGCGTTCCGGTCTTGACGACATACTTGGCCTTCAAATCCACCTCCTCGGGCGGGAAGTGCTTAGAGCAGATGAAGATATTCCGTGCCGCGGTATAGGGCACCCCTATGACGTCCATGTAGCCGCGGCGCGCCGCCGGGTTGGTTCGCGGCAGCATGATGAAGCGCACCTTGGTGTAGGCGGTGTTGCGCGCGGTATTCTTGCAGAACGGTACAATACAGCGGTAATTCTTCAGTTTGGCCGACGCCGGCTGTTCATAGTCGAGCAGACGCGGGTTGATGGGGTTACGGCGGAATTTCGGGACTTTATTGCGGACAGGCTTTTTGGGAACCTCCTTATTGCGGTCGTAGGCTTGCCCATTCTCAATGGATTCCAGCAAGGTGGTGATCAGCGCTAAGAACAATCAGAATGACAAATAAATTGGATTGCCGGAAAAATATTCGCGAAAAATGTAAACTTACCACACGATTAATCATAATTAGAAGTGTCATAAATGGTTTATTTTATTGGTTATAATAATTTATTTGATGATTTCTAATCCCCGTGATTTATTCTGTAACAGTCTATCCACTTTTCAGTTTTGAATAACCGTACAGTAAACTTGTAAGATTAATATGGACAACCAAATGATCCAAATCTGTTCCAACTGAGCCAGAAATTTACGACATTCGTAGTGCAGTGACGCAGAAATTGAATATAATGCAACTGCATGCGTATGGAGCAGACCGATCTGCCCGCCCAAGCATAATTACTCGTTCTATTTTCAGTTTTGTTAATTATGATTAAGTAAAAATAAGCAAGAACTTGTCTATGATCCCCGGATATTACGATCAACAAGTCACGAACGGGAATAACACCTACCGGGATTAGCTGCGACGGCTTCAACGTATTCCGGCTCGCCTTTGTCGCGGAAGCTCTGATCCATGGATGGAAAGTAAGGACTCAGCTGGCGTCCTTTCAACTCCCAATCATTTTTCACCAAAAACTTGGTATCTTTCTGCAAACAAACAGCGTATTCAGCAAATTCAAGTGCGCCGCAGTCCACAGCTATAAGAGAAAAATCTTAGGATTATCAACATGCGACACATGCGATATCCGTCCAAGAACTTATTATATTCAAACATACACTTTAATTTTTGATATTAGTATAAATCGAATATCAAAAGTCAACGAATTATTACTTAATTTTAATACCTGATCAGATGTAAAACTATTCCAAAAATTCGCATAGCCATCTAAATCACGTGAATTCTTCTAACAAATACTGTAACTGTGTCACAGTGTCAGTAACACCACGAAAATATGTGGAAATCAGAGAAAGTTACGAAATTCGAAATATTCTGTTTTCTGCTGGGGAAAAAAATTTATATGTAATGATTTTTAGTGATTGTTGCTCGCTTCGCGGTATGAGAGGTGCTCGAATTCCTCGGCGAAAAGGAACTCTTTAGCTAAACGCGGCAGTTTACGCACTGGCGGCTGCGGTTCCACCGCGCTGCTGTCTGAAATACTGATGCCCGATGGGATGTCCACAATAGGACTGCACTCCGGACTGCGAGAGTGACCTCCGGCTTCTGCCAGTTCCATAAGGTAACTGAAAAAGTTTTGCTTATCTATGGCGCTGGGCAACGAAATTTCGGCAGGCAGAAAAATGTAGTCCAGGCTACAGCAGGTCCCCACCTACATAAAGCACATACAACTTGAACACAAATAAAGTGTACAGAGGTGCAAACAACAAAACTAAAGCATCCGCACGTTTTGGCCTGCAAATTAAATTCGTAGCCGGATATTACTACCTAGAGTATATGTTAAATCACAATCCGGTTATTTTTTCTGATAGGTTTTAAATCCCCATTCAAACGTTTGACCTAGGTGGTGGTGGCTTTTTGATCTACTCTAGGTGATAAATTCTTATCCAAGCATTTTGAGTACGAGTACAACTAAAGACAGCTCGGTACATGGCGCCAGATTCGTGTGCATGCACGAAGACATTTCCTTTCGCCGGTGAAAAACAGTTTTTTGCACTGATTTCCAGTGAACTTCAAAAGGATGTTACACTTATGTACAAGTATCAACAAAACGCGCGCAATTATACACTTATCTATAGAAGTACTTAAACAGCAACTTCCGGCTGGCCATCTTTCGTCGACTAATATTATTAAATCCTTGTCGGCCGAATGCTGTCGTTTGTCTTGTGCAATTATGATTATTTTTGTTGATTTATTTTTGCAACGTTTTGTTTTTTTTTTTGTTTTCTTCCGGCTGGGGCATTGTTTGTTTAGAACGGGGTAAGACGGCATGCGGAAAATGTACAATAGACGAACACCGCACAAATAGATGCTTCTGTATACAGATTCTGGGCTGGCCATCGGCCTACTGATATTAAGTGATAAATTCGTATGTGAACATTAGTAATATGTCGCGCCTCATCAATTTATTTTGTCACGTACTGTATGCTTCACTTTAGATCGGTCTTCACTGTACTTGTAGTCAATATTGTGTACTATTCAGATTGTGTAATATTCAGATACGAATTATTCGAGTACGTATTCTAAAACGTACAGATACGACTTCAAAACAAATCGGGTGGGAACCAATTTTTCTCCCAGACCAAAACGTCAGGAGACGAAATTATTTTTCGAAAACCTTTGGGTACGAGTTTATAGTTTGGCACACCCGCGTCCAGATACGAAATTACGTCCCAGCGGGAAAAACCGAATACGAATTGCACTTATATACATGCCAGAACTTTTGGATAATAATTTACCCTCTTCCATCTTGTTTACGGTCGAAAACGCAAGAAAGACTGAGTGGGCAAAATTTACGGCGGACGTTTCAGCGCCCCGGACGTTTTGGACGGTTACGCACCAGTTTGCACAACACGAACACGGCTGTCCCTTCTTACTTAGTGTATTGCCGCCTATACCGTCAAAGTTTTCTTATCTTAATATAGCTTTATACGATAAGTACGTACGAGTTGCTTGCAAGCAACTCGTATGCAATGAATACGTAATACAGGTCACCGTTCCAGCTGTTAGAGCGGCATCCGCTCTCTATAGGATCGTTTGATAAAACATTTCGATAGAATTTGTATGCTTTGCCGATAGCCTAGTGGTGCCTCTCTCGGCCTTAGAGTATGGAGGTTGTGGGTTCGATTCCCTCAATCGGCAGATTTTTTCCGAAGTTCTATACGATCCTAGCACATCCCTTGCACAGCGTTGCTTGGACAGACTTGAAAACAACTTGACGTCTGTAACTTGTAAGTGAATGCGCCACCGAAGATGCCATGTTTTCCTCTCGTACCTTTTTCAGATCACCCCGATCTATTAAGTCCGAGATGCAATCCGTGTCCAAAAGGACATTCGTCCTCAACACTACTATCATCTAAAAACACCCAGGGAAATCTATTACGATACAACATACATACTCTCTAGCTATATCCGAGCAAAATCGAAACCTCGACAAGCGAATCCGCCATTTGCAGTTCTTTTAGTGCGAATCCCTTAACGTCTGCGATATTTATACCATGTGGATGCACGCCAAGTATAAGATCCTTTCTCATTCGAACCTACAAGTGGAAACACCATCCCGCAGTTAATTACTGCGCAATAGTGGAATTCAGTAAAATGGGAAACGATACGAATTATCATAACACGTTCCACTTACGTTATTCAGCTTTTTCAGCAGCTCCAGGCTAAATCTGCCCTGTCCAGCAAAATCCCTGCAATATCCCGTCAACTGGTAAAAATAAAATAAAAAGGCAAGGCCTTCTGGAGAATGAGACTTACGTCAAAACGTGATCGAACACAAGTGTGAGAACAATTTCTCTGTTTGAAGAATCCATCGTCGGGTGAGAGCGATCCACACTGACATCTACGAACACAATAAATTTGCAGACTTTAAAGGAAGCGTACCGGTGCATGGTACCAAATTCAATGTGTGGGCGAAACCGCGCTTTTGCGCACCCCAAACACTTTCTGATATCGTTTTGTGACCTTAGCTTGCAGGCCCAGTGTAGGTTGTTGGCCCTAGTATAGCTTGTGAACGTGGACCTGCTTCCTGTATGACAGTATGTTTAGCAACTGTAACTTCTGTGTACGGCAAATTGCAACACAAATGTTGCTCAAAAGAACATTAATACGACATTTTCTACAAACTCTAAGATTGTGTTTAGTGAAAACTGGGTAGGTACAAATGAAGTTAACGCGGCGTAACTACCGTAATTATCGAATTTGCACCTCCCCCCATAATAAGCCCCCTCCCACAACCCGTTTAAAAAATAGCGCCTCCCCCCCGAATTTAGCGCCCATGGGGGCATTAATAAATGTTAAGCGCCCGCCACAAAACGATAGATATACCGCAAACTGCTTCATAATGATTGTTATGATTTTATATAATAAACAGTCAACAGTCACAACAATATTGTGGTGCGATGCTTCAGAATGCTGCTCGTAAGGTTCTGAAACTGCAAATACCGTTATCACTTCGTTCAGTATCAATAGAACAGGATGCGCAGCTGTTTGAAAAATGACGGCCCCGCCGACAAATGCTGTTTGAAAAATAGTACCCCCCCCCCCCGAAATAACGCCCCCTCCCGAAATAAGCTCCCCTCCTCCAGGACGTTTGAACTATTCCAGGAGTGCAAATTCGATAATTACGGTATTTGCAGACAGGCTGACCTTTTTTTGCAGCGTCAAAATGTTGCCTCATTGTCGATTATTAATTTGTTTTTAATCATCTGCGTGAAACTGTTAAAACTGTGAACTGCCGATGATCTTTCCAAATAATATAGAGATGACAATAATTAATAAAGTTGAATACATGTATAAATCTGTTGCTGGCGTAGGTACCTGAATAACTGAAATATTTTGAAGTTGAAAAATCTTTTTGCTCCTCTTTTGTTGTAGCAGGTCAAATTAAAGTCATATTTTTAGTATCACAGACGGACAGTAAAAAACGAATTTTCGTACAGTATTCTCGACATGCAGCGTTTAAGATAGCGCACGTAACTATGCATCGTTAATTAACCCACCGTTGTAACTTTCCTGGGCGCTAAATGCAGTAGCTTCAATGGCGCTGAAATCAGTGGACTCTGTCAACGACTCCTCCCGAATTGCTCTTTTTTTGTTGCCTGATGGGGATGATTTGCCATAAACTGTCTGCCTTTGATTCTGTAAATCCGAAGTACTGGGGTCGCTCTCGAAATTCGCTAAAAATCTTCAAGAGCTGTGCGGCACCGAATTCGTAAAGACTTTCGTACGCGCAGCTGCGCGTTACCGTTGCTCCCGTCGGTTTTCGTGCGTACCTGATGCGTGTCGACTTCCTGAGCCGCATCATTCAATATCTTTTGTATCACCCACGTACTGGAATTGGTCCGCTTTCTAAGCATCGTATACGTGCAACCCTCTTCCCGTAACTTCAGTACTGTTTCCTGTAATAATGCAGTAAGGATTGCAACCAAGTTTATAAGATTTCGGAAACGTCAAATCATTCCAAAATTAACAGGAATTAATTAACCTTTCCTTTCGAAATCATCAAGCTCTTCGAAAGGCCGTTTTAAATGTGCCGCATCAGAACTTTATTTAATTGATTTTAGGGAAGAGTACATGTATCACGAACCAAATGAAGATCTAAGGAAACTTAAAGTGAGAAAGTTAATTATACAATGTATCAGATTTTATACTGGAATACAAAAAGCGAGAACGTTTAAGTTTCGAAAAATATCAAGAAACATCAAGGGAAGTGACCTCGTACACGGTATCAAATATGCATGCACGGAATTTTTTATTTTCATGCCCAGACACTTCTTTGCCTTTTTTATGACATTGTGCAGCCAAATGATTTGTGAACTTACATTGCCGTGAAACCATTTGTCGGTTTTGCGGTTGGGGAGTTATGAGTAGAATAACGTGTGAAGTCCGTGCTTTCTTAGTTAATATTATTTGATAACTGTTCCTTACGACAACTGAATGAGCGACAACCGAAGGAATGATTAATTAAGTATAACACAAGTATTAAGTGCAGTAATACTACACTGACAACGTGGCTACTTGCTAGGACAATAATTATTATTATGTGTAATGAATAGTACAGTACGTACAACAATAAGGTCTCATGGTTAAATGGTTAAACGCGAACAGCTATTCCTTTGTCACTTCATGTAAAGTCTTATTACAATCATACTAGCGGTGGTTGCGAACCACATTATTGCACGAGCGCGGGCGCCAATACCATTGGGAAATTTTATTGGGATTGTGGAATTGGAAAAGCGTGACGTACGAGCTTCGTGGCGTCAGACAACTTTTATGCTCTTGACGAAGACTTACTGCAGCATTCGCGCTCGGTGCAAATTAACAGATCTGTTTTCGAAATTTGCACCCACTTGCAGAATGCATATAAGTGTCACGCCTTAGAACATTGAATAACGAATGAATACAGCAACAAGGACAACCAAGAAAATACCCACAATTATTGGCACGTTGCCATGCACGATGTAGACATTCTCGTGAAATACGAGTACTACGTCACAACATCACAATAAATATGAGAGATCGTTCTGACATCGCCCCAGGGACATAAAAATTTATAAAATTTTACATTAAATTTTAAAATTTGAGAATAATTTTGAAATTTATTTTAAGCTCTAAGAAATTTCAACAAATGAATTCGTTTTAAAATTTCAAGAAAATGCTGGACCCTGAAGTCTGTGTAAGACCCATAATCTTATAACGGTTCTGCTTGATTGTTCTACGCTATAATCTATAGAAGATTGGCGGAAAAAGACTTTTGATACACCGGCGCAAATGTTTGCGTTTACATTCTGGAATTTTATTTACGTACTTGAAACAAATATCCCCAACCGGATGCTGCGTGCACAAACGATTTTCACGTCAATGTACTGCAATGATCTTGCTGCTCAACGTCGCAGAAATGCGAAGAAAGGTCTGGGCATGTGCGAAAACGAAAGTTCAGTTCGTTACCATGTACCGCGGGTCACTTTTTAAGTACATATTTCTTTGGTTTTGAATTTGTGTTCTAATCAGCTGACATTTCAGATTTTTTCCAAATCGGCTCAAAGGTGTTTAAATTGCAACATACCCGCAAATAATTGTGCTTGTAATGGTTGGGGTCCCGCGTTTTGCCATACTGCTCCAGTAGCGTCGTGTATTGGTAGTAGGTTAGATTGAACTGGCGCATGATATCGGTAGAACTGTGACCTTCGTCGAACAAATGCAAGGCTTCGTTTTTTTGCTTCAAAGTAAGAGGCAAGTTATCCCGCCTTGCAAAGCTCCTGCCAGATTGCCGAACCACGATGTCGACCCTCATATCGCCCACTTTGGCCTCGCGCATGATATCCGTTCGCTGGCATCCTTGCTCGAATAATTGGAGGATCAGTTTCCTCTGTTCATCACTGACCACCGGCTTCCTGGCATCTGAGTCGTGCTTAACCTGATTGGCAGCGCGGAGAATGCTGTACACGGTTGCCAAATTGATTTGCAGCCGCTTGGCAATCTCCCTCCGCGAGCATTGTTTCTCACGGTCTAACTGAAGAATTTCTTCTTTCTCCTCGTCGGTTAGCCGCTTCTTCTGCTGTCTTCCTTCCTTCAACAGAAACCGTCCCAATGTGGTACGACTAATACCGACACGATCCACAATCTCTTGCCGTGTACAACCGTGGTCCAGTAATTCGAAAATCTGCTTCCTTTTTTCCTCGTCCATTTAGTTCCTGAATGACCACGTTACGGTCGACCTTCTCCCACCAGAATAAAAAGCAATTCAATTATTTCTGCTCTGTATACTTTTGTAGTTGATGGATTACGACGGTAGGTTCACAAAACGTAGTTCTTCTGCTCTAGACATGTGCCTTACTTAGACTACGAGGCTTTTGGTGTTGAAAGTTGCAGTTTCAGCTGAGAAAAACATGAATGCCTTTTCCTCAAATACAACTGGGATAAGGTAGGTTAGGGATACATTTATGCATTTATTAATTTCAACATCAACGGGTGATGATGGTTTTGTACAAAAGTAAATTTCAAAATTCTAAAGAGTTCAGTAAAATTGTTTTGCTTGGCCAGACCTTAAACGTTTGGGTCTGTTTTATCGAAGAACTTTTATCCCTACCTACCAGCTCTGTTTTTTTCAATTCGATCGAACCTCTGGCCATTGCTGTTGGCCAAGCCCGCCCGCGTGACTTGTTATGGTCGGCGACGTGTTCATCAGAACAAATGCGTAACAGAGTATAGACACGTCAAAAATTCTCGAAGAACAGTTCGTACAAAAAAGAGAAACAAAGAACAGAAACTGGCGGCCGAAAAACTTTTGCCGAAATGAACGTGGCCAAAATTAAACGGCCAAAGTGATCGGTAGCCATCCGCAATCTTGCGCCATTGTGAGATACGGTCACTGTCTGCCCGTTACCGGGCATCGATAAGTCACAACGAACAGCTAGCAGCGTGTATGACTTTTTCCATACACCTGACTCTGTGCTGCAAGTTACTGTACAGTAATCGGACGGATACGGTAAATTCAGCTGGGAGGAGGCCATTCAGGCTGGCCGTTGCTAAAATGTATTGTGCTTCCAAAGGATTTTCAGCAATGCGCAGAACTTACGACGATGTGGCTCCGCCTCACTCATAAACGCGACTATGTACTCTGTACATGCACACAGTTGGAGCAGAATATTATGCAGACTTGAAGCACTTAGAATTTTAATTTGCAAAAATCGGGATGTCATCCAATAAGTACAGTATTTCGGCGTCATGCCAGAATTATAATATCATGCGCGATGGCATGTTATTATTGCGCAATGCGCATCATATAGAATCGTCGAGCTAGACCATAATCTCAATGGGCCCATAATATACAATACATATGCTTTAACTAGATATAAAACTTATGACGTAATTACTTACCACAGTCCACGGGCGATTAAATGCTTAAAGTACATACAACTGTATGTACATACAAGCGTGGCAACGATAATTTTTTTCACCTTTACGTATTTCTTGTATCGCAAAAGACGTCCGATATACGAGTACTCAGTATTATTCAAGATTTGCTCTTTGTTATTTTGATCCGCTTCACGCCCATAGGAATTCCAACAGTATTTGATCAAGATCTTAAGCGAATACCAATAATATATTTTCAAAATAAGATAGCTGAATTAATTACCCTTTTCGCAGTGCAGATTAGTAGAACATTAGCTGGAAAAAGCAACCGCAATCATTCCACAAGAAGCAACCGACTGCCAAGTACGCTATGCAAGCGTACAGAAGTACATAAAACGGTGCGACGAAGTTGAAGCAGGACTGTACTCAGCGAGTTACGTACAGTCTTGGTTGAAGTACAGTCTTACCTTGAGTAAAGTCTTGGTTGAAGCCACCAAGGATGAGTGACTGAGTTTCTCATTCAAATCTTTCAACAAACATGATTTTCTTCATTTGGCAGAAGACTGGGGAGACGGCCGACACCGGGCCTGTGCAGTTAACCACAGCCCACAGGCAGCTGCCTCGCTGATGTGAATTTGATTGTAGGACTGTAGCGCCCTAGATCACGTCAACACGTTGGGGGAATCGAAGGAGCAGTGGTCACTGGCTAGCTCATATGCTGCACCCGGTATTCGTAAGGAATATGAGCCGCATATCGTACAATATAATTATGCAGGTTTGTGTAAAGGCATAGCACGAATGAAGGTCTGTTATATACAATACTACAGACTATGTATATGCGCCTTCATTCCTGCTATGGTAAAGGCCAAATCACGCCTCATTACGCAGCTGACCTGTGGCAAATTTCAATTTACCGAGTGAAATTTCTTCGCTGTGCGGCACAGCGATGCACTTCGGCATTTGCGATAAGCAAGCGGCCGGCACCCATGCTATAGACACCATGTTCAGGGAATCTTTCGCACGCGGGAAGGGTAATACAGGACGGGCAGGGAAAGGGCGCAGACGAAGAATGCTTAAGCAGCGTTGTTGTGAAGCAAATCTGAAAAGCATTTAGATTCTGAGTATTTCTATGTTAAAATTCCAACATGACATTTTCTTTTAAAAAATACAAGCCCAAAAGGTGAAATATGCTAAAAAAATACTTGGGAGGTGTTCTTTTGTTATCGTGACTAATATTGCCAACGGTGATTTTGATTTTCATAATAATAATGGTGCAAGATGCAAGATGTCGAGGATTCATGATGTTATTAATTTTATGGTCAAAATAAGCCAAATTGTTCTTAATTTTTTATGCTATGCACGGACACCTACTGAAAATCCTTATCAGCCATTTAGCTAAATGCTGAGCGAATTCAGACATAAGCTGATGCGGTCTACCGCTTAACTGGAATGTAATTATATAATTATGGTAACAAGAAGTAATCGCAACGGCAACTTAATTGTAAAAAGCACATAAAAAAGCACATTTTAGAAGCACATAGGTAATTGTATTTTCAAAACTGATTTCTTAATTTTGATGTAGTGATCAAACTTCGAATTTTAATTCCAGATTATGGTATGACTCTGGTATTGCCACTACCGTAGTAGTACTGACACGAAACCAAAAACACTTGAGAAATCTAAAATAACGAAAGAAAATAAAGGTTTCCGGCCGCACCGATTTCCTAAGCGGTCTACAACAAAAGTGAATTTTATTAAAAAATGGATGGTAACATCAATACAAAACGGACTTGGGCTGGGACCTTGCAGAACACTGACAGCAATTGCGGGTACCATAACTCCCTCTCGAAGTAGATACCCACATTTTGATTGCAATAAAGATTAAAAGTAGCCAGCCCCGGTATCTGATTAAAGTCATGACTGCGCTGGAGCTACTGTATGTGGAACACAAAAATTAATATTGTTGCATAGCGGCACGTTATGAAGACACCGGAAAAGGCACGTTCGTAGGCGCAACGGCAGCTGTTCAGTATTTGCTACTGGAAGACTTAACGGCTTGCTAGCGATGATAGCATTGACATATTCTCCGCAAAGGCCCAAACTGCATCCATTTGATCGAATACATGGGATCTTCTCTTGGCCCGGTTGCAAAATGACATCGAGGTGGCTATTACTAATGTGCACAGCAGCTATGATTGTGGAAAATTCGTTACTGGGTAAGCAGATTTCACAAACGTTCGTATGGGATTTAATTCCGGTTAACGCAAGGAACAAGCATGATCACCAGTAAATTCTTCGATTTCAGTTTTTGCAACCGCTGCCAGTGGGGAGGTCTTACTATGTGGCGCACCGCAGAATATTGAAAGCTCTCCCCGAATCCACTGGGGATATATTGCATCACCTAATCATGCCGGCTCATACAAAGGGAAAGCGCATCTTAATCGGCAATGGGAATGCATGTTCAAGTTTTTACCGAAAGCAGACGAACAAATTCAACTAACGTTTACTTACTTTAATCTTCGGGAATCCGACACATCCCGAATGTGAGTATTTCCATCTAAAATTTCGTGTGGAAAACATACTTATTAAGTTACATAACTAAGTGGACAAAAAGACATGTTTTCACGAGGTCGCAATGTCATGACACTGAACCACCGTCGATAGAGACTGTTTTTTTTTTAATTTCGTAAAATACTGTACTTGTAATGGATCTGCTGATGTATCGTATGATAAATTGTTTTCCGTGTAGTGATAGTGATACCAAAGGTTTTTGTTTTATTTGCTTGTAACGTATATATTTCCCAACCTTGCGCTCATTCACACTGTAACTGGGTCTGTCACAAAAAAAACAGCAAACAACTAATGGCTTTATTATATAGAAGATATACGATAATGAGAGAGTTATATGTTGCAAATACGGTAATACCTATAGGTTTATATATTACATATTTTAGCATCTTGTAACTTGTAGTATCCTCACTATCGTACATCCGGAAGGTGCAGTGCATTACATCCATGAATTGATCGAAAAATATGGTTTTCTACAGTACCGCTTTTAGTTCTCCCAGTGTTGTGAGCTCTAACTCACCAGGAAAGTAGTAACAGGACAGCTAACCATACAGTACATACACGTGTATAGGTAAGATATTTGTAGTTGTAAATTTCGTTTCGTCTATGGTTGGTTAACCGAAACTGGGTGGTCATTATCTAATATAATTGCTAACGAAGCATACAAACGGACCAAGTGCCAAATGCAAAAGACCTGAATGAGCCTGCTTCCGATATGTCCAGTTTTTACCTAGAGAGCAAACCTGTGATTTTTCGGATTCTATCAAAATTTTCGTGGGCACCAGCAATCCCAACGCCTCCGAGCACGGAAATCTGATTGGAGAATACTGTGGCCGCAAGCAGCCCGAGGCTATTATGGCCGTTGGACCAACGCCTTTGACCGTCTTCTTTACCGTACGAATAATGGAAAGGCATGACATATTCCACGCATCTTTACCGTACGAACAATGGAATGGCATGACATATTTCACGTATAGAAGAAGTCCACGCTCATTGTACATGTTTAAAGCCAAATACACATTCCGGAAGGATTATGGATTAACCAAAACGGCCGCACAACACAACCGCACAGCAGGTATGGATCGGTCGGATCCTAGACAGTAGTCAGCATTGGGACCTCTTTGGGAGTACTTTTCTCTTTCTGCAAACTTGTTCGCAGTGTTAATTATTATAGTAATGTTGTGATACAGTGGCAAATTCTGAAATTTCTAGGGTGTCATTTTGTATATGATGGGAGAAGAGTGCCGGCCACAGGAACATTCGAAAGGTACTTGATCATTCGTCGTCTGATCATTTGGGGTTCAAATTTGCCACCATTTTTGCATTCATGACTGACTAGTTTGTTATAAGTGTTTGTGAAATTTGTTTATCATATGTTGATGTCTAGCCCAAACTTTGGAGGATACTATCCCTTTTCCACCAACTGCATTTATACATTCAGAACATTCAACAACCAAAGTCTTCAACTGCGATTTAGCACATTCGAAGTGGCGGGACAAAAAGAGTAAGTCGTCGTTTCGAGATTAGACTACGCACAGTACGCAGAGATAATAAAAAATACATAACATATTGTAAGCAGCAACAGAACTGCAAAAAATCATTTTGAACAGTATGGAAAAGATCAGTCAGCCTTGCTCTGACATCGGCGATTTTGTTTTGCGCAGAGTAAACTTATGATTTGTTTTCCTGTCGATTCACACTGCATTATCCAAGTAGCAGTGCTCAGCATTCTCTTACAGTCGCAGTTGTCGGGGAAAGGGTGACGATACGCTGCAAATTAAAGAGGGTGAACACCGGTATGACTGGACTGATTTTGCTGCTCCAGCCGAAAATGATCCGGCAAAACGAGAGCCCACTAGCAACCTATACTGCGGCTACAAATCCCCACCCCAGTTCAATTCTACGAGCAAAGTTGTTTACGTAATTTTTAAATCAGGACTGCGGCGTACGAATCTTGGCTTCCAAGGGACTTACGCATTCTTCGGACATCCAGGAATTTACCTTCCGGATACTGTGACAGCGGTTTGATTTTATAATGTTAGCGAGCAGTGCTTTCTGCATATTACTTGATTTAGGAACTGCTTGACTTTTGTGTGAAGAAGCACCTGTTATGGAAACAAACAAACGCTTAGTCAAGTTTCCTATTCAGTTACTTGTTCGACCTGGGCGGCTGATGGAAGCTGCATCCGCTTTGGCGTGATTCCAACTTCCCATCCGTTGTAACCGAGCGGCGATTTGCACGGCATTTGTTTCTACGCTGATCTTGTAAACTATGTGAGCAAGGTTCATAAATGACGCTAAGTTCTGTTTTAGGATTACAGACTACCCTGACTTAATTTCCATGCAAGGTGTACTCAAGCGACTTAACTGACAGTCTTACCTTTGGTGTACTGGGACGGGTTTAACTGAATTTAATGTCAAATTCTTTTGCTCATATGATCACATAAATCATAAAACGCATCTACAGTATAAGAAAACGAAGCGCTTCCTGCTCATGTACAGTCTGTACCAGTATGCTGCTAGGACGATGTCAGGCGGATTGGCAGAAAACAGTTATTATGGTTATTTCTACAATTTAGAAACTATTGCTTAACAGCACACACTTACACAAATACAGATTTGTGTATTTACGAGTAGTTTCCGAAAGAAATACTGCATCAAACACAACCGTATCGAGTTTTGCTATTGTCACGGGTGCTCGTATGTTTATCTTCAGATATGAAAACGCGGTAATATTATAGTTTCGACGAAGGAAGCACAAAGGTCAAATATTCTTTGAATGGCTTTCTTTGTGTACTTGATACGAGTAATCGTTTTTTCCGACAATTTATAATTTAGACTTAATCCGTTACCTTGGGACCGTGTTGGTACGGAATTGGGCACTGACGATATGAAAAAGTTTCTTTTTAAAGGATCTCAACTTAAATTGCTTATTCAGCGCTACGACGGGCGCTGACGACTGTTCACGCAAGAAAGGTCACGATCAGCTATGGTAATGATTATCAGAATCGAGAAGCACCAGACCACTCTGCGGTCAGGTCGCAGGCCTAATTTATAGAACGTCGTGTACGAACGTGTACGTACAGTATGTGTAAAATCAAGTTCAGAAACAGAATGGGAAGCTTCCGATAGATGTGCGCAATCATGTTACGCTCATGCATACATGAAAATTTTGCAAACATTCGTATCGCCTAATACGGACCATTTCGCGCCACTTCTCAAACAGTGCATCAGCAGACAATGGCCGTTCGGTAGTAACGACGCCGCGGCAGTACCATATCTTTCCTTGAAGTGCAGATGCACACCGAAGTATTGTACAGATGTACATTTTAAAGTACAGATTTTTTTATTGCAACAAAGATTGTAGGTAGCCAGCGCCCGTATTTGATTAATTATTTGATTATTTGTAAAAGCTTTGGGGTTATGAGAAAGTTTTACTGCCGTTCCTAAAACAAGCTCTTATATCTGTAGTGTAAATCGGTCCGGTAAACCTGTATTGCTGGGAATACTTGAGTACGTACCTTATCTTTTTTTGAAGTACAGTCTGCACAGATGTACATTTTGATTGCAAACAGGCAGCCAGCGCCTGTATCTGATTAAAGCCAGCTTTGAAACTAAAGTTGCAAAAACATACCACATAGCGACAAGTACTGAATTACATAATGCAAGCCCGTTCTTATACACAACAGCAACTGCTCAGTTTTTAGCGTTAGATTTAACGGCTTGCTAGCAACAGCGTCAGCACTGTCATATTCTCTCCAAATTGTCTCGATTTAATCCAGGGGAATCTGCGGCTAGCCCAGCTCCAAAATGATACGGAAGTGGCTGTTACTAATATGCACAGCGGCTGTGATTGTGGCGAATTCCTTGCTGGGTAAGCAGGTAAATCATATGGGGGGATAGAAGAAAAGAAGCGTTGAAATGGTCACCAAACAAACAACTGATGGCCAAACAAACAATAAACATCTTGTTTACAAACATACTGCATACGACGTGCATTTAACACAAACAATTCGGCGTCACAACACCACCTTATGTTATTGATTTACGATACATCGTCCAACCCGGTGTACCCCATTTGTTTGTTTAAATTTTCCCCCACCCATTTCACCCCTTTCTTTGATTAAATTTTCCCCTCCCTTTTTCTCCCCTTTTTTGTTTTTGCCAACATAACATGCATCATTTTTTTGAGTTTATCACTTTTTTTTGTTTTTTTGTTAAGCTTTAAAGTAACAAGTGAAACAGTTGTTTATCATTTTCCAAAAGTAGCCGTAGCACTGCAATACTGCAATCGGTATTTTTGACGATTTGTGATTTTTTGGTTTTTTGTTTTTTCACGAATAATAGGTGAAACTTTACACTAACACAAAAAAACTCGGATTTTTTGAATCACCACAGTTCTGCAAACAGGACACTGTATCAATCTATCTGAACAGTTATTGCAGCAGGCCAGATGATTACATGGGCGGAATACAACTTGGACTTCATTGTCTAAGCAGACCTTACATTGCACTTTCTCCAGGGGGGTTATTTTCTCTTTTCCTAGCCGCATACGCTTGAGATACCTTGTCACAGATCTGCGCTGATTCCTTTGCTTGCTTGGTCTGAACGTCGTAGACATACTGTTCTCCTTTTTGTGCTATGACAAATGGACATATGGGCGACGCTCTGGCGTGCTCTTCCCATGCTCCATCGGTGGGAACCCATCTTTCAAGCTCTCGTCCGCAGTGAAAGCACTGGACGCAATCACCGTTCCCGTTATAAAACCAACCGGCTTGGGCCATGACCCTGGGATGCTGAGCTTTTGATTCAGGCCACTCGGCAAATGTAGAAAAACGAGCCTTGTAATCCATCATGTCTGGAAAGCGCACAGCGTAGCTATAGGTCCCCGGAATAGCAACTGGCGCTGACGCCCACACCTCCACGACGTCTTCTCCTTCCGCAGTAATGGGTTCAGGTGTTCTCTTTGACATTGGACAGTTTGGAAACAGTAATTGATGATGCCGCCTTGGGCTTCGGATTTTACCCCATCCGGACATAATACCGTCACAATATGCGCACTGAACTTCATCCCCGGTTCCACGATAAAACATTCCGGCTAAGGCCAAGTACGTCGGTGGAAGTAAACTATTGTCCCAATTGGTGTGTTTAAACGTAGCCAGACGATGGATCACATTACGCATGTCCATTTTTGCTGTTTAATGACAAAAAAACTGAATCAATAAAAGCCTGTTTCTAAAACCGAAATCTAAATTTTGCTTGACCATCGTAGTTTATATATAATACCAATAAGGACGAAGCTTCCCAAGTCTCCGCCTTTTACACCTTCTAACAAGGCTTGCAGGGGAAAAAAGGCGGAGCAAAATTATCGATTTTTCAGCCAATCGCTACAGTCTTGTGTTGGGAAAAGTTTGACCAATGGAAACCATTGCTTTCCATAAAAAGGCGGAGTTTTGGAGGGATTTTATGCGAATCAAAATCCAACACTTTGCAGTCGCTGTAGTCGTGAGGATATAAAAGGCTAGCGGGTAAACCTTGAATTGTCAGTTGCTTTTCAGTTCCGTAAGAAAAATTGTTTGCTACTTGTTAGTCGCTTTTGCAATCAAAAAATGGATTTTGCACGCACTTTGGAGATTTTGGGAGAGCTGAACGGATACATCATCTATAAGGTCAACAATGTGGTAAGTATGTTTTGGAACACGAAAAAGGTCAGTCTTGTTCTAGCTTTTGATCAGGAAACAGACGGTTACAAAGATCATGAAGAGGCGTTCCGGAAAGGAGTGCGTCTGGGATGTAGTGAAATTTCGGACGTCCTGAATAAGTTGAAAGCGGGAACTATCCAAGCAGCGATGGACAAGGCAATCACAAGCAAATCTGCGGAAAAGGTCACTCTTGCCGGACCTGCTTGTATGGATGTACTTCTCAGTATCCATCCTAAATATGGGCGGATGATCCGCTTTTCACAACCCGGGCGCTCTTTACAGATTCCATACCGAGGATTTTTGGATGTAGCTCGCATTGTACAGGACAGCTTCTGGGGTCCTGAGGGAGTGTCCATGGATACGTAGGCTAACAGCATTTGACTTGTGTAACATAATGCACTATTTCGATTTACTATGTTTTTGGTCTTTTTACTAATAACAATCTACAGCTTTGTCTGGGATACTTTTAGGTAGCAAAAGAAAATTAAATAGGATAAAAAAAAGGGCTAATGCCTCTATTCGCGACAGACTGAGTAAGAAACGTATATAAAGAATTCGTGCTCATTCTGTCGCGATTAGTGTGTTCAGCCATGGAGATACACAACGTTATTTTGTCCGTCAGGTTTGACAGAAGGATCGACTTGGACGCGATAACCCGTGTTTTCGGGAACGATGCTACTAAGATGAAAAACTTTAACGCCGTTAACCTTCGCTTGAATGGTAACACATTCTGTCAACTGTTTGCGAACGGCAAGGCCATCATAAACGGCGGTAAGTCAGTTGATGAAGCGGAGCAACTGCTGCTCTTTATAAGCTGATGTTACTTCTGCATGATTTTACTTTGGAGATTAAGGTACGTAGTATAGCAAATATCGTAAGCACTTACCGTCATAGTACAAAAGTCAATCTTGCCAATTTATACAATAAAAGCAGAACAATACCGGAAGTAAGTAAGGCATTTTTTGAGCCTGAACTATTTCCAGCAGTTCAGATTAAATTTAAGTATTTAGGAGCCACAGTTAACGTGTTTCATACGGGTAACTGCGTTCTTTTAGGATGTACATCCGTTGTACAAGTGCAGGCAGTTGCAGAAGCGATAAAAACCTCCTGCAGTTAATTAACCAAAACTCCCAGTAATCGTAAAATTTTAGACTTTTCAACGGAAAATTTTCGGAATTTTTGCGGATTTTACAGGTGTGCTGAACTAGCGGCTTAAGGTCGAATTATCTGAGGTTTTAGAAATGGAAAAATCACTTTTGATTTTCGTTTTAAAACTCCTTGCACAATTTACATTTCAGGACCAACAATGTCTGGGAAATCAACGTTTACGTTGCAACTCTTGAAAAACGTTTCACAAAGTTTCACTCCCGTCCCTACTCGTATTGTTTACGCGTACGGTACGTGGCAAGAAACCTTTTCAACTTTTGACGAATCTATTGAACTTGTACAAGGCATTGATTCCATTATTAATGACGAAAGCTTTTTCAGAAAAGGTGATACAACGCTGCTAATTTTGGATGATTTAATGGAGGAAATAGCATCTGCTACTAAGGCATCCGCGTTATTTACCCGTGATGTTCACCACAAAAACGTTTCTGTTGTTTTCATCTCACAAAACCTTTTCAAGCAAGGAAAGAACATGCGTGATATTTCTCTCAACTCACAATATATGGTCGTATTTAAATCTGTTCGCGACACACAGCAAATAAAAACGCTAGCGCATCAGCTGGGCATGCCACACTTGCCAGAAGCTTATAAAAAGGCTATAAAGGAACCGTTTGGATACTTATTAATTAACTTACGTCCGGAAACCCCCGACAAGGCCCGCTTACAATCGAATATTTTTGGCTACCGAAGAATCTATGTAGAAAAATGAAGCCAGAAGAAATTCTCAAGCTAATCGACGCTCTACGTTTGATGACACCCAGACAGCAGAGAGCGTTTTTTTCAATTTTCTACTACTAAACAGGTCGCTGCAATTGAAGAAGCCTGCTTGAACCTTATTAAGCAACCAAAGGGGTTAAGTAAAACACATTTAGCGAAAGCACGTGCTCATGTTGGAAAAATAAAGCGACTAGCTGATCGGAATTTAACGCGTGAAAAAAAGAAAAAGCTTTTACAGCAAAAAAGGTGGATTTTTAGGAGTTCTTCTACCAGTTTTGGGAACTCTTTTAACATCGTTCCTAACAAAATGAAGACTTACGTGTTAGTACCGGAATCAGAATTCGTAAGTGGCAAAAATAGGTCAGGTCCAACATCTACTTGGAAAAGGGCCCAAGAAATTAGCGATAACATGAATCAGCAGCTAATGGTGCGAGCCGCCTTGGAGAACCAACGTCCGGTTACGCGCCTGCCGGTTAGCGAGACACCAAACTATACCATAGAAAGCAATACCTTGCCATCGGAACTTTTGCATAAGCCAGCAACCGTGTCAAAATACGTTGAGGCAAAGCCGCTAATGCAAGATGCATTTTTCAAACCGGACCTTTGCTTGAGAGCCGTGGTATCCAGGTTAGTACAGCAACAAATGACCAGCAAATTCAAGCAAATTCGTCACCCCAAATTGAGTACGTACAGTCCGAGCCGTTGGTGCATTACGTACAAGTGCCCGCGGACCCAATCGTGCACTATGTTCCTACAACCGTGCCGAGCGAACCTGTTGTCCACTATGTTCCAACCCCTTCGAAAACTTTAGTCAAACACGTATACAAATCCCCAAAAGTCCCACCAATAACTAAAAAGCGTGGTGTTCCAAAAACTTCCCGTAACACCATGCCGAAGAAGAACCAGGCGCCAACTATAGAGTTTGCACCGACACCACCAAGCATACAAGATGCACCGCAAGAACCACCAATTGTTGAGTTTCTCCTGACGGAGTTCTGGATTACGAACCCCATGAAAATCCAGCACTCCCGTCAAATATAAATGCAAAGGCACTTAATTATCAACCAAATAAAGTCTCACTGCGACGAAGTACACGTAAAAATTCAGCGTTACCGTATGCTGGTACGCGACTAGCCATCGAGGGACCTTCCACCAGCTTACAGGTTTTAGGTAAGGCGTTGGCTCCAATTAAAACCGCGGTGCGTCGTAAGACTCGCGATAAAACTGCTCTGTTGCCGACGTCTACGCAACTGTCTGTTGAAAATGCCTTAACTGTTCCGGGGCTAACGGGCCCGTCGGCACCCATGCCAATTGAAGCAGCGCATAGAAAAGCTATAACATACAACCCACAGCCTGCGAAAACAAAAAATAATGTTCAGTTAAGTAGCAAAAGGATGAAGAACAAGAAACCAACACATATAGGCGGAGAATCGCTAGAGCCCCAACAAAGTTCTACGGGCCACCACGTAAAAAACAGCGTACAACACAAACTGGAGGGTGGTTAAACTTTGCTTAAAATGGTAACACTAGATGAAATTTACCTGGATGCCGGGAACCCCGGTAGCCTTGGAGGAGTTGAGCGTCTGTTTAAAGAAGCTCAAAACATAATTATACACGTCAGCAAGTTGAACAATACTTACAGTCTAAGGACGCGTATACACAACATAAAGCATACCGCTCAAAGTTTAAACGAAGAAAAATTATATCAGTAAATGTAGGAGACCAACACCAAATTGACTTGATGGATATGCAAAAGTTTCGTAAAGAAAACGATGGTTTTAATTACGTGCTGACGTGTGTTGATTGTTTCTCCAGATATGGTTGGGCGGAGCCAGTGAAGTCAAAAAAGCCGCCAGAAATTGCTGCAGCGCTCAGCACAATTTACAAACAATGCAGTCCGCCACTGCGCTGTCAAAGTGATAACGGTAAAGAATTTGTTGGAAGAGAAATGCGTGCATTTTTTAAAGAATGTAATGTAACCTTTTTTACTACTCGAAATGATGATGTAAAATGCGCAATGGTAGAACGACTCAACCGTACCATTAAAAACCGTATGTACGTATACATGACTGAAAAAACACATATCGATACATAGACGTTTTGCCACAGATAATGCAAGGGTATAATAGCACTGTGCATTCTTCAACCGGTTATGCTCCAGAAAACGTTGGAGTAAACGAGAGCAACTCTATCCTTGATCGTATGCTCAGCGAACAAAAGAAATCAAAGGCCCGCATTTACAGCTGGCGACCATGTGCGAATTGCCAAAAGAAAAACACGTTCGAAAAAGGTTACGAAACAAATTACACGGAAGAAATTTTTAAAGTAGTCAGAGTTTTAAAACATAAAAGCCATTTTTGTATGCTATCGAAGACCTAGCTGGTGAAGCAATCGACGGACACTTCTATGCTTCCGAACTGTCAAAATTTGTAATGACTGAGAGGCCATACCATCGCATTTCTAGGATATTAAGGAGCGCACACACAAGGGTAAAAAACAATATCTGGTACGTTGGTATGGCTACGGCCCCGCGTATGACTCTTGGGAAAACGCAAACGAATTAAAATGAGTTTTACTTGACACTGCCATCTTCGGCGTCTCGTGATTTGTATCCAAAAACTGTCCCGGACATTTCACAACTTTATTAGCCAGGGCAGTGGATCTGGACGGTACCTGGGAAGTTGCGTTATCAGAATTAATACTTCCTCCTATGCAGTTAAAATTTAATAGCGGCTTAGTGGTTGGTATTGCGCGAACTAATTATCCCACTCGGGAGACTCGTTTTTAAGTGAAAAAGCATATCCGGACGAAAACCGGTTAATACACGCTGTTAATGTGCTTTTGCGTGATGGCGCGACGGATGATGAACCAGTTTTATATGGTCATATCGTAGTCAGTGGTAACTCCTCTGAACTAAGTATCAGACCAGACACCACCCTGACGTTCCACGGTGCAGAGTATACCCGTGCTTTAGGTTTGCTGCAAGACTACAGTTATACGGGCAGTGATAGCCCTACTTATGTCCTCCACCCGGGGGAAACATAATCGCATTGTACACGTCTACTGTGACATCATTGAATACGGTCTAGTGGGGGATGCTATGGTTCCTTTGTTGCGCACGATATCAACGCAAGCGAGCTCGTTTGAAGAAACGTGCATCCGTTTTGAAAGCCCTCACTACGTACCTATAGCCCGTCATACGTTCCAAACAGTTGAAATTAAAGTATGCGATGATTTAGGTAATGAAGTGTTTTTCCATCCAGGTACTGCAATAATCAAACTACACTTCCGACTGAAAAAACACTAAAAATGGTACTCCAAGAACTTAAATTCGATGAATCTCGCTACATTCAAATATTCAATCGTCAGCACGGTTACGGAATGCCCGTTTACCGCGGTGCACCAATGACGGGTGGCAGCTTTTGGGGTCGCATCATAGGATTTGCGCGGGGGTTGTTTAGTAAGGCTGCACCTCACATCAACAACATGATTGCTACCGCCCAACCACACATGAAGACATTTGCCTCGAAAGCGGTAGAATCAGCCATCGATAAAGCTGTCGAGCACGTCAGTGAAAAATACGTCAACAAAGCGGCTCAGGCATTAAGGGACGAAAGAAAAAAATAGTCAGCATTAGTAAGAAGCAACGAGCAATTGACGCGATAAAAGACAAACTGTAGCAATGGCGCTTATAGAAAACGGCTCAGAGCCATCAATGTTGTTAGAGAGTCACTTATTCTACTTACCTTCAACACTAACGGAACGATGGAATACCAGAGATTATTATTTGGGGCCCTCACAAGCCACGACCGACGAATCCAATGATTTTTCATTTACTGTAGCTCCATGTCAGTCGGAATTGGTTAGCTTAGCCGATATTCGATTTACGTGCGATCTTCACGTTACTAATGCAGCTGGAACCATACCAACGGATAGCGACTGTTTGGCCCCTATTAACAACATTGTACACAGTCTTTTCGAGCAAGTTAGTGTTACTCTAGGCGGTCGCAGTATATCGGACAGTAGCTCGATGTATCACATTCGCGCTTATTTGGAGAGCCTTTTGGGTTATACAAAACAAGCGCAGCTAACCCAACTAAGTCTGGGTGGCTTCGCTATGGACACTGAAATGTCCAAAGATCCGATTTTCACAGAGAAAGTAGACGGAAAATCATCTTTCCATAGTGAAGGTGCTGAAAAAAGGCGAAAGTGGATACAAACATTGAAGCCACTCCAGTTGTCAGGCAAGTTGCACTGCGACTTGTTTCAGCAGGATCGCCCACTTATACCAGGCGTAGAGTTAAGCATCAAACTGATTCGTAACCGAAAGAATCTAGCGTTTATTGCCGATAGCGACCTGGCAGCACCTAAAGTTGTAGCGATTCGGAATCCCCGATTGCGTATACGCAAATACGAACCAGCTCCGGATTATCTTGCCGCAATGACAAAGCAACTGGTTGGCAATAATGCAAAATATCACGTTGAACGCGTTGCGATGCGGCAGTGTACTCTGATATCAGGTCAGCAACAACACGTGTGGGCGAATATCGTGATTGGACAGCTCCCAAAGGTAATGTTCCTAGCCCTATCACCCAGTCGTTCTTTTGCTGGGGAATACAAGTCAACTCCCTTTAATTTCGATCATTTTAACCTGTCTTATGTCCATGCCGAGATCGACGGCCAGCTGTTTCCCACTCGAGGATACAATTTAGATTATGAAAACGGGGCCACAGCCGAGGCCTACGAAGGACTTTTAGACACACTGGAGCGTTTAGGAGAAGGTCCGGGCGAGCTACCCTTTGATCGTTCGGATTATAATGCTGGTGGCTTTTGTATTTACGGCTTTGACTTCACTCGCGGACATACTGGCCGCGGGGCTCTTTCTCTAATTAGGCAAGGCAATCTTAACATTAATTTTAAATTTGCCAAAGCTTTAAAGGAAGGAGTGGTGTGTGT